GGTTCTTCCTATGAAACTACTTTCTCTAATTAACCATTATTCAATTAAACCCAGGTTGAGTCAACTGGCTTATTATTTGATACAATCTTTCTTGAAACAACTTTATTTCCATTTTAATCTTTTTCTATGACAGTTCCTGTTTATAATTTATTATCTTAAGGTAAGAAAGGTCTTCTTACTAGTTTTCTTTATATAACTCCGTCTTCACCTTAAACTAATATTTCTTCTTCAACATATTTTACAGGTTCAGGTTGAAATCTCATTTCCATATTTCCATCACTATTTTTTACCCAACCTTACTATTTCAATACCTAATTTGATTGATCATTTTAAACGATTTTTCTTGAAATTACTTATTTACCATTTCCTAAATCTTCTTCTAAATTTGATCCTATCTGTAAGTTATCTAATTCTTCATTATTTAATGGCTTTCTTACAATTTTTCTTTCCAATTTTCCTGTTTTTGGGTTGATTTGAATAATTTCTTCTTCTAAAAATTGTTCTGGTTCTTCTGAATTTAGGATGATCTCTTCATATTTTCCTACATTTTACCATTATTGATTAGTTGCTTTAGGCTAAAGATTGGATTCTACTTTACGAGATAGCACTTTATTTCCATTCTTATCTACTTCATTTAATTAATCACCTTCTTGAATTTTTCCTCCCAAATAAGGTTTTCTTACTAGTTTTCTTTCCATCATTCCTGTTTCATTGTTAAATTATAAGACTTCTTCGGTAATATACTAAGAAGGTTCAACTCCCAATGATTATTCATAGTTTCCATCGCTATTCTTCTTCCATTTAGAAGTAGCAAGAGATAAGTCATTATCAACAATCTTTCTAGAAACTACATAGAAACCATCACCTAAATCTTCTAATAATTTTTCTCCTTCTTCTACATTTTCATCCTCATCCAAAGGTCTTCGTATAATTTTCCTCTCTTACTTTCCTCCTTATCTTATAATTATAACTTCTTCTTCTACAAATTTTGTTGGTTCATGAATGGACAAGGTTTTTTCATAATTTCCTTAGTTGTTCTTCCATCCTTCTTTCTGAACTTATTAAATTGATGAAGTATTTTCAATAATTCTTCTTGATAGAATTTTATTTCCATTTGAATCAATTTCTTATATATTATTTCCTGCATTCAATCCAGGCTAATACTGTTTTCTTATCAATTTCCTTTCCATCTTTCCTGTTTCTTCATTCATTACTAAAACTTCTTCTTCAATAAATTTAGCAGGTTCATTCTAAACAATTACTTTTTCTAATTATCCAGTTTTCTAATTTTTCTTCCATTCATTTAGAGAACTATCATTTTATACAATCCTTCGAGCCACTACTTTTTAATTATTACCTATTGATTCATTCAATTAATCTCCAATTTCCTCTTCATTTTCATAAGGACGTCTAACTAATTTTCGCTCTTGCTTGCCTGTTTTTGGGTTTATTATTATTATTTCTTCTTCAAAGAATTTTTCAGGTTCCTCAGACAAAACTTTCTCAAAATTCTTTCCATTCTATTCCCAATTTTTCAAATTACCTATTTATTCAATAATCTTTCTTGATATTACAACGTTTCCATTTTTATCCACCTCTTTTAAATTATTTCCTACTTTTCCTTTACCCTATTCTATCGGTCTTCTAATTAGCTTACGTATTATTTTTCCATTTTTATCTTTTACTAACACTTCCTCTTCTACATATTACATTGAATCAATTTATAATTCGAAGTTGCCTTCTTAATTTTTCAACCATTCCTATCCTTATTATATATTTTTATCTTTTTCTATAATTCTTCTAGCAATAATTTTAACCCCTACATCTCCATCTTCATCCAATTCTTCACTTATCTCTTGTAATGGCATATCAAAGAATGGTCGTCTAACTAGTTTTCTATCCTGTTTTTTTGTTAATGGATTGTATATTAAGATTTCTTCTTCCACAAATTATTCTGGGTCTGATTCTGATATTAATTTTTAAAATTGTCCTTCTTAATTTAGTTACCATCCATTTTTTAACATAAACTATTTTGTTTAAGAATCATCTATCATTCTTCTTGAAATAACTTTTATTTCACTTTAGTTTTATTATTCATTTTTATCTTTCGTATCTTCTTTGTATGGTTTTCTAATTAATATTCTTTCCATCTTTCCTGTATCCTTATTATACCTTAAAATTTCTTCTTCGACATATTTTAAATCGCTTTTTAATTCTTTATCTTTTCCTTTGATTTGCATTTATTAAGGTGATATTTTTTTTACAAAAACCTTTTGGCTATTTTCTATTTATTAAATTTAGATTTATTCTTTTCCTAAATTCCTTTCAAGTCTTTACATGTTCTCTAAATTCCAACCATCTGCTTTCATTTAAGTCAAAGATTCATTATTTTCAACTAATCTTCTACTTTCTATAATTTCCCCATTTTATTATTCTTCATTAATTCCTTCACCTAGAGTAAGCATTTCAGGTGCTTTTCTAACTTATTTTCGTATGATACAATTACCCTCGTGTATTTTAATATCTTCCTCTAAGTATTATATAGGTTCATTTTTAGAAATAACTTTTTTATATTTATTGTTGTTTGTTAATTCCCAACTCTAATCAATTACTTCGTTTATAACTCTACTTGCAATTAAGATTTAGTCTTTAGCTCTTACTGCATATAAATTTTCATCATTTACATATGCAGAAGAGTCACTGAAAATGATTTCTCTAAATAATACTCTATCCTATTTCTACTTATTTCTTATTAAGATTTCTTCTTCAAAAATTTTTAATGTTTCATCAAATCTTTATATTCCTGGAGATTAAAGAATAGGTGATACATTTTATCTATTTGAGAGTTGTTTTTTTGTCCCTATTATTCTACTTTAAGCTTAATTGAATTCTCTATCCTGGGTTCCAAAATCTCCAACTGATAAATCATCAGCAATGCTTTATCTTTTTTTCGATGTTGCATCCTCAAATATATCTTCAGATTGATTAGATAATCTTTTCAGACCTTCTAGTTGAGATCTTACTGTTTCCATTTATTTATTCAGTTCCTAATCATAGGTTCTTTCTTTGTGAATAAATTCTTATATTTTATCTTTTTCTGAACTGTTAGCTCTTGGATTTATCTCTTTTATCATTTATCTTATATCTTAAGCAGAGCTGCTTCTGTTTGAATAAATTCTTTCTCTAAATTCAAATGCAATTTAAGGGTAGTTATACACAGAGTTGATAGTAAGTTGAACATCTTAGATCAAAAGCCTCATTAAATTAGCCTTTTTAACAGGAGATTTAGTTCTACTTTCAGTGTAGTTTACAAAAGAGCGAGCTAAAGGTTGCTGCATATTTGGTGTGCGAGATAGAAATGATTTTGGGAGAAGTGCAGATTGCTTTAACGGCGTTATTGCTGATTTGTTAGATTTTAAAACAATTGGTTAAGGAGAATAATATAGTCTAGACTTTTATTAGGGTATCACAACTTTGCTTGGGGTTCGATTTACTTAATGATTTATTATAGACAATTTTAATTGAGTCTCTTATTTATGTGCCTCAGAAAATGAGTATTATTATGAATAATTTTGAATTGCATTTGACATTCCCTTTTTTTGGGCTCCATCAATAAACCGTTCTTTGTCTACAACAAAGGCTTAGATTGAGTTTAACGTGAATTTCATTATATTTTAGGGTGAGATTGCTGTATGTAAAGCTTTTTCTGTAGTTTCATATCGAATTTGTTCATAAAGAGCTTTCATTTCGATTTATTCGTTTTGGCAAAGATTTGCTTTGTCTATTTTTATAAACTATTATAATTCAGTTAGACAAAAAAGATGAGTATCATTTTATGAAACATTATGAATTTTTAATCTAATATCCAGCTTTTTGATTACTAGTTCACTTAAAACTAATAGATATAATTCATTTTTATCTAAACCTTTAAGTTAATATTATTACTTGTGAGTAAAAATGAATAGCGATCGTTAGGCAAAATCTCAGAAATAACGAGATGTTCATTTGTATAGGATTTGAATTGTTAAAGCATCCATTTCTGATTGCTATAAAAACTTGATTTAAAAGAATCCGATAATAAAAAAATATTAGAAGATCCTAAATTTTAAGTACAATGTAAAAAATACCATCAATAAGCAAGATGTAATCTTTTCCAGCACAAATTTTATTTATTTTTATGGTTAAGGGGCTTACAATATATGGTATTTCTGAATTTCCAATTGGTGTTTATCCCCATGTCCACAATTTTCCTGAATAGTCAAGTCCACATCCAAGATGAGAAGAAAGTGCCACCTACTTAAAATCTTTTCCTATCCTACTTGGAATAGGCAAAAAGTATATCTTCGAAATTCCAAGAGTGCCATAATGATTTTTATCCTCTCCAAATGAATAAACTTACCCAGAATAAGAAAGTGCCAATGTCACATTTTTGTTGGTTGTGATATACTTAATTTTTTCATTCTTGAAGGGTAGCTAATAAAAGGAAAGCTCGTAACTGATATAATATAGGCAGCCTGTTTCTGAGAGTATCTAAAATGAATTTGATGAAAACCCTTTACAAATTTATCTCACCTTACCGAACTATCCAAGCACATTGAACGGTTTATATGTATTCTAAGTCTTAAAGAAATATTACCTGTTCATCATCATAGATATAAAGTATATCATTCATTTTTTTAATTAAATTAAGTTGTAATGGCAAAGTTGGAAAAGGCTGCGAATGATCTCGATTTTTACAAAAATCGCGATGATACTCATCCATAGAACCTTAATTATGAGCCTCCTGTTGAGGATTTCTACGGGCCAGTGGCAACAGAGTTGAGATTCTGTACAGATCTTATTTGCATATTTATTTGGATTATATTTTTGGGGTTTTCTTTTGCTTATGGTTTTTATGGTAAAACTAGTTCCAAAACATATAATAGCTTACCAAGAGTTTAAAATAGAAAGACTCTATCGGAGTTCCGATTTTAGAACTGACTTATGTGGAATTAAATAATTAGAGAATAAACCTTATGCTTACTTCCTCGACCCAGATAATTTATATGATATTGCTATTTGCGTAGAAAAATGCCCCAATACGATAGACTATGTAAATTGAAAATCTAAACTAGACTTAACAAATTTGTTTATATGATGTTGATGGATAAACTATTTTGGAAGATTATTGCTATGATACTTACTATACTGATCCTTACTTAGTGTATTGCATGCCCATGGAACTAGGATAAAGAAGAGACGCAATTGAAAAGATTATAAATACTGATATGGAAATTTTTAAAAGAATAGCTGGCGATTTTTGGATAGTATAAATATATATTAAAATTAGAATATTGAATTAATCATAGGAGCATTTGCTGTTTAGATAGTAGTAGGAATCATTTTCGTCATTATTTTGTTAGGGAAGAGTATGATTTGAAAATAAATTAGGAATTGCTCATATGATGCTGTGGGGTTTCGTAACTGGGTTTTGTGTTGCAATGGTATTCTTGTCTAAATATTTGGATGAAGAAAGATAGAAGGTAATTCAAAGAGATTGCCCTGCTGATATTAAAGATCCTTATTAATGTGTGGCAACACATCTCTATTTATTGGAAATTACAAAGCAAGCTTTATTATACTTAATTCCTGTCTATGTATTCTTCTTAATTTACTGTTTCCATCAAATTTTAAGGATGATTCAGGTTATGGAAAGAATGCTCAAACCTTTAAGGTAAATGCTGCATGTCTTATTAATTCCATTCTTTATATCATTGTTACAGGCTGCATTCGCAATCCTATTCATTTTAGTTTTAATAGGAGGTATAAATTCAGGGACACCAGAAACTGTCTCTGCTCCTACTGGTTTTTCCAGCACTTCATATAGGAAATTAGTGTTTTAAGTGTGGTAAGAGAGAGGATTCTATGTTGTATTATTTTTTATGCTTTGGACACTCTAAGCCTTGTATTATTATGTTCGTTGTTATATTTCTTGCTGTTGTTCAGTGTGGTATTTCAGTAGAGATAAAAATTATTTAAATGCTCCTATGTTGAGACCTCTTTGGTACACTATTAGATATCATATGGGAAGTTTTTTAATGGGAGCATTATTGGTTCCTTTATTCTGGATTCCAAATGCTTTGTTTTATTATTGGAAAACCATGCTATTGTCAATGCCAAGGAAAAGCTTTTTATTGCACATTTTATTGTTTTTCTCAATCCCAGGTTTTTGGTTTTACGAATATGCAGGAAAATATATCAGTCATAGGAACTTTATGCATATAGCCATTTTTGGAGAAAGCTTTTGGATGGCAGGGCAAAAGGCCTTTTATCTCAGAGAAAGAAACTCTTCTAGAATAGAAATGATTAAGAAAACTCTTGGGTTTGTAAGGCTAATAGGAATGCTATTTATTTCATCAGTAGGAACTTACTTAGTTTACTATTAATTATATACCAATTAAATTATTGATAGATTTGTTATCGATGTTAAATAGGCTGTTCACTTCCCAATAGTGCCAGCAATATATGTATTTTTAGTTGGTTTGTATATTTCTCAAAACTTTTCCTCTATTATTGATATTGTTGCTGAAATAATGATATTTGATTTAATAGCTGAGGAAGAAATGTTTATGGGATAATAGAGATTTGCTGATTAGGATATGCTTGAATTCGCAAATAAGTATAGTAAAGAAAAGCAGAAATCTGATTTTGTTGTGACCAATTAAGGAAGGATAAATCCAATGAATGAAGGAGATGATGCAAATCAAGCTTTGGGCAAATTTGATTTGGGAAATTTAATGGAATAAGACGAGGAGGAACCTGAGGAATTAGATCCAGAACCAGAACCACCAGTTGAAGAACCAAAAGAAAAATCTGTAAAAAGTGAGCATGATGATGACTTTGGAAAAGGAAATGAGCTGGATTTGGATGAACTAGGAGACATGAATAATAAAAATAATGATGATCAATTTGATGACGAAGTACTATTTAAATTTCAATTTCATAGCTTGCAGAATTTAATAAATAAAGGGTACAAGATGCTAACAATAAAAGGAAATTAGAAGAAGATGTTATTAATTTAGATCAAAACAAGTAATAAGCAGATGGGGCAAAAAAGACAGACAGAAGAAGATTTTGAATTATAATTAAATATTTTATATGGGATCTCAAAGTAGTAAATTAGTTACAGAAACTCAAAGGCATGAGCACGCAATCAATTATATGAACTCAGGAGGGTATCATCAATCATAACTTTAGCTCTATGAGCGACAAATCTGCTAAAAGTATCAAGGATATCGAATAAACACAACAGGAATTTGTAAATACATAGTTTAAATGGAATTTTGGTGGACAAAAGGTATTCGTGGCAGGCACATTCTCCTAATGGAAAACTACTCACCAATTACAGAGAGATAAAGGCGGTGAGTTTAGTATAGTGATACCCTTACCTAAAGGAATTCATCATTATAAATTTATTGTGGATGGTGATTGGAGATTCTCTCCTGATGATCCTACAACAGCAGATGAGCATGGCAACATCAATAATGTAATAGATACAACCAAAGTTGAAAACAAAGCTAAAGAATTCATGGAGTCAAGTCAATAATTTAAACCAGAGAAATCACCGACTGACTCTGTTATTTAAAATCAAAAATAGGTGATTTAAGATTTCAATTTTAATGACAAAGCTCCACCTGTTCCTCCACACTTACTTAAATACTATTATATAGAAGTAAATTTTATATATATATATTCCATAGGAAAAAGAGAAAAAACTTAATAATATGTGGAATAAAGATATTAGACCTTAAGGTTAAATGGAACTTGAAGATGCTAAACCATAAATATCATAGCAAGAAATATTTGATCACTTGATCTAGATTTTTAGCAACGTTAATTCATTGTCCCCTCCTCCCCATGTAAATCTTAATCATTTGGCCTGTCTAACCACAAATAAAAACAGCCCTTTTAGTGTTTATGCATTAACACATAGATTTAAGGCCAAGCATACAACAATTAAATTTTACACTCACAAATATTAAGAAAACAAGCAACAATTGTTTGTTGTCTGAAAGATCATAAATAAATATTAATATAACATAACATTCAAGTTCTCTATATTCTATAAAAATGCTCATTTTCTTCAAAATCTTTATTATTCCATATGTTATTTTCATATATTCAATCTAACGAATTATAATTTTTTTGAATCATATCATTTTTTAAAGAAAAAAGTGCCTTCAAATTTGTTAAGAAATATTACTAAAATATTTTTTCGATATGATTTTATTTGAGCGACTAATTTAAAGTAATCTGTTTATTGTAGAAAAATAGATAAACTTTGAAACATTAGGAGAAACTAATAGCTAGATACAACCAGAAAAAGTTAGTTTTAATCTCTCAATATCCTCTAATGATTAATCCAAAGTATGTGATCAATTTAGATACTTGTAATTATTTAAATAGTGCATTAATTAAATTCTAATTCCTCTATTTTTGGATTATTAAAAGCAAGATACAATTTATTAGCAAAAAATATATATTGCATATTATAAAAGAGTTTACAGTAATATTAAAATCTATAAAATTCTTTGGAGATTTTAAGCTATAATATCTTAATTCATATTGCAATTAGAACCAAAAAAATACAATTTTTTACTTGTTCTTATTAAATAAATCAGAAAAAGTTGATAGTAAGAATAATAACCCTGTCTACAGATATTAGCTGAATTTGAATCATTGGATTTAATTACATGATGTTGCCCTCAAGCAGAAATATATAATCTAATTTTAGGATTCTATTATCAAGAAAAGATATTCAATTATATTTTATTCATTTCAATTCGATATTTTTATTAATTTCAAATTAAATATAAGTGATGTTAACTAAAAAAGACTAATTTCGAAAGTTAGTTGATAATTAGTTTTATTAGGGTAATGTAATGTCCATAAAATAAACTCTGATGGTTAACAATGATACTCTTGAAAATGAATTTTTATAAAAGCCTCCATCATATTAATTTTAATACCTACAATTGGACAGGGGGAAATTATAGTCAGTAATAGTTATAAATTTAAAATAAAGATCAACACAAAAGAATCAAGTAGAACGAGATTTAGAAATAATTCTGTAAGTAATTAAAAACAGGATAATGAAATAGGTTTAGTTCAATAACTTAAGAATAAAATAAGCAAATTATAATCTTTGCTTCAAGATCTTTTTAGTATTTTGAAGAGTAATGAAAAAGTCAACAATGGAATTATTACAGAATTGCATGAGAAATTTATTTCTATCATTAAAAATAACAATGAAACATAAATAACAAATTAAATGAATTTGTATAAACTCAATGGACAGATCTATGGGTTATCTAAAGCTGATTTAAATGATTCCAATTTAACAAAGGAAACGTATACAATAAATGAAAATATTAAGGAAATATAAATTCTCCATTATAAAGGAGCATGCAAAATTATGAAAATTTTTACTTTTAATCATGAGTCCTTTAATTTTGGCGAGTGTTTAGAGGGGAATAATACATTATAAGAAAAATCGTTTTCATTCTAAGAGAATAAAATATTTAAATCACTATATTTCGATCAAGGCGAATCAAATCAACTAACAGGTTTTTTAGAATTAAACAAAATGTTTTCATTAGATAGTATTTAACATCAAGGTAGGATTACAGATGAATTTAATTAAGATCACGAACTTCATGATATCAATATTTTAACAAATTAAGGTAGTATTGTTGGAGCTTAAGGAATCTACAGAAAATCAATTAATTCTGAAATACAATTAGTAGAAGGAAAACCTTTTATAAACACTGCCTATTTAAATTCAGAATTAAATGATTGCGCTTATGAAGAATTTAGAGTATTGTATGAGTTCGAAGTATATTAAAATAAGGAATGCCTAACTATTGATAAAATTACTTTAAAGTATTAAATAATAAGTACGATTTGATGATAATTTTAAATAGATAAAATAAATTAAAGTAAATCTAAACTTCAGATTGAAATTGGGAAGTTGAAAGAAAAGAATTATACAATTTTAAAACACCAAGTGCAAAAAGGAAAACTTTTGTCCTTTACATATTCTCATATAAATGAACAAAATTATTTGACTAATATTGAATTGGTATGATTTAATTACAAAATTTATATTTTTCACAGTCACCCTATAATGCAAAAAATTACATTAATTTAATTAATAATTATTATATGAGCACAGTTCAAGAAAGGTTTGATCTTGTTTAGAAATTTATTAAATCAGGAAATACAGGAGGAAAGGAGTTAGACAATTCATAGAAATTGTAACTTTATGCTCTGTTCAAACAAGTGATTATATATAAATTTATTTTTAGATTTCTGAAGGACCTTGCAAAGGTTCAGCTCCCAGTAAATTAAAAGTAGTAGAGAGAGCTAAATATGATGCTTGGAAGAAGTTAGGAAGCATCTCTAAAGAAAAGGCTTAAGAATAATACATTAAAGTAATTGAAGGCGTTTGGCCAAAATGGAATGAAAAAGCTAAGCTTTGATCAATAACATATATTAATTTTAAAAATNTTAGTATTTTGAAGAGTAATGAAAAAGTCAACAATGGAATTATTACAGAATTGCATGAGAAATTTATTTCTATCATTAAAAATAACAATGAAACATAAATAACAAATTAAATGAATTTGTATAAACTCAATGGACAGATCTATGGGTTATCTAAAGCTGATTTAAATGATTCCAATTTAACAAAGGAAACGTATACAATAAATGAAAATATTAAGGAAATATAAATTCTCCATTATAAAGGAGCATGCAAAATTATGAAAATTTTTACTTTTAATCATGAGTCCTTTAATTTTGGCGAGTGTTTAGAGGGGAATAATACATTATAAGAAAAATCGTTTTCATTCTAAGAGAATAAAATATTTAAATCACTATATTTCGATCAAGGCGAATCAAATCAACTAACAGGTTTTTTAGAATTAAACAAAATGTTTTCATTAGATAGTATTTAACATCAAGGTAGGATTACAGATGAATTTAATTAAGATCACGAACTTCATGATATCAATATTTTAACAAATTAAGGTAGTATTGTTGGAGCTTAAGGAATCTACAGAAAATCAATTAATTCTGAAATACAATTAGTAGAAGGAAAACCTTTTATAAACACTGCCTATTTAAATTCAGAATTAAATGATTGCGCTTATGAAGAATTTAGAGTATTGTATGAGTTCGAAGTATATTAAAATAAGGAATGCCTAACTATTGATAAAATTACTTTAAAGTATTAAATAATAAGTACGATTTGATGATAATTTTAAATAGATAAAATAAATTAAAGTAAATCTAAACTTCAGATTGAAATTGGGAAGTTGAAAGAAAAGAATTATACAATTTTAAAACACCAAGTGCAAAAAGGAAAACTTTTGTCCTTTACATATTCTCATATAAATGAACAAAATTATTTGACTAATATTGAATTGGTATGATTTAATTACAAAATTTATATTTTTCACAGTCACCCTATAATGCAAAAAATTACATTAATTTAATTAATAATTATTATATGAGCACAGTTCAAGAAAGGTTTGATCTTGTTTAGAAATTTATTAAATCAGGAAATACAGGAGGAAAGGAGTTAGACAATTCATAGAAATTGTAACTTTATGCTCTGTTCAAACAAGTGATTATATATAAATTTATTTTTAGATTTCTGAAGGACCTTGCAAAGGTTCAGCTCCCAGTAAATTAAAAGTAGTAGAGAGAGCTAAATATGATGCTTGGAAGAAGTTAGGAAGCATCTCTAAAGAAAAGGCTTAAGAATAATACATTAAAGTAATTGAAGGCGTTTGGCCAAAATGGAATGAAAAAGCTAAGCTTTGATCAATAACATATATTAATTTTAAAAATAAATACATAGATACATGGAATATAAAAATTTTTGGATCTATCTAAAATTCTTATTTAATTTAATATAGTTAAAACAATATCAAATGCGTCTTGTAGAAGAGTCAAATTTGAAAAGTTTAGAATTTAGGCAGATGAGTATTTTCTATTAAAAAGGAATTAATTTCAGCATTTTTCAAATTTCTATGGTAATGAATACGTATTTTTTAATAAAATAATTTCTCAATTTAATCTGATAATTAAGGATTTATATTAAGTAAGTGAAATTTATTCGTGATAATGATAAAACTATTTTGAATGTACTGTTACAATTTTCAGAAATCAAATATTAAAGCAAGAATTTTTGTAAAAAATCATAAATTATTCGATATTTTATATTACTAAAATTCGAGATTTTATTTATTCATGTGAATTTGTAAATGCATATTTATATAATATATTTCTCTTTATTTCAAATCAATTCAACAGAGTCTAATATGACTTTGCTTTCCTTATTTGCCACACTTAGGAAAAGACTTAAATCACTAACATATGCTTTTGCCATTCTTGAAACATCCTTTTGAATAACAATATAACCTTTTGTTATTTGAAATTATTTACTTTAGGTTGGGATATTATTCTCTACATATTCCACAGCTTATCTTCCTTTAAGAGTTCTGCTTAATGCTTGCTTAGCGCAATACCAATTGATATCATGAATTTCTGCTCCAGCCAAATTCATTGCCCAAGTTTATTTGTTTTCTTTTTTCTTAATAACATTTTACATCTAACAGGATATGCCTTAAAGATTCTCTAATAGTATGGGACTGGCCATTATGATGTAGACATCACTCTGTCAACAATTGGTCTTTCATGGATGGGTCCCCAAAGAGCTCCAGAAAAGCGTGCCACTGATTTGCTATGAGCAAGACGAATCATTTTTAATTATTTATATAAATTATTTATATATATTTCTATTTTAAAATTACATCCACATAATTGTAAATATTCTAAACCATTTATATTCTTGTCCTTTATTGAAAAATAAAGAATAAAAATGAGGAAGAAATACTATTTGGATTTTAAAAAAGGGAAAAATAAAATTAAATTAATTTGTTGTAAGTTTATGAGAGATTTGTAATACATTTATTAATTACTATACGATTTAATGCATTTATTTCACTGGCCAGATTTGGAATTGATATATAATGTATTATTTGATTGTTTATAATTTATATTTATTATAACCAAAAGAATAATTGTTCATGATGTTGTAAACAAAGAAGTCCAATGTAAAAGTTACTGTTGATTAAAAATTCCATAACTGCATTTAAAAAAATGTGACAGATATCAGGTCTGATCAAGGAAGTTCTTAGAAGATTCCTGGAAATAGTTATAAGGTATTAATATACTAATGAACAGGTGGAAAAACCCTCTCATTGCGAAACTACAACAAAGCAAACAGAACCAACCTAAAAATAAATTCCTTCTTTGATAAATTAAAGAAAAATAAGTGATAACTCGTATCAGATAAATCCCCTAGAGGTGACAAAATGTTACGTTGCTAATTCTTAGCTGATACAATAATTAATATAAGAAAATATTTAACTAAAAAAATAAAACTTAGCTAAAGATTCAATCATAAATTAGTTAATAACAAATAATGACATTTCCACAGTAAATCAGTAGAGATCAAGCACATCTTAAACTGAAAGACAATGTACTAAACAGAAGAACTAATTGAGCAAGTAAGATCATAACTAATATCTAGGTAAAAGAATTCACATAAGAGTATGGAAGAACTATCCTCGCTCGGATTCACATTTTGCAATACGGAACAAAAAAATAACTAATTAGAATCTGGATAAGTCTCGATAAAATCATCAAAAAGCCCCATTAAACTGCCAAAAGAATTTTTGATAATTCCAAGCCAAAAAAAGTATTTTGTTTGAGTCTTTTGTCAGATAGGTTTCAATGATGAGTAGTTAATTATTATAAAATATTATATATAAAATTAAAATAATTAGATGGGCTCGTGTTGTGCAAACACTACGCAAGACAAAGAATCTTTTACTGCTAATCCAGCTCCAATCTAAATAAGTAACGAGAATTTGGAGATTAAGGAACCTACAAAAATTAAGGAATCCAATGAAACTCCAAGTTCACCCATAAGATCAGAAAAAATCGATGTATTAGTTCATATTAAAATATAGCACAGGAAGAGAATTATGGAAGCATTAAGAGTTATCGAGGAGTGTTGATCGAGAACACTAATGTATATATGCATTCTTTTAATAGTATAGATATTTGATGAACAATCCTCACTAGCTCTAACCATATTTAATTCTTTAGGTATTTATGTTAAGAATCAAAGGTCCGTTTCCATTTCCAATAATCAAAGATCAGACACTTACTTATGCTGGTCCAGTTCAAATCGAAGCAGGGTATTTCTGAAGTAGAAATTAGATCCTTTTATATGGGATAATGGTCAGATGGCAAAAGACACGGGTTTGGAAAATAGTTATATCCTTTTGGATCAATCTATGAAGGAGAGTGGTACAACGATCAGTAGTAAGGATATGGGAGAATGGTTCTTCCAAACGGGGATTAGTAAATTATAAGTGTATAATGTAAGTTACGAAGGAGAATGGAGGAGTGACAAGGCTTGGGGAACTGGAAAATATGTTACCATAGACGGAACTACATACAATGGTGAATGGGTGGATGATAAATAACATGGGGTAAACATAGATATCTATAATGAGAAAGGTGTTGAGGAGTGGAAAAATGGTTAAAAATATGAAGGCAATTACTTAAATGGTTAAAAAACTGGATATGGAGTGTTTTATTGGCCTGATGGTTCCAAATACGAAGGGGAATTACTGGATGGAATGCCTCATGGGAATGGAGAATACATTTGGAGGGATGGCAAAAAGGTATATAGGAGATTGAAATTAGTATAAAGGAGAATGGATGTTTAATTAGATGCATGGGTATGGAATATATATTTGGCCCGACGGAAAGATCTACAAGGGGAATGTATATTAATTTTACGAGTAATTTTAGTTTGAAAAAGACTAAAGAGAAGGGTATGGGGAATTGGATTGGTCGGATGGCAGGTTGTATAAAGGTAATTGGAAAAATGGTAAATAACATGGCGAAGGAGCATTTATTTATAAAAACAAAATAAGAAAAGGAGTTTGGTAAAATGGCTAACCAACAAAGTGGCGTCAAAGTGAAATATTATCAATATAATGACATACTATAATGTTTTAATTTATTCTCAATCAATAGATATAATTTAATTATTAAAGTGAATTCATTTTCAATAGTATGGGAAATTGTGGATGTCTAAAGCGAAATGATAAAGAATTTGATGATTTTGATGATAAGCCAATTAAATAAGCACCACCGGCAGTCTAAGAGAATACCGAATAATAGAAAACCACAATATAATTGAGTTCGCACTCTGTCCCTCAAAGGCAAAAGATCAAGGAAACCGTGAATCTAAGAAAGTCTCATACTATTGAAGGCGAAAAAAAACTTAATGATTACACATTAAAATAGGTTTTAGGTTAAGGTACATTTGGAAAGGTTAGGCTTGCGGAAAAAAATTTATAAAATTATGCTATAAAAATACTAAATAAAAGCAGACTCAAAAAGTAACGAGAGTATTACACGGATTTAAATGGAGGTTATATATTTGATTATCATGGTAGTTGTTAAGATTAAGAATGCATTTTAAAATGTGGCTAAGGAAATTGCTATTATGAAGAAGTTACGTCATCCTAATATTATTCGTCTTTATGAAATTATTGATTCTCCTAATTCAAATAAAATGTATATGGGTATTCACTGCTTTAATTATCAAAGTAATGGAGTATGCACAAAATGGGTAATTGATTGAATGGAATGAAGATTTAGGATAATTTATTTTAACACATTAAGATTTTAAACTAACAGAAGAAAAATTGAGAATAATTTGTAGAGACATTATAAAGGGTTTATACCAAAGTAAAATACTTTAATATCAATATAGTGCATGAATTAGGAATAGTGCATAGAGATCTAAAACCTTAAAACATTTTATTTGATCAAAAGTTTAGAGCCAAAATCTGTGACTTTGGAGTATCTCAAATTATTAATGGAGACACTGAGTATTTTGGTACCAATGGCACCTATTTATTTATGGCTCCTGAGTGTTTTTAAAATGGATTATTTGATAGAAAGGCTGCTGATATTTGGGCATTAGGAATTTCAATATATTCATTTGCTTTTTTGACAGTACCCTTTCTTGCAGTTGAAATTCAAGACATTATGGATTTAATAGAATAAAATGAGTAAACAATTGTTATATTAATAGAATTCAATATCCAAATTGTAGAAATGAATTTAAGACTTTTCTGTAGAAATGTCTAAATAAAGATCCATCTCGTAGAGCTACAATCAAAGAATTAGCAAGGGATCCATGGTTAAATGAAGGCCAACAGATTCGCTTGCAAGATGAGATCGACCAAAAGCTTATGATGATAGAAGTAGATGAGACAGAAATCTAAGAGGCATATTCATTAGCTACATTTATTTTAATAAAGAATTGGGTTGCTAAATTGAAGCATTAGTGATTATAATTTATAATATTTTACACCTCCTTCCTCAATCAAATAGGCTTGACATACAAAAAAATTAGACTTATTGCATTTAGATTTTGTATTCTGATTCATAAAGCATGAATATATTTCTTTCAATAACACTATTGTTTTATTGAATATAGATAAATATTTGAATGTAAAATAACTATTCACTTATTATATCATGTATTACTATTATTTGAGTTGATATTAATTATATTTGTCATAAATGAGCTCTAGACCATAGTTATATTAGGCATTTTAGAGTCCAGACGACCTGGTGTATTCATCCTATACTAGTGAATCTATGGCTATGATAAAACCAAGTGAACAGATAAAATCACTTTTGCATGGTCGTTTTCAAAATTACTCTAAAAATCAAACAGAACCAGAAGAATACCCAGATTCATTGAATCAATAATGCAAAACAAAGCCTATTGCTCAATCTAAAGAAATCTAGATTCAGAAATCAATTTAACAATTGAAACAGAAATTGCATCAACAACAGCAAGAATTTTATAGCAAAGAATTATTATTGTAAGAGCAATTGTTGCAAGCATAACTTGAGCATGATAAATTGATGAGATTGGCTAAGCAAAAATATGAGCTAATTATTGATAGTCTTAAATAACAGTTAAAATAAAAGGATGAAGTAATATATGATTTAAATCTGAAATTGAGAGTGTCTCAATCATCATAATAAAAAAGCGATAAATAAATAATTGGAAAACATTCAAAAAAATCCTCTATTATGACAGGTGAAGAATTAGATTCAGAAGGTGCTTGCACATAGAGAACTTTAAATGTTCCTACTCGTTCCTCAACTTCTCAGCAATAAAATGATGATAAGCTCTTGAGTCTTTATCGACATGAGATTGACAAATTAAAACACTAAACATTCGAATTTGCATAAAAATTTGAGACTGAAAAAAGAACAATTAAAGATGAAATCTCCTTACTCAAGAATCAAAAATTATTACTGCAAACCTTATTGACAACTAAACAGTCTCCATAATCTGAAAGGAAGTTAACTAAATCTGAAGCTAAAACCTCATGCAAAACAAGGAAATAAGAAAACTCATCCATAAGAATGCCCAAAAGTAAAACGAGATAATAGTTACGATTTGACTGAATATTTGAAATGATATTTATAATTACTAATATGTATATCATAATGTTCCATTTTATACATTAACATTATAATTCAATTATTATAAATCTAAAGGTATTTTATTTTAGCTGTCACAGAAAATGCAAACTGTATTTTCGTGGAATCTTTTAAGAACTAAAATGGCTTCGAACTTTTAATATTGTGAAATATCGCTTTTAATATTTTCATTATTGAATGTAAAGGTTGGTGAGGGCAGATTCTTAATAGTTATCAAATTATATTACTCCAATATTTATGAATCAAGAGGTTAAAATGAATATTTTAATGCATATTTACTTTTATTGAACATTTATATGACTACCTGCAATTCTGTTTTTTCTTTATTAACATCTTATACTTTATCCGCTTATAAATAAAGAGCATGGTCATAATGCAATTCTAAACACTATAAGCAAATTTTTTGGAGTTTTTTTCTTGGTTTTAGAGTGAAAATCAATTCTGAACATTTTTTGCATTTTCTGATTTTCTGCTTTTTCTGTTTTCTGCTCAATAATCCTAAAGGTATTGATAACTATGGTGCATTTTAGGATATAGGATTGAAATTTTGCAATTCAACTTGTTTATTATTTAAGTTCAAATTATACCTTTATAAAACGACTTTTAAGTTTATTTCTTTCATCATATTATCAATTTCTGCATTTCAATTAGGAAGCCAAGACTTCGCATATTGTCAATGATTTTAGGACATGTGTAATTTTTTCAAGAAAATTACTTTTAATTCTATTTTATTATTATAAAAGTCCTTATATATTCAGTTTCATATTCCTGTTTATATGCATTATTAATTGAGTGTAAACTTATTGAAAATTAGGATTTGCAACCCCAATTGATCTGATTGTGTAAAAACAATATGAACTAGTGAATCCATAATTCTTCTCAGTGTCGATTATTCTACGTAATAAATTTTGGAAATAGGACATTCAAAACAAAAACTACAATTTTTTCACTTGTAATTTAAACATCTCCACAATTTCTACAATAATAACAAAATATTCATTTGATGTACACTATCTGCACATATTTTTTGGCATCTAAGATGATGATCAAATACTATTACGATGGACAACAATACATTTCTTCTTATAGAAACTCCCTTTCTAATTCATATTGAATTAGAATCAGGGGCAATTTGGCTATCTTTTTGAATTAAAACATTTTTATGAAATATTTATTTATTTGTTTATTAATATCAAACCTGAATGTTTGAGAAATCTACGCTTTAAACAAGAGCTAAAGCCTATTCACTGACTCCCAATTCTCTTGTGAATTCATTTTTGGTGTTGGTGTAGATGTCAGTCTCTTCAGCATAAGTGTTATTTTCCAATTCTAATTCGGCTGTGTATTATTTTTAATCGGCTGCTCTTTAGTCTCTAAATTCAACCATGGAATCGATTTTTTCTATTGTATAAGATGTCATATATACCATTGGTAGCAGTCAAATCAACGGTTGCTCTGTCAATTTATCTTCCGAATTCAGAGAATTCATCATTCAATTATTCAAGATAAGCTTCATGATCAATAACATCTTAAGCTTCTTGGGCTGTTAAATCATTGATTTAATCAACAACTGCATTTCTAAAATCATTGAGAGCATCAACAATAGATTTCAAAACATCTTGATTTGAAAAGTTTTAATTTGATGCTAAACTAATGAGTGCCTTGATCATTGGAGCCATTCTAGATCTTGATCTCAATTTGTTTTCAATGTTTTTCAATGTATTTTAGAATCTCTTAATTTACAATAATGATGGATTGGTCAAAGAAGCTAAAAGAGCCAGGGCATCATCAACTGAAGCAGTAGCATCATTCAATTCAGCAACTTAAGCTTCGAATGCTTCATGCTCTTATTCTCTAACGAGGATAGCTTCATCATGAAGCTTTCTATTCTCTTCTTAATATCCAATAACGGTATCAATTTTGCTTTAGATTTGATTTCTTCTTGGATAAAGTAAGTTGTCAAGAGTGTCTTGTGTGTTGTTGACGTCTAAGAATTTAATTTTGCTTAATACCTATAACAGCATCTTGAATGTCTTGTTCAAGACTAACAACTAAGGCATTATGCTCGTTTGTTCTAACTTGGAAATTGAATTCAAGTGTTTCTAATTCCTCCTCTAAGTCATTGATGAGTTCTTCGATAGCATCAATCAATTCTTAAACTGGACCTCCTGCCATTGAGTGTAACTCAACCAAATGAAGCAATGCGCTTCCATATGTACTCTTTGCTAATTCAGCTTGGATTTTAGCCATGTTTCTTTCTTAAACTCTAGCTGTAAAAGCTACAGCAATAAGGGCAATCAGTATTATGGATTTCATGAATTAATATTAATTAAATAAAAACGACTTTGCCTAATTATCAATATCATAAATCAATCACTAAATAATTCTAGTCTTTCTATTCTTAAACAATATGAAATCCAACTTTTACTAGTTCATTTTTTAACATTCTTAACCTTTGTATTAACTTCTTCATTTATAAAGCGTTGCTTGTGGATTTAATGCTAAAATTGTCTCTACTCCCTAAAATCATTTTTACTCTTCCCTCTCATATATATTACAAAATATTGTGTATTTATGGTTTTTATCATCTTTAATAGTTCTTATAGTTTTGGAAATTAGAAGTAGGCAGCTAAAATAACTAGATAAATCTGTAAAAGTATCCTCTAATTTTTCAATTAGTTTAATTAAAATCGATAACACACAGAATAAACAGATTATAATTTATGTCGATTCTATATTTACAATTATTTCAAGTAAATTGTATTATTTTTAAAGATTTTTTTGTTTTGAATTTTTTAAAATTGCTAAGAAATCTAATTCATACGAATTATTTAGGCTCTTATTTTTAATATCGTACATTTTAAGGACTTTAGATTATTAATATCAAAGATGAAATTTAGAATAATAAAACTAAGAATTCTCAACCAATTGTTTTAATATTTTTGAATTTTAAAAATATTGAATTAAAATTAGTCTGTAACTTTTCAATTTTAATTCTTCATATCAAGTTTGAATAAGACAATATATTAGTATTTCTGCTATATACAATAAAATTTGTATTTCTCAAATTTCTGAACTCATATGTATTTTAATCATATTATTTAATAAACATATTTTTATTCTACCAAAAATTCAAATGTCCATGTTTAGACTTATCATTTTTCTCAAATAATATGATTAAAAGACTTGTTGTTGATAATATATAATGGTTAATACTCATTATTTAAATAATAATCTCAGAATTTCACTACAGTTTATATGTTGTAGTTCTTATACAATTCAGCCACAACCTTATTCATAGCAGTGGGCCCACAAAAAGTACCTATAGTATCATTATTGGGCGAAGGGAAGACTTATTTTAACACATCCAAAGTTACATAACCTTATAATCCTTTATATCCTGGTTCTTTATCTAAAATATGGGTGACTTTTAAATTAGGACACTCATTTTGGAACTTAGTTAATTAATCTTTTAATAAAATATCCTAAGATGTTTTGTTTGCATATAATAGATGCATATGAAGTGGGTCTTTCTTTTGGCAAACATGCTTGATTATGGAGAAAGCCGGTGTAATACCTGTTCCTCCACAAATCATTAACATAGTTTTAAAAACTTAAAATTGTTTATTGATTTTTGGGCTTAATAACAAAATTATTTTACGCTATTATAAATTTATTAGCTCCCATATATGCTAACTTGCCAATTTTCCTTTGCATTTATAATTTACTATTGATACTCAACTTTGCTAAAATAGGAGTCAAGGATCCTAATGGATAGATTTTTATTGGCACTTCAAAATAACGCTAATTATAAAGTCAAAACAAACCTATTAGGAAAGAATTGGAGTATAGTTTCTATTTATATCTATTCCATCTGAATCTTTCATTCTTGGATAAAAGAATAAAAATATACAGGATCTGAAAATGTTCAGCTGGCTCTAATTAGATATCGACCTCACTCTAAAAACCAAACAAATAGGTATCATGCGTAATTTAGTCTTTTTTCACTAAAGTGGCATCAAAGGTTTTATCGTAATCTATAGAACTCATTTATTTATATTATAATAATTTTTCACTTTTAGGTTTCCTTTTCCTTTTCTTTTTCTTTTCCTTATTTTACAACCTTCTAATCCTATTTATCTTTATTCTCGTCTTTGTTTTATTCATCCTTGGTGGCCACTTCATCAATTAATTTTTAGACTTTCATAATAGGTTTTTTGGTCACTACTGTAATTTGAAATGTTGTATAATCTTGCAATTCTGGACTGTAGAAGTTTTCAATTTATAATGTAAATTATCCATAGGTATTTATTTTGTTAACCATAGACAATAAATGATTTTTTGTAATCTATGGTAAATACGCTTGAATAATACTTGTAATTTGAATCTTTATTGAACTTCCTCAATAATTAATTTGTCATCTATTGGATCTTTAAGAAGACTTGGATTTGAAAACTTAGGAGGTCGTACAAATTCTAAATGGATTCCTGCAATTTTTTGTTAAAACAATTTAATATCCTTTCTTCTTTGAATTTTATGTTCTAGCTTCTCTTCATCAAGGTTAGGTAATAATCTACAATTCAAATTTTGAATTAAATACCTTCTTCTATATCCTGGCAGATTCTAATATGCTAAGGCCATTGGGAAGAGATATTTCTCAAAAAATCCTGGTTTTACAATGCGTATTTCCCCTTAAAACCCTTGTACGCAATCTTTTAAAAAAAATATTTCCATTCTCTATTTTGAGAAGAAGTATTGTAAACCCCTTTTCATTAAATTTAATTACAGTATATTATTTATTGGAAATTAATTTAAATTATGGAAGGTATCATAACTTAATTTGGCATTTTGTTTCTCCTATTAGCTCTCTTCATTTTTGATGGACTATTCAAATTAGTGCCACTCTTTGCTATCATAGCCGAAGTCTATTCATTATATTTGGATAGCTAAAAAAAAATACCTCAATAGAAAGAGTTGGCTAAAAATTAAAAATTAACTTGGTAAGAATTGAAGAAGCATGACAATCAATCTTCAGCCTACGTAGCAATTAAGGGAAAAGTATATGATGTTACCTCATTTTTGAACAGCCATCCTGGAGGAAGAGAATTTTTATTGTTGAATTGTGGAAGAGATGCTACTCTTGCATTTCAATCATACCATCCCTTTTCTGATAAACCTGAGAAATTACTCGAGAAATATGTGATTGGAGATCTTTTGACTACTGAGTGGCCAACTTTCAAACCAGACTCTGGATTTTATAAGGAATGCACTGAGAGAGTTAAGAAATATTTTTAGTCCAAAGGCATAAATCCGAAAACCCCAATTCCAGGACTCATCAGAGCAATTCCTTTGTGGACTTGTTTCTTTTACACATTTTATCTAACATTTGTAAGTGATTAATTTTGCTTAACCAAAAGAATTTTAATCGGCACCATATTTGGTATTTTATAAGCTTTAAATACTTTACATCTAATGCATGATGCATCTCATGGAGCTGTTGGGAATAATGAAAAGTGGTGGTGGTTCTTTGGTAGACTAACCTTAGATTATATATCTGGATCATCTATGGTTGCTTGGTAGAATTAACATGTCATTGGACATCATTAATATACAAATATTATGGGATCTGACCCAGATATCCCTTAATTGAAAGAAGGAGATGTTAGACGACTTGTAAAAGAGCAAATTTGGTGTGCTATGTATAAATATTAGCATTTGTACATGCCTATTTTATATGGTTTATTATCCTTAAGATCTAGATATTATGATGTTTTTGAAATATTTTTAAAGGAAACCGATGGTCCTGTTAAAGTTAATCCAATATCTTTACAGGACAAATTAAGATAAGCTAGCAGTAAACTACTATGGCTGTTTTGGAGATATTATTTGCCTGTTCAAGTTTTTGGGATGAGTTAATCCTAATTTTGGTTCCTTTTCATTTATGTGGAATTCATAACTGGATATTGGTTGGCTATTAATTTCTAGGTTTCTCATGTGTCAGATGAAGCTGAATTCTTCTATAATAATATGGATAAGGTGGCTAAAAATGGTACTAATGAACAATGGCCAATAGAATGGGCAGTTTTATAAATTAAGAGCTCAGTGGATTATAGTCATGGTAATTGGTTCATGACTTACTTATGTGGAGCCTTGAATTATTAAGTCATTCATCATCTATTCCCAGGAGTGAGTCAATATTTATATCCAGAAATAGCTCCTATAGTTTTAGAGGTTTGTAAAAAATATAATCTTAAATATAACCTCCTTCCAGGATTCAAGGAAGCATGGAATGGTCATTTTAATCATTTAAAAAACATGGGTAAGCAAAATAAATTTGTTGGTTTTGCCAAAATGGAATGATTGGATATAATTGAAAAATAACAAAATTATTGTATCATTTAAATAAACGATCTTATATTAATAATATTATATAAGTAAATTTATTATTAATGATAAACATTAGTTTATTCTTTTAAATTCTTGTATCCCATTCCTATTTTATTATAGTACCTTACTATAATATTATTTATTGTAATTACATGAGAGTAATATCTAAATTTACATAAGAGATATTATTCCCAATCATTCTAACTAATAATACTCTCAATTTCAATCTCTCATTCGAGTATTATTAATATATAAATCAATAATATTCTTAACAAAAAGTGAGAATAATTAATAAATAAAGATTATTAAAATGGTTTATAGGACATTACAATATTAATTATATTATTCATTTTACACTTCTACTTTAATATAAGGCATAGTAACTCCAAATTACTAAGATAAGTCCTAAAAGGGACATGAATCCAAAAAGGTTAAATGGTGCTATTTTGCTCCAGTGATCCTAAAGCACTCCTCCTACAAATGAACAAATTAATATTCCTAAAACACTAAATACATTAGCTAATCCGGAGATGTACCTATGATATTGATGGATAATACCCTCTAAATTCAGAATAAGCGTACTTATTGACAAAGTATAATGCACCAGTATAGAGTCCAGACATTCCACTTCCCAAGATGGCCATAATGAGGAAAGTATAAGGACTTTTTGGGTTGGGTGCAAAATTCATTAAAAAGCATCCAATCATGGTAAGACTAAACATTATGAAAAGCAATTTGTTTTTGGAAACCTTCTCAAATAAAATGCCATAAAAGATAGCTCCTACCATGATGACAGCATAAGTCACTCCAGAGAGGGTTTAAGCCTATGATTTTAAATAGAGACAATATGAATACTTAAATACTGGCTTCTTTGTAAGCATCATCATCATTTAAATTGTCCTCCACAAATTATTGACTCCATATCTGTAATGACAAAGTGAGTAGGATGGAGTCTCCTCTTCCCAAGAAATTGGTCACGTACCCTTAAAATATCCAAATATTCTTTCCAGCCAACAAAGCTATCTTCATAGCAGCTCCACAAGAAGATTCTTGTTTGATTTGATTTAGAGCTCTGACTTCTTTCTCATAATCGATGTAATCAAAGTCCTCATCTTGAATTTACTTGATGTTCTGATAAGGACAAATGCTTCTCTCGATCAAGTCTTCTCTAAGAGGAGCAGCATTCTTATAGGTTTTTCGTTCTTTTTTAAAATGTAATCCTTTTTTTAACCCTAAAGTGTAGAGTAAACCAAGACATAGGAATGAGCATCCCACAACAATATAAGTGGTTCTGAGAGAAAAACTTTAAGTCAATAGTTTTGTGATTACTGTGGCTGAGAACAATGCTCCAAAGGCAGCCAGTATTACATTTATTGCTGAGGCTTTTCCTTTGGTTGAATCAAGCACATAGTCTCCTAGGAAAGGAATAGTGGCTAGTGTGATTGCTCCTATGGCATATTGGATCTAATTGAGATATTATGAATACTCTGGATATACAATATTGTGGATAGATGTCTTCTGCGAATCCCATGCTGCTGATTGAGAGTGCTGTCAAAATAATACCCATCTGTAGTACTGGCACTCTTCCAACCTTATCACTCAATATTCCTACAATAGGGGCGAATATACACTTTGTTGCTATATCTATCAGCAACATGTATCCATTTTCTAAATTATATTAAATGCTTACACATGCCAGCATCTTTTGGATGGATGCCATATCTCTAATTGAACAGCAACGGTTAGAGACTTTCGACACTTACGAAGATAAATGTCATGACAAAATAGTGGCACAATGAACAGAAGTAATTCGTGTGTGAGATGTCTGGGTACAGTTTTATTACTCCTCTAAAGACCTTTCTCTCTTGAGGAGCTTTATCAGAAGGTTCAATTTAATTCATAATTTTATTTAATACAAAATTATCATTTTATTTTCGGAAATATGATACAGACTTTCAGAAACTACTCTTTTTTAGGTTCTAGAAAGAATTTTTAAAATTCATTAGAACTTTTGCATAATTAATCGATATCTCATTCCCAATCCTTATTTATTTATAAATTGTGAATATAATATTTTTAAGAAGAGTTACGAATATATAAATTATATTATTATGAATGCCAGAAGCGGTTGTTCCTAATTTCCAACTCTCCTGCAAATATCCACCTATATCCTCTTCATTTTAAATGTCGTCCTTACGTTCACCCACACCTACATTCTTGAAGACAATGTAATATCATTATCATCTTTAGATTGCACATTACATAATCTTCTCGTTTTTGGTCTGGATTTCTATGTATTTTAGTTTAAAAACCACTATTAGTGATCCAACTGATAGTTTTGTCATTTAATAATAAAATAATAGAGGGTATTAATCTTGAAGAATTAGGGAATTCTTTGACTACGAGGAACACCAACTCAACCAATTTTGTGAAATTTGCTTTGCCTATGTCAAAGAAACATCGAAACATTGTAAATAATGTGATAGGTAGTTTACAATTTCTATTAGGTGTTGCGAAGATTTTGACCATCATTGTATGTGGATCAACAACTGTATAGGTGGTAAAAATTATAAACCATTCATCGGAATGATTGGATCCATCTTCCTCTTCTTCTTATATTCTATTATTGTTAATGGGAGAGTGATATATCAATACCATTAATAGGGACTATAAACATCAACTGTAAATTTTAACCTTATTTAAGATCTACTCAAACCAATCAAAGCAAATACTAATTATAACAGTTATCTTCTTGGTTCTTGAAATTGCCGCATCCATCTTCCAATTACAATTAATTGTACTTCATGCATACCTTTATGAAAAAGGAATTTCAACATACGACTTCATAGTTAGTAAGAAAAAAAAAAAAGTTTAGCCTTCTCATTCATCAGAAATCAATTGTATCAATAATCAGGAAAAAAAAAGCAACGATGTTAAGACCAATAAAGACCAGGAGAACAAACCTGTACTTTCAATAAAAGAGAATGAAAAATAAGGAAGTTAAATTTAAAGCAATCCAGATATGAATAAGAAAGATGAATCACTTTATTCATCTAAAAAAGCCTAATAAGCCATTTTAGAAAAACGGACTTTGACTCAGGAAGGAAGAGATGAATATCAAAAGGAAAGTGTTGTCAAGTTCTTTTCTTAAAGAATGTAATCCCACGTAGAATTTCAATCATAAAATCGCCAAACCAAGAATATCGAGGTGATGCCAGAAATGACCTAATTTTTATGAAATACTTCAGTATAAATAATAGACTTTTGCCAATAATTTATTAAATCTTTTTTATCGATCCATTTTGGCTGATTTCATTCGATTCAGCTAAATGTCTTATTTTTCTTATTGATTTCAGTTAAGAAAAGCCTTTTTTTAAGAAATCTATATAACATATTATTATTAACCTATAACTTAGTTCAGATAAAGTTTTTGATTTAAAGTCTCTATATTAAATTAACATAATATTCTGATTGTTTAATAATCCAATATTAATCTAAATTATAATATCTCAAAGAACTTGTATTATATTTAAAATCTTTACTTTTAGATTTATGCTAAAATTTAAAGGAAAATACAATTCTTAAATTTACTCCCAGTAGGTAGTATTCAATTATGTTGATATTTAGTAATTTATAGTTCGGGAATAGACAGATGTTATTTATTTTTCTATTAACTTTGTATTTAAGTAATAATTTAATACAAATGAGAAGACTCATTCATTAAATTAATTATGAGCAGATATCCATAAGTCTTTTTAGACTTTCAAATAGGTACTTAGGCAGCTGGTAGAGTTATCTTTGAATTGTTCAATGATGTGACATCCAAAACGGCAGAAAACTTCAGAGGTCTATGTACAGGTGAATATGGTAATGTGGGAATGGCAAAAAAATCGAAAAAATTGCATTATTTAAATACAAATGTCTTTAGAATAGCAGATAATATGTTGATTCAAGGCGGCGACATTATAAACAATGATGGAACTTAAGTATAATCATTTAAAAATTTTAGGGTGCTTCTATATATGGTTAAACCTTTGTGGACGAGAATTTTTCAAGAAGACATGCATGTGCAGGTTTGTTATCTATGGCAAACAGAGGAAGAAATACAAATAATTCTCAGTTTTTTATTACTTTAAAACCATGTCCCCATTTAGATGGAAAACATGTTGTATTTGGATAGGTGATTGATGGCATCGAAGTAATCAAAAGAGTAGGTCAGGTGCCTGTAGATATGTAAGATAGACCAAAAATTCCAGTGATTATTATCAATTGCGGAGAGGTCTCGGAATCTAAGAATTGGTTGATTTGCGATCCTTTTAAAAAGGAGATTATGGATGAAATCCATAGAGATAGATTAAAGGCATTATATGGATAAGAATATTTGGATGAGTTGGATAAGGAGGAAGAATAAAAACTATAAGCATTGAATCCTGAAAAGTATAAGTAATAAGGTCAAGAAAGTGAAGAAGAAAAGAACAATTAATTGTTGGTTGATGAGCTATTAAGGAAAACAACAGAAGATTAGCAGTAAGAACATGATTCATAAGAATAATTAGACTAATTTGAAGGGAAATAATTTATAAAATATAAAGAAAAGTTTTTGGAATAGATAAAGAAAATCTAACAGTCTAAAGTATTAAATGACAAGGCAGTTTTAAACGAGGAAAGGTAAAATACTGATGCTTAATATGATAAAAACTTAAGAAAAGGAAAATATCTTATTAAAAAGGAAGCAGAGAAATAAGAACTTAAATTCAAATAAATAGATGAGGATAAGGATTATTTGAATAGAATGACTGTTAAACATGATGAAGAATAAGAAAAAAAAAAAGAATATTTTGGATGGGATGTATTTAACGAGGATGCTAAATATAATGCTTATAAGAAAAGATGCACCACTTTAGCAAAAAATGAAGGAAAGTATAAGCAATAAATGGGTATTTAATTGTTATTAATTCTTAGAAAGCAATTAGGAGTTTGTACCTACTAATGAAGCTTTGGAGAGACTGAGTGCTGATATAGCAAATTAATAAGAGAGGAGAAAAGAGTTTTCAAGAAGAAGGAGATTCAATGAAGATCAACCAGTGACATATATCAATGATAGAAATAGGATCTTTAATAAAAAATTAGAGAGATTCTTTGGAGATTATGCTGCAGATATTAAAGCCAATTTAGAAAGAGGAACTGCATCTTGATTAAATTATATATTTCAATACCAATAAGAGTAATAAATATGCTAATTTAATCGACATTATTTAAATTATTAAACTTAGAAATCAAACAATAATTTATATAATGCTTTACAAGTTCAATAAAATAAACTGAAATATCTAAAAATTCATATAAAAAATTTAAATTGATCGTTTTATAGTTTTAATTAAAAGGTAGAGTAGGCAACCAAGAGTTTATTTCAAAAGTGATGAGTCACATTTTTAATTTACTGTTTTATATTCTATTTATATATCAGAGGTCGAGAAATTATATATTCAGGCAGTATAATGTGCAATTCATAAGTGATCAGAAAGGAGAGTCTCACTGAACCCTGATAATTTGATTCTTTATATATATTTAATGGAAAATCGTTTAGAAAAAAATTTCAACAAATTAATCGAACGCTACAAAAAGACCAGCCAGTAACTAGAATAAATGATCCAAACAGAACAAACCATCTCTCAGCCAGTTACTGTCTATCAAACAAGATCTCGACAAAGCAGAATTAATTTCAATGATGAGTAATCTTCTATCAATACTCAATAGAGAGAGTTCATCAAGAGAAAAAAATAATCATTCAATTGAGAGGATAAGTAGACTTAGAGAAACCTTAAATGCTAAAGAATTGTAAGAAAAGGAAAAGTAAGAAAGATTGAGAATTTTGAATAAAGAATTAAAAGTAGTGATCTCTATCTAAATTAGATGACCCTAAAAGATTATATGTAAGTAAATAGAGAGTTGGAAATTAAAGTGAATCAAAGAGAAAAGCACATCAAATCATTAGAATATGAATTAAAGTCTATTTAGGATTCATTTTACAAAGTAGAAAACAGTGCTAAGGAGAATAGACTAAAATGTGAAGGATAAGAAAAAATAATTGAAGAGTTGTAGTAATAATAGTATGACTCACAGCAGAAATTATTATTGAAGAAAGATAAAATTTAATTGTTAAAAGAGTAACTAAAAGAACAAGAAACATAATTTGATGAGTAAGGATAAAATTTTGCTAAAGAATTGGAACGAGTGTAAAGACTGTGTGAAGATTTTTCATCTGAAATGTACAACTATTTAATTAATAGTACATAGTAAGAATTAAGAGGCGTAAAATAGAGGATTAGAAGAGGAAAAAATGTAACTTTTGGAAGAAACACAATAAAAAGAAGCTTAAATCAAATACTTTGATCAATTGGTATAGGATTTTCGTTTTAGAGATGAGGACAACTAAAAATAAATTGACTGTTTAAATAAAGAGTTGCAATATCAAAAAGCATAAACATAGTAATATATAATAAAATTTGAAGAATGCTAGGAAAAACTAAAGTAAGTTTCTGAAAACACTCAATAAACACTTTTAAACCTTGAAAAAGAATCAAAAAAATATTAAGACTAATTTCAAGATATATTAAATCAAAAAAAACAAAAATCGAATCAAACTAAGCTAAAGATCGAGTAGTTATAGTAGACAATATTGGATTTATAAAGGAAAATAGACAATGATGTGAAAAATAGAGAAATTCAAGAATATGATATCAAAAATTTATAGTAATTTAATAATGAATTGAAACAGGTGACTGATTAACAAGCATAAAAATTATTGAATTAAGAAGAAAAAATATAATGTTTACATTTAGAGATATCAAAATGGAAGCAGATAAGTTCAAATTTACGAAGTCAAATTAATTTAATGGAATAATAATCTTCTTAAGAGTAGATAAGGATAGAATAAGTATGATATATATATCATCACTAGCTTAAAGACGATAATCAAAACTTATCTGATTCAGTTGTCTAATTGTAAAATTACGTTAGAAATCTAGAGGACAATCATTTAGGGTGTAAATAATAGCATGAAAAATAAATGGATGAAATTGAGAAGAAAATAGATGATTTGGTTGAATAAGGTCTAAATGCTCAAGAGCAATTACAAGAATAAATCAAGAAGGAGAATGATCTTAAGTAGAAAGTAAAATAGTCAGAACTTGAGACATAAAAGCAATAGGAAAAATGTCAGAAATATAAATAATAATTATAAAGTCTGAGACATACTATAAAGATTGTATAAATGTTCATATATTTTAGTTGGATGATAAATTCAAATAATATGATTGTTAGGCTTAATAAATTTAATTTTAATCGTAAAAATAGGTTGAATTGCAGAATTAATAAAAAATTAAAGTTTTAGAAGATATTTAGTCATTAATAAAATTACATAAAAAAAATTGATAATTAATTTATATTATTAAAAAAATAAAATTCCTCATGTTGATAATATTAATATTAATTATTTTCTTTGATTTATGACGTCTTGGCTTCCCTTTATTACTCTTGAGTGATAATGCGTATGTTATGTGCATTTAAAAACTTCACTAACTTAACAAAATAAATCTTGGAATTTCTTTTATGATTAAATAATATTAAAAATTACAAAAGGAAAATGAACCCTTAGGATCATTAAAATCAAATTGCACAAAACTTTAGACCTCTATAAAATTACCCTATTTTCTATAATTCTCTGCCTATGCCTTATTAATTTTCTCATCCTTTTGCATACAATACTCATCAAGCAATGTTTTTTCCGAGATAGATTACTCCTGTCGTGATGCCTGATCCATTGCATCATCAAAAGCAGCAATAGACAAAGGTGGTTATAACAATTTCGAGTGATGAGGAGGAGGTGCCTCCAAAACCATAGGAAGAAGCTCCAAAACCTGTTGCAAAACCACCTCCTCAACCCAAAAAGCAGCCTAAGATCTTGGACTTGGATTAGTTGGAAAGTTAAGGAAGGGTGTATGATTATGAGTCTTCTGCTTCTCCTTAACTTCCAAGAAGAGTCTCAAAAGGTTTAAATTTTAAGAAGACAATGCGATAAATGCATTATGAGACTTTCTAATCACCAAAGCAGAAGAAGAAGCCTTAGAAAATTCGCAAGGAACCTACTCGTATCCAACCAAAGATAGCAAAGCAAGTTCAAATAGGAAGATAGCGGCAACTAATTGCATTTCCCCAATCAAATGTAAAAACGCGTTTAATCAGGGTTTACACTAAAAATGAGGAGAAATGTACTTAATATAATATATTTGAGACAGTCTAAAAATTATTCAATATCATCTCGTAGAATTTTCCAAATGTCAATGATGAAGATGTAGCGAGAATCCTTAATTTCTCAGGGAAATCATACAAAAAAGCAATTAACTTTGTTCAAGAGAATGGATTTCTAGTGCAATATTTGATTGAGAGTAATAAGAATTTAAAATACCATTTTAGCTTATTAGAATAATATCTTATCAAGCGAGGAGGAATCAACAAATAAAAAGTGAATTTGAAAATATTAAATTATTATATATTATAGTAGTTTTTAAATCGAAATTTAAAATTGATATGTTCTTGAATTTATTATTTAAATTAATTCATTACGTCATTCATATTCATTTTGAATTAAAATTATAAATTATTCTCAAATTTATCACAAATTCTGACTGGATTTTTTATTTGCATTTATATTATACAATCAAAAAGAAAAAATACGATTTTACTACACTAAGAAAGAAAGGAACATAGAATCCTATTCTTAATTTCAATATCATTCAAACAATATTAATTATTTTTTTTTTAAAAGATATGTTTATTTAAACTGAATTTACTGGTTTATTATATCACGATTAAAAAATTAAATTATCAAATTTACCATCCATAATCATCCTGTCTTTTGACTTTTAATTACCTTGGAAGTGGTTATAATTTTGTTTCCTCATCATAATGTATTCTTATTGCTGGCTGAATATTTTATTGAATTAATTGTTGTTTAGGGAAGGATGCTACATAAGCGGAAGGTTCTTGATTAGTTTCAACCATCTAGGAATAAATATATAAATTTACAAATGAATGGAGCTTGCCCATCAATATATTCCAAGGCATGTTGGTATAAATAGTGGGCATATTATGATAAGGAGATTTGGATACGAAATAACCTTCATTGTTTCCTAGAACCTCATAAAACATAAAGGAACTCTCATATTTCATATATTTATTGGCGTAGAATGGATAACAGTCGCTAGGCATTTTGTATACTTAATCTAACATTTGCTATAAAAATTTAGAATTTGAATATTTATGAATTTGCAAACACTTCTCTAAGTATTCTTTGTTTTGATCAAAATTCTGTACATACAATTGACCCATTCCTGTGAAAGAACACATATTAGATTATTCACAACCATTTTTAAATCGACCACATGTAGTACAATAAGCATTATATAGATTTAGATCCTTTTTCCCATTTCTAACTGCCATACACACTGTAATATTTCCAACTTGATTAGCAGTGGCTTAAGTGTAGAGAGGCTCAATATGTTTGCCAAGATCATGTGCGACTTAAGCAATTTTAGCAAGAGTTCCTTAAAGTGTGGTTTCAGAATTGCAATGTACGTCATTTGGGAAAAAGTGGATTTGCTATTTAAGTTGTTTTCCAATCCTCAAAAAATTAGGGATGAACTGTGATATTGTGTAAATCAATAATCCACCGTCATTAATTGCCTTGAGAGCAGGCACAATCAATGCAAATGGTTTACGAAAGACCTCCTCAATTTCAATGAAATCGAACTTCTTACCTGAGAGATATTCATATTTTTCCATTTATACTAACTATTGAGATGAAAGCCCATTTAGATTTAAAATATAATTTGTGAAGTCTATGAAATTCCTTTTACTATCACAAGCAACTGGATCATAATTTAAATCTTAAATATACCTAACCAGACGGGAGGTTGCTTAGGCACCTATGATTGCTGTTTTAGGTTTAGTTGAACCAAAATATGCTTCTGCCAAAATAAGATGCAAATCTCTATTAATTTTCATGTTGTTGTTGTAAGGGTAAAACATGTCTGTTTAATTTTAAGGGTCAAAAATTGATTCTGGATTAAGGTAATGATATTTCATATTTTCCTCGATGGCTTCATATATATGAATTTATTTTTTATTTTTTTCAAAAAACTCTTTAGTGTAAAATCCTTGAGGAGGTGAGTCCCAATTCAATAAGGTTAGTTTTGGTGTATGTATTTTCAACATTTGTGGATTTCCCTGCTTTAGTAAGATATTTTGAATAAGTGTAGTTTTCATAAATATTTTTTATTTAATTACTATTATTTATGAAGTGTAAAATATCATGCTTGCTTAAGAAATAAAGCAATTCGATCTTTTTTATGTTTTTGAATCGTTGGACTAGTTCTATTGAAGATTAAGAATATGATTTCTCTTTTTCTTAAAATTAAAGGTGTTCTTTAAATTATCTGGTAATCAATTTTGAGATTCATCTAATTCCTTTAATGCTTAAGGACTTCTTTTTGAATTAGATTGCATACATAAAAACTAATCTGCTTTAACTAAGAAATTGATTTACCATTTATTTTATATATAATATAAGAGATAATTCCTTTGTATAGAATATTGAAAACTCATATTTTGATTTAAGAATTTGTAGCTGATTATTCTTATTTAAGGTAACTCAGCCAATAATTATTTTATTTTCTTTGAAATCCATAATTTCATCTAATTGTGAAATTATTTGAAATTAAGCAATAAATTTGTTCCTATCTTTTACACTCCTTTTGCAGGAGCTTAAATTTAGTTAAAATATCAATTGGTATAATTTCACAATAATTATGACCTTATTATTATTCAGTATCTCATTTGTATTATTTAATTTGCAAATAACTAATTATGATTGCTACACTCAGTTTAATAAGTTGCCCCCATACTTTGATTTGATTGTTTGAATAAGAGTCTTATCAATTGAAATATATAATATTGAAAAAGTTTCTTCAATATTATAATTTATAATGAAATCAAAAAAACATATTGGATCATCTACTACTCAATTTGAAATATTGATGTTGAAATTTAATTGGAGCATGAAAATGAATGCTCACCAAAAGATATTTATAAGAAGATGCAGATAACCATTATATGATCTCAAAAATCATGGGAATGAGCATCCAGAAAGAATTGTCAAAAGACATGTTCGCCATTTATCAGATCAAGTTGATGATTCAATGGAACAACTCAAATTGCTGGAATTACTCAAGCATAGAAGAACTCCAACTGACAATTTTCATAAATGCAATTCTTCGAATCTAACTCGAATCTACAGCAATAGGAATCGAGATATAAATTCTTCTTTCTTTCAATCTGATGAGAATAATATCATAAATGATTAATTTTTGGAATTATTTAAGGATCAAAAAGATTAAACATATTTTGGCATCTTGAGTAAATTTGAAATCCATATTAGCACCAAGAACTCAAATTGAATAGGAGAATCTCCATAAATTGTTGGAACATAAAAGATTGAATTCAAATGATATTCGTACATTCATTTAATTAGTCAAGAAACCAAGAATAGTACTAGAAGAAGAAAAAAATTAATAATCAGAATCTAGTACTAATTTTAAATTATTGATTTTCTTAACGATATTACTATTTATTGTAATAACACTTATTTGATCATTGTATTCCTCTTTAATTAGCAATCAAAGCTTTTATTTATTTTATGTCCGTATTCCATTAGCCAAATGGTATAATGCACTTAAAAAAGGCATACAAAGAAGGTTTTAATTAAGATTCTGTTATGCCAATCAAATAAGTTTACTAAAATTTTGGATTTTACTGAACAAATTCCTATTCATTTTTTTGAACAATCTCTGTAAAATCTGCAATTTCTTATTGCTTTTTAACAAACAACATAATAAAGTAAAACTGTTTGCCAGCCAATAAATATTCTTTGTAAAGTCTGATCACATCAACTATATCAACTACAATTATAGGGTTCTTAATCTCAAAGTTATCATAAGTGGAATTTCCAAAATTAGTTATGATATCACTTTATAATTTGATATTAGACACATAACAAAGTATCTCATTAACTGTCTTTGGAGGCTATATGACATTACAACGATGTGTCCATTTTAAATTGGTTCTATTATCTCTGTTTTATTAAACATCTTGATTGAAATTAAACATTGCAGGTTCTGAATTACTTTTACAATTTGAGTCGTTTCTTCTTGGAAAAACGACGTTGTAATTATTTTTGACAAGTTTCTTCTTTTTCTTTGTTTTTTTGGCCCTTGACAATCTTTTTTTGAACTTCTCTTTCAGTAAATCTGATAATTTTGTTGGGTTAATTTGAGGAGTATTGAATGAAGGAGGAGAATTGGCTATACTATCTGCATATTCCTAGAATAATTAGTAATGATTACACTGATTGCAAATTTATCATTATTCTCAGATTAATCAATGACTATCTAATCAAAGATACCTTTATCTTTGGCATCCTCAAGTGTGATCTCCAGTAATAAGATGAGTTCATCTCTGATTTCAGGAAAATTGACATCAATTTTATTAGTTATTTATTCTGGTAGATTTTAAGTATTAGTGGTTGCTTATAAACTTTTTCTAATTTAAGAATCTAACATGAATTTTGTGGGAAGGATTTACACTTTTTCTTTCCATTAATAATGATAATCATTTAAAACAATTCTAGAGAATGTGATATCCGTGAATTGAGACACATGATCTTGTTTATTGCTTGCGATGTAACTCAAAAAGGTAAAGGTAATAATAACATTATCTCCATCAGTTTAAAATTTAAATTCATTTTTATTTAGTTTCATTAATCGTTTACAGATTTGAAGACAATAGATTAGAAACTATTCATGCAGATTTAATTTTGCATCTCTGAATCCAAAAACCTAGGAATACAATTTAATGACCGAAGGTGTGCATGTAAATATTAATATGAACTCTAAATGATAACTTGAGTTCTCTTGATTTATTTGTGATACAATGCATTTAATAGATAATTCACCTTTTTATTTATCACAAAATCTAGTTGAAAAGAGCAAGGTTTATAAAATGAACATGAGTAGTGTTTTATCACCTGCCACTAATTCTGGAATGCCATTTTCGAATGTTAGATCAATTTTATTAAAATGTTCATATAATTTGAGTACAGTACATTCGATTAGATTACATAATTGGATTTTTATATCAAATAACTTGATATCTTGTGAAGGGCTTATAATTTATGAGATGATGTAATGTTCCAAATCAAGACATTCAGATAGACATTAACCTAGAGTACTTAGATCTGATTCTTTGATCATGCGAAATGCTCTCAAATTATTCCATTTTGTATAGTCTTGACTTAGTAGTGCATGCAATTTGATTATTTTTTCGTTCATTAGTGTAAAGAAAGAATCATCTTGACTTTAAAAATAGGTTTCAATTAATAATAAATTGTTTTCCCATGGTTTAACTTGATATTCTATCAATTGCTATTCACTGGTTTCGAATTGTGCTATTCCTACATGTTTCCTTTGTATGAAATCTGCCACTTACTGTTAAGATAAAGATTGCAATTTTATTGCCTTGCTAGAAAAGAGCACATTCAGGTTTTCATCTAAATAGAGAATGTGATGAGGTAGATTCAGTATCATACCTTCATATTCCTATTGAAGGGCATTCATTCTGCAAATATTAGCATATAGGTATCTTTTCAGTATTTCAATAGCCCTTAAGAGAGTGATCATGAATAGGAATATGTAAATGTGACTTGGTTAACGTATTATTGGAAGTTGAAATAGCACCTAAATAGGCCAATAAGGGACAAGAATTAAATTGATTAAAAAAGTGAAGACGTGAGATTAGATACAATAAATTTAGATTTCCCATAATGAAGCAGCACAGAGGATAATTTATATAAGATATCTCCAGGTGTACTTGTTTTCATAGTAGAATATTGAGGTGATGAAGGCAGTTGCTAATGTAAGGAAAGTGCATTGGAAAATGAGTTTGAGCAATAGAATAAATGGAAAAAATGATATTCCTGTGTAAACTGAGTTCCTGAAATTCTGCTCATGCTTTTCATATATGAATCTGGCAGTTGATGAGACTTGATATTTGTCCATATTATTTTATTATTTATACTCAATTTTATTATTATTTTTTCTTGGACAATTGTTCCTCCTTCTCTATCAAAATTATTGTCTTATAATAATTCATCAATTTGTCATCATCCTTATCCCCTTCAATCAATCCAAAGGTCAAGAATCCCTTAATCAATTGTGCACTGATCACGTAATTCAGATCACAACCCAATGGAATCATCATTAAAATAGTGGAAAACCCGCATCCAAAGAGTGAATTAACAAGTCCAACAAGACATCCCAGAGACCATCCTGAATACCTAAGAACAGCCTCGGCTTATTAATCTATAATAATAAATCACAGCATTCATACATAATGAATAAACGATTTCTAAATTTTATATATTTAAATTGTCGATGCTCTCCTGTAATTGATATGAGGCAATTGGTTAGTTATTGACCTAATTCTGAGTCAAGTAAAACACTTAACGACCTAATGTCAATGAGGTTAACAATGATAGATCGTTTTCCCATTTGTGAGCAATTTAAGGTTTCTTGATCAAATACATTAATTTAATGCCCAAACTTTTAGGTGAATTGATGATTTGCTTCAAGGCCAAAAGAGATATGGTTCCAAAGACTTCAAATGAATTCCTATATTAAAATCAAATTGACAATTACTTCAATATTTATATGTTTTGTTCCTCTTCCCACAACAATTATTTTAATGTAAATATGTATATGAAATAATCAGTATACAATCTTAATATTCTGGATGCATAAACAAAAAGGATAAATGCCAAAAAAGCAAAGATAATGCCCACAATCGATGTAGAATATTGACTGTACACAGGTTTTGATGAGTCAATTGAACCTATGCTTAATGCTGCACTAAAATTCTTTAATTAATTAATACGTGATGGAATAGTACATTACTAAAAAGTTGACCACAACCAACAATTAAATGACAGAATTGTATCTAACCGTATACTATCCTAAATTCTTTCTTATCGTCAAAGTTATGTAACTCTTCAATCTGTATCCCTCCTTATCATTCTAAGTGAAGAATTGAGATATAAGAGATCCTATGAATACCTTGATCAAGATTAATAAAACTATTGTGTATGTTGTTTTGTTATTGAATGCTTAAACTAAGATCTCAATTGATTATTAGTTCAATTATCTTGATTCCCCTGCTCTTTACAGTTTTTCCATATCATGAAAGTTCGACAACCGATTTGCCATTATGATAGCTAACCATAATATGCAATATGGGTAAAATTTCGTTAGGAATTAAATTATAAGCGAAAAGTATTATCTGAATAGTCTCTAATTTAAATAAAGCACGGAAAGTAGTAATAGAAGTCCTGTAAATACAAATTCGCTATTAGAAATCAAGGATATGGTAAAGGTGTTGAGTTTAGATGTTTCCAAGGCAGGCAAAACCGATTATAGTTATGAATATAAGGTAGGCAAACAACCATGATTGTCTAATTTAATAACAACTTATTACATTCATCTGTATTTATAATGTTCCCAGAACAATTATCACATTACAATTTTGTATCTCCATTTTTTGGACATTCATCTAAACAGAGAGTCTTCGAAATATCTTTTGGATCCGGAAAGTAAATCAAATTGCATTACTCTAACATCTGCCTATAAATATACTTCCATTGCTGATAGGTTAGTTAACGGGACCATAACCAAGGATACTTGAGATTCCAAATAAGCTTATATATAACACCAATGCGGCAGTTGAGAATCCAAAGCAAAGTTTATCAGTTATTGCCATTTAATATTTATATATATATTATATTTGTATAAGTTTATTTCATACTAGTTATTAGAATCCCAAGATTTCCATTCATTAGTTCTTTTAGATTATAGATAGTTCCAATCTAAATTATACATGCATGATTTATTTCAATTGATAATTAAAATTTCTCATTTTTTTGGTTTGAGTATAAATGTTGTATTCTTATTTTTCAAAATAGGCTTTCTATTCCTGACTTGTATAAGAATTAAGAATCGAAATAAGTTGACTTAGGATATTAAATAAATTTATTAATAAGATTTTTCACATATATAGTATTTAATTTTCAATTTTCAGTAAATAGGTGAGAGTTTTATAAAAACTATCTTCGTTGTACAACGCTTTAGGTGGTAACAAATATACAAATTGTCGAATACCCCACAATTTGTTCTTGATAGATTAATGAATAAACCAAATCTAAGCCAGATTTATCAGAATAATGAAAAGGTAAAATATAATTGAAATCGTTAATTTGACGTTGTTGCTATCCAAGATTCCTTTCTCAATAGTCTATCGAACTGTATCAACAAAATTACTTACCGCATCGATTATGAAGCTTTCCGATAACATATGTCTCAATTAAAGCATTTGTGTTGCCTAACCTGAAATCTAGTATAAATCTATATTTTCTCTCAAAATTTAAAATATATCTTAAGACGGCAATAATAGTCCTTATTATAGCTCTCCATTATTTACAGTCACACAGATTTCAGGCTCATTGACAACTGGACACACATTACTTGAAAATAGAACCTTTAACTCTTCAGAAACTGTTCCTTCTGAGTAAAGGATATCTCCTAAGATTGTATTCGCTATTGTGTAACTTTCATTGGTATAAATAAAAAATTAAGCTGGATCTTCAGGATTTATAAGTTCGTTTTGCACCAAATATTTATTGCTTTGCAATATGAAATTAGTTAAACATGCTTCTGAGAGGCTTTCTGTAAAAGTAATACATTTTTGATAGATTGCCAATTTTGACTCCAGATCACTAATTTATTATTTATCACTCATTCTTATTAATAAGAAAGTCACCAATGAAATGGTAAAGGAAATTAAATGAAAACTAAATGTAAGTTACCTTTTTACATTGAATTGCTCTTAAACCTTTATAAATTTCTTGTTGTTATTATTATTATTATTATTGTTATTATGAGTGGTAGAACCTCCACTCTAATAGTTAATATTCTGTTTTTCTTCTTCCTCTGGATGGAACTTATCTTTTAATGAGAAATGGTACTCATAAAGATCAAAATGCTAATCAATTTATATAACATAAATACATCTTGATTAATCAATAGCAATTAGTTCACGTGATTTAATTCACTAGTAATTGCAGAATGTGAGATTTACTCTGAGCATCGTATGTACTTCTTACATAATTAAATATATGAATATTATAGGAGAAATGCGATACAGAAATACACTACATACACTGCAATAAAAGTAAAAGCAACATAATCGATGATGTTATCCTGAGACCCCAAAATTGAATTAATTTCATCCGTGAATCTAGTATTCAAAAGTGAATAAGCATTCTTGTACTTACTATATGATCTCAATAAGTATAAGATGGACTTAAAAAATTAAAAGTTATCGCTAAAATCAGTGATATGTAATGACCTTATCATATACATCAACTAAAACAGAGCAGTCCAACCCTTTACTGTTTTGTCTACATTCTCAAAAATATCCAATTATTCTAATTCTATTGTTGAAAACACAGCCCTAATAATTGAATTTTCTGAATATTCATCCATTTTTGTTGAAAATATTTCGATATTTCTATCCAAGACTGTCTACAACTGCCCAAGTAGAGTAGCATTGTAATCATAATACATTCCAAATTCTGATAAATTGGAACTTATCTAAATGTATTATATCAAAGTCATTGATCCCTACATCGTGGCTCTACTATATGCAGTCATCGTAAAAGCTTATAAAATATAAATGTTGCTTCTTATGTTGCTCTACCAATTTGCATATAGAATCGAACTTGCAGTTGCAAATCCTAGGATGGCAGACAAAGAAAAGATATTGATGAAAAGTAGAGCATATAGCAATTTAGGTTTAGTATTCATTTCAGAGAACTTACGATAAAAATGAGATTTAACTAAAATCCTTTAGATTTCACTTTGTTTCGATGAGTTACTGCTGATGCTATTGATGTAGATTTATTTATGAGGTTACTCTGGTGATTCTAAATCCTTTTCACTTGAATCTTGCTTAGATACGATATCGTGATGGTCACTACATAAGAATTCCTGTTGTCTTAAGGGCTAATTATCCTATTCAGCTGGAACCATTTAACTACGCAAGGTTATTGGATCTGGCTGAGAAGTGAATTGAGGGATCTCGTTATCTCCTGCTCCAGGCATTACGTAATCCTTTAACTTGATACCTTCGAATTCGGAACTATATTCATCCAAAGACTAAGACAAAGGGGATTCATCTGAACAAACTGCTCCTAATTTATATGGCGATCTGATTTTTAACACATATACTTTAAATACAATCCTATTCACAAGGGAGTATGACATTTGGACTTCTAAATCCAATTGATATTTAGTATCCTTGTCTAATATCATTTCAATAGAATCTTGGGAAGCATTGAAATGTTAAACCAATTTATTTGCTGTTGTTAATGTTCCAGTTACGCCATTCTCCTTTTAGTATTCTTCCAAATAATTTTGTAATTAAGCATCTAAAGAGTTAAAATTTGGTATAAACTAATTTATAGACTTTCCTAATAACTTTGATGGATTGCTCATTTCAAAACAGTCTAAAGCATTATTAGTAATTCCCTCTATGTTTTATTTGGAATCCAATAGAATAAATCCACTCAATCCATCCTATCTAATACCTTATTTGATTTCTTTCATGAAACAAAAGGATGGTAGAACATTTGATGAGAAATTAAAACTGATATCTATAAAGATTTCCAAATAACTCAATACTCCTGGAGTTTATTGTTATGTTAAGAATGGCAATGGCTATCTAAAAACCATAGGTCTATTTGTTATCACAAACATCTCCATCATCTCATCATGCGCTTTGATTAAACTTGGATAACAGAGTTGATCTAACGATTTTACTTGTTATCTAAATTCTTCAGAAGTATACCCTACAAAAGATGGAAAATTCTTCGAGAAATTAATGATTTCACCTCTCTTCATATGTGATTATGTTAGATTAAGGGACATATAGCCAACCTTATAAGATTACTCCTCAGTTTTATAATAAAAAGATGGGTATTCAAAAAACTTACTTTCCCTTGTATTGATTAAATTGCATAGTTTAATAAATTGATCATAATTATTTGTCACTTCGAGGCAATAAAGCATGTAACAATACAGGGATGTTCTTCCTGGCGAATATAAATTAAAATATTCCAGTTCTTTTTAAATCTTACAATTTTATTTGTTTAATTGCAAATATAATCCTTCAAGTGACTCATAACTATGAGTTTCATCATTTAATTTTATTAGAAACTGTTTTTTATGTTACAAATTTGTAAATACTAATTTCAATAGCCGATCCCTCTCCAATTCTGTGTATCTATAATCTTCATATTTCAATGTTAACTCTATTGATTATCTAGTGATATCCTCCTTGAATCTGTGTAGAATTTGATATTTTGAATAGCTCTTCAGTAGTTCGAAAGCTAATCTCTGTTGCAAAGAACTTCCCTTCTCCAATAAATGTTTCAAATCAAGTATTTACAATTACGCCTGATAACACTCATCAGAATTGCATAAAAACACTAGGATCTATATCAAATAAATAATATTGGGATGTGCCTTGCGTATTTCAGTTTAGAAGACTAGCTTAGAGTAATCTCTTAAATATCTCATAATCAATTCAACATAAAATTGAATATTGAGTATTTTAAAATCATCATACATTCTCATTTCTTTAACTATCTCATATTTCTCTATGATCTTTCTCTTTTCGCCCTTTAGACCACGACAAAAACAATATTGATTATTACAATTTTCAGTATGAGTCTTCAACAATATGATACACACCATAAGAATCTTAGATCTTTCATTCTTCAACTCCACTCCTGAATTTCTGGTTAATACTCCAATCTCTGACAACCTCATCAATTGGACTGCTCTAATAAAATGAATGAAGTAGGACATATCATATTATTTGATGATGTTTGATTAGAAATCCTTATATTTGATATTCTCACTTTCAATTCGTAATCCTTACTCAGACTCGTGAGTATGTAAAGTTTATTGAGGTTATTATTAGAGACTGGCAGTAACTTGAATAGACTTTTCCTTCTTTAAAGTTGACGTAAGCACATTTTCAATTCTGCTATCCTGAAGAACAATCAATAGTCTGCTTAGACATGGAGCAATTATAAAAGATAAACAGATAATTTGTTAGTCGGTTAGTCTGCAAATGAATAATATGGTCAAACAAAGTACGATTGCCCTCATAAATACATTTGTGGAATATTTAAATTTCTATACATAGGGCAATGTTAGATAAGCATCCAAAGTGTCAATGAGAAATGCAATTATTACAAATATCAAATTGACTATGTGAATAAAATCATCTTCCTATATAAAGTTGCCTGCTCTTACATAGGAGTAACTGATCAATATGGGCACTATGCTAAATCCTATATAGAGCCATTATAAGTATGAAAATCTCAGTCTCATGAAGTTGGATTCATGCAAGGTGAATGACACCTAACACCACACTAATGACAAACCTGAAATTATCAAAGTTTCAATAGCCAATATGATATTCAATATTTATCCAACAATTTATTATGTTTGATCTGCCTTGTCTAATACTAAGTTGATTTATAATAAGAAATAGAGAATGGGAATTAAGAAAACATGAGGAAAATAATTCAGAAATATTGCTATTTATCTGAGCCTGATTATTTAAAGCGATGTATTTGATTAGTCTGACATCAAACGATGTTGGAATCCTTCTATATAAGAGTTTTAATTGTAGATCTAATGCATAATCTGAATGCAATCACTGAGATTGTCACTCTGACTGATATTTAATTGTCTTTTATTCTTAAACTTGGTTTATTTAAAAAATGTAATTTCATCAGACATACTCACTCCAACTAAAATGGCTGGTATGGAAAATAATGCAATGAATACACTCTAACATGCAATCAAATAATCTGGTCCTAAATTCTCAGGCAAATAAATTGTTGGAACACAGATTTTAAATAGTAATTCCAAGTCTTACGGTCCAGACGTTCCATTAAAATCGTTAAGCAAAGGAGCTAATTTTATTATGGCAACTTTTTAAAGGACACTCACTATCATCGCTAATATCCAGAGGAAATAGTTTTCTTTCATTAAACAAAATTGTGTGAAGCCTATAATGAACTGTAGTCTATTCTCCAGTTTCTACTGCAAACTCAGTTTAAAGTTCTCCAAATTATTCATAATTGCTTAATATATTAATATAATTTAATAAATGAATTAGGTGCTATTGTTCAGAATTCAGTCAAAAGGGCAAATGGATATTCATATTGGTCTGCTCACATCTAAGTGTTGTTTCTATAGGATTGCAAGATGCTTCTACTTTATATTTACCTCAAAGAATTTAACAAAGATACTAAGTACAAAATAAATTGAAAATTTAATAAATATTCAAATTAATTATTAAAATAGGACAGTATTGGATACATAAAATAGAAAATATTCAATCTTATTTTATATAAACTAATTGAATTTTACATTTTTCTTAATTTCTCATGTTATAATGTTCTTTGGTTTTTACTCATAAAAGTAGGCAATGCAATACTATTATGGTCTAACTTCCTAAAACATTGAGGGAATTTGATATCTAACATTTATAGAATAATACATAGGAAGGCATTTTATACAAAATCTATCGTATCACCAATGTCAAAAAGTTTAGAGAATTTATTACAGGCTAAATATGAAAATCAAATTAGTGGATATACTTTGATTGATATGCATAACTAGAAACAAAATTAAGACTTTGATTTATAATTATATATAAATTATATGATTATTTCTGAATAAATGTAAGCCAACTTGGCTCATTTTTTTTTAGTTCTCAAATCCTAAGAGTGCGTCCAATATTAAGATATCAATGGGACTCAATATGAAGGATAAATAAAACTCATATAACCAAATGAACAAAAGCTGGTATTCAACTATACTCGCAATTTGGCAACTAATGAATCTAATGATAATAAGCTAGTGCAATTCAAGGATTTAACTTATTTGAAAGTGCAAAATCAAACGTCACAATCTCAGGTTGTTGAGAAATCCAAATCTGAGAAAAAAACAAAGACTTTTGTGAGATGGGAACAGAATGTGGATGCTTCAAATTTAGAAGATCAAGCAGTGAAAAACTTTGATCAATTTGAAGCAATTAAGAAATTTGGTATCGAACCTACATATGATGAAAATAAGTATACAACTAAATTGATTGCGCCTGTAACTGAAGATTTGAGACTATATGCAGAAAAATGTGAAAAAGAATTGAAAAATGACACATCAAATAAACATGTCCTAGAGGAGCGAAATCTAAAGCAATTAGACGATGAGGAATAAGCTTACTCAGAAGTCATCAGGGAATAACCCTAATAAATAATCCAAGTTCAATAGACAATGCCAACCCAAATAGGTTCTGCTCCAATTAAATTTTTCAATTCAAATAAGCAAAAAGAAAAAAATAACAAAATATCGTACGTCGAGAAACTATTAGAACCAACAAATCTAATTTCGGATGAGCCTGAACAATTACCTAAGATTAAGCCACTTAATTAAGAAGCCACAACAAAGTAATTTGTTATTTATCAACTAATTAGATTCAAATTCTAATAGACTACCACTAATAATATTCCTAAATTAATGCTTTCTAATTTCATTAATGCAGTTGAAGGATATAAATGGTAAAACATGCACCCAGATCCAACCAAAAACAAAAAAGAGAAACTCAAAAAATGAATTATATCAAAGTGTTTATAATATATTAATCAATATTTTACATTTCAGTACCTTAGGCTGAAATCCAAATTAATTATGGCTATCTCCATGCATTCAAAATATCTGCCAAGTATAAATCCTCTAAGAAGATGAACAAATTTTAGATTAGAGATTAGCAGATTAAATTGGATGATCAAAACCTATTGTGTAACTTATTTATTCAGTCTCTCTTGTCTGTCTACAATAATTTATAGGTGAAATTTATAGTTAAAGGAAATTGAGTGAAAAAACTATTCGTATAATTTTGACTGGATTGGTTATTATCATTATTATGAAATTCTCTTATATTTCTTATATTCAATATTATTTTATATATATAAGATATCACTTGCTTTCAACCAGAGTATATTTACTAAACCTTATTCCATCAAATATTTTTTATTGATATATTGTTGTTTTGCATAATCCTGAATAAGTGCTTGATCTTCCTTTTTCACATGCTGACCCTATTGTTTTCTGAGTGGCAGAGACATAAGGAACAATTCCCTTGCGAGGAGCCTTTGTAATCTATGATATTCAGTACCTCATCAAAGAAACAAACAACGTATTCTATAAATTTATCGATATTCTTTTTCAAAGCACGTCCGCACCCGAAATATTTCATTCTCGCAATCACTAATTATTCACCCTTGTTATCATCCATCCACTTTTGATAAATCTCTCGTGGTTCCCATTCTTGGCTTACTGAATGAACAGTTCTGAATTTATGTAGAGCTCCATAACGAGTTGTTAACTAATTTTAATACTTTTTGTTAATCTACTTGTCTGCAGGTTTCGAGAGAATCTGGACATCTTTCTGAACATGACTATGCAGCATTTGCAATCCCTTATTGCCATTCAACAACATTCATGTTTGCTGCATAATCCATTTCACCAACATGATTCTTTCTTCTTCCTTATGCTACTTCATTTCTCAATCTATTGAGTTATTCTTCAAATTCGGCTTGCCTTTTAGCAAATATTCCCTTTGCTGTGGTCTAACAAGAGTCACCTGGCAATGCATTCGCTACCAATAAGCATCCAATAACTAAAATTATCATAATATAATTATCGTTTTTTATAAACTGAATTATGTTAGATCAAAACTTGATCCTAAGGGTTGTAAAAAATATATGCCTTTTAAAATTCATGGCAATTAAACTGGTCAAAATGATAGAATTTTGAGGAATGCTTTGGTTCAAAATTATCAAATTTCATAAAGTTCTAAAGTTGAATTTATCTTTAAATTTTACAATATAAAAATATAATGGCAGAGAACAACAAAGATTTAAAATAACTTAAGATCAAAACAGCAGCCCTCAAGAGAATTCAAAAAGAGTTTTTCGGTTATCAAAAGGAAGAATTGAAATAAAATGAAAGAATTCAGAAGCTTAAGAACTAAAATGTCGATGAAGCAGACATCAAAAAACAAGTTCAAATTTTATTTTTATAATTTTAGGAGGAAGTTCTACAAGAAACAGTACAGATGTATCCCAATATTATTGGAAGACTTGTTGAATCTGTGAATGACCTCTAAGTTTGGCTAGTAACATACTTACGAATATAATTAGGATGGCAAGCTTAATGATCCTTTGATTGATACAAGTGAAGAAAAGACAAAGGCATTGGAGGCGATAACTGAAGCCTAAGATTTCTTGAAGGCCAACAATCCAGCTCAATGATTAGTTTGCATTTTGTTATCAATAAATTTATTAGAGATTATACTATCATTTTTAACATAAAATTCTTGACGTTCTATATCTAATTGTGTGAACATCTTGGGATGCAATGGAATTAAATATTGATTAAAATTATTTTGCTTTAGAATGAATTATTATAAATAACATGCATTACAACATATGGGTTAAATAGAGCCAGAGGCAAATTTCTTTATTTTTCATCCTAATACTCCTTTTACTTCAAGTAGAACAAAACAAAATAGAGTTTTAGCATTTTTATTGCAAAAATTAGTGATGCTTCGCAAGTACAATTGATAATATTACAAAGGTATGAAAATTTATGTGGAGTGATTTTACTACTTTTGAAAGAATTAACAGGGTAATTTTTTTATGCAAATTATCAAGGAAATAATGAACTAAAAAATATACTAATCTATTACAATAATATCATTTTTTAGAACCCTGGATTGTATTAGCAATTTTATAATAATGAAACACCTCAAAAATACAAGTTTAATTTATGGTTGAGATCATTAGCACATCTTGATGATGACAAACTTTAGATTGAAATTGAAAAATATTCTTACGACCATAATTATATTAATATGTTGGAATATGAGATATTATTATCAATTATTTAAGAGAGTGAAATTGATTTAACTAAAATAAAGAACGGAATTGTGTTACTAAAACTAATCAATTACAAAGAGGACGAAGATAAACTATAGATTTTAAAATAGATGAAAGATTGTTATATAAATGAAAGCTATACTCTAAAGAAGGAATGGTTGGCTTTGATGATAAAAATGGATAAAGAATTGGAAGTATAAGATTTGAACAATTTGCAATAAGTCGATCTCTACGATTCCCGGTTCTAATTTCTATTGGTTTCAAGCTATTTGAAATTGGATCAGGTTGATAAGGCAATTCAACAATTGATCAATCATTTACTGTATTCTGATGGCAATGCTGAAATCTGGGCTTTGTTGTAATAGTCACTGGCCCCTGAATCCATAGAGAAGTACAAGAAAGATTGTTAAATTTTGATAAAGTTACATTTTGGATAAGGGTTTCTAAAGTAATTAATGGAATTTCCAAAGAATTAGGAATTGTTGAGGTTATTATAAACAAAAATTGGGTTTTTCTCGCTTTTCAATGAAAAGTAGTCAGAAAAATATCTCATATTTCTATAAAAGCAGGAATAATATTGTATGTGATATATAAAATAATAATAAAATCGATATTAATATACATGCAATCAACTCAAACCTTTGAGGGCCGAAATGTAACGCGAACATACACCGGGAATAAAGCTCTTAGAAAACTCAAAGAAAATAGGAATAATACTGCGAAATTCATTTCAAAAGGCTCTCCACCTAAAGATTTACTTTTTTAGTCCTAAAACAAATTTAGAGTTGGCCCTCCTCCACAACCATTACGTAAGAACTTCATTATCGTTAGTGAGGGCACAGTAATTTTCTGCATTCGGACCCAGCAGATCAACAAAATCCATTCTAGCAAGAAATAACTTCTTAAATGGATAACCATCAATCACAAATGTCAAACCATTTTTAGACTTTAATTAATTTATGAAGGGACTATCTTCCAATAACGTTAAACCCAAATCGCCTGAACCCCAATAAGTGAAAACTATTAAATCCAAATTTTGCAGATGTAAGGAAGTGAAAGATTTAATCAGAAAGGTACTCGCAACAAAATATCATAGGATGAAAATGATAATATTAGTATTAATAATGACATGAGTCCCAAACAACAGTTGCTTTTTAATACCTCTCTAAGCAAGCCATCCTCTCCTACCATGAAAGGGTACCTTAACTCCAAAAAAGACATTTATAAGCAATGTATGATATTTATAGTGATTAAAGTGAAAAATGATATTGATGTCAAAAAAGAAATTTACTCTTATGCTCTCAAAAAGATGTTGAAGGAGGGCGATGAAGAAGAACTCATGGATTTTGATCATCGATACTTAAGAAGTGTGAGGTAGAGGAAATTAAGAAACATTGTCCACTTTCTCTTAGGAAGATCAAAAGAACAGTAAGTCTCGCTCCAAGATTTGATAGATAACAAAATGACCCAATACAAACCATTTCAACAATAGGGATCCTATTCGTTTTTATATTACGTGAAGAAAGGATTACTTGAAAAAGTAGAAACGCTGCTCCAATAGAATAATCTTTACGCCTTTGACTTTGATGAGAAGCAAATGACTGGCCTTCACATTGCTACCTAAAAGAATAACTTGAACATGATCAAATTGCTTATAACATACAATTCGAATCCACTCTCCAAAGACCTATCAGGATTAACACCGTTACACTATGCAATCAAGCATCTTAATATAGTAAGTGTATAAGTATGTATTCAATCTCTATATATGAGTTATTCTTGTCAATCAAAGTTCCAACAGATTGCCAATACCCAGATTATTGTAAACTAACCGATGATAGAACAATCTTGAAATTAATTCGAACTGCCAAAATCAACGATCTCATTAGAAGAACATCAAAACATAAATACTTATAACAATACCTTTAATCAATAATGTGATATTTTTAGAATTTTTTATAATATTTATTAAAGTGAATTATTCAAATTCGAGTAAATTTAAGGGAATATATAATATAATTAAGATATAATTTTAACATATTATTAATCCTAATTTTAAGTTACAAAGTCATTTTATTCATTGAAATCCAATTATCATTATATTCAGGGTATTATTCGTTAATTTGAAAGTATGTTATTTTGATGAAGGTATGCTTTTTGAATAAATGACTCAGAATAAATAAAGCTGTTTCTTCTTAATCAACACCTTTCTATTCTTATCAAAGATGGATTAATTCACTCAGCAAAGAGTAATAATATAGAAATTTATGAATTTGATAAAACACTCCTAAATGTACTTTGTCCTCAATAAAATCCAAAAGTAAGACTGAAACCAGAAAGGATATTGTCTATAAATTGCAACTTGATTGACTTCATATTTAGTTGACCTTTTGTTATGAGTATATTTGATATGCTATTTATATATACTGCTAACTAATAAAATTTATTTCTTTATGATGAATTAGAGATATATTGTGAGAAAAAGAAGTCCACGCCCAGTAATCAGATTTCTAAAATATTGTCCTAAATTGACCGTTGCTTCGATAATGACGATCTAAAATTTTTAAGGATATCCTTCTTCACCTCAAGTCACTTTGCCTAATAGTAAGCTATGTTAATCCTTTATTGTTCAATCCAGTCCCTAATCATAAATGAAAAGATGTAAAATGAAAGATAATAGTTAGATTTGTCAGTGGATGTGTACAAACCAACTCCTCCATAAACAATATTCAAATCTGCATCTCCAACAGAGAGAAAGTTTAGTTATCTTTCCTTTTAAAGAACAACGATTGGATAAGAAAGTCCTGCAAAATAATCAGATAGTATTTATCAAATTGAATATGCTGATGATACAATTTATTATGGATAAATCAATATTACAAAAAGACATGGCATGGGAGCTATGTATGACAAAAACAAGAATCTAATATATTTGGGACAATGGGATAATGACAAATACCATGGGCTTGGAATTTTAGTTAAGGATGGCTATACTTACAAGGGTGAATTTGTGAATGGCATTCTAGAAGGCTAAGCAATAGAGGAGGGAAATTAATCAAAATTCTATGGATATTACAAAAATGGGTAGAAAAATGGGCCTGGAACCTTATATGAACAATCAAAAACTATAATGGGCATCTGGAAAAATGATGTTTTGGATTAAGAATGTTGATTCTTTGATTAGCACATTTTTCAATCATTCCAAGTTAATTTTAGTTTAATAAAATATTTTATAAACAACGATTCCTACATTTTCAAATTTGCAAATTTTAGAAATGTTGATGTAATTTAAATTTTATTTTTAATTATGTAAAATGTAAAACAAATGAGGGAAAAATATGAAAACATCAAATAACTCAATCCAAATAGAGATGTTAGTTCGAGGTCATTTCATAGTCATACACCTTCGAAAGAGCAGTATCAAGTGGCTTTTTCTAGTGGTAAAAAGTCAATCGATTAACCAAATATATCGATTGGAAAAACTTTGCTATGTAGTCCTTGCTATAACAAAAGGCTATTGAATAAATAATAATAGAATAAGAAATAAGAGTCTGAATTGGAGAAAGTAATATTACAATAATAATATAGAGGTTGCTGATGAAATAAATGGAATAAAACCAATTAAGAGAATAATAGAAGATTAATTTTGAGGTTGGCTAATTGTCGCTCAGGAAGCAAATGGAACAATAAAATCTAAATATTTCAAAAGAATTATTGGATTTACATAAAGAAAAGGAAAGACAACTAAAAGAGTAAGAAATATAACAATAAAACTTAATTATAAAATAAAATTAAGAAATTTTGTAACAAGAAAAAATTGAAAAAAAAAAAAAATAGCACAGTTTACATTAAGAACTGTCAAGCTAAATTGAATAACAAAAAAGATTACAAAAAATAGAATATATGTCTTAATCTATGGAATTTGATGATCCGTATTGGAGAAATCAAGCGTATGAAGAAAAAGAATAGCAAAGGAGAAAAAATTATCAAATGATGTGTAATAATAATCACTGGTAAAATCATGAAAAAGAATAATAAAAGAAGTAATAAAAAGAAAGAGCTTTAAAAAATAAAGAAATCGATGAAAGAATAAAGACTTTATAAGATTATCATAATTAATTAGAATAAGAGAAAATAGAGAAATAATAAATCTAACATCAACTCATTTTAGATTTAAATGCATAAGTAAAGCTTAAATAAACTAAATAACAAGCTATCAAATTAATAGATTAACAAAAATAGCGTCAAAGAGACTAAGAAATTATGTAATAAGAAAAATTAAGAAAATATAAAGAAATTTGTCATAAAAAGAAGGTAAGCCAAGAAATTATTGAAAGTCTCAATAAATAAATCGAAATGTAAAAATAATTAAATCCTAAATAATAATAAGAATAGATTAAAAGTGATTTTTATATCTTAAAACCTGTAGTAGAAAAGTAAACCATATCTTGTACTGATTGTAAAAAATAGTAGGTTCCACAATAATTAAGTTATGCTTGAATATATTAATAAATATTTCAAATTAAATAAATTAAAAAAATATATAGTTAATCCTCTTGAATTTACATTTTATAATTTCAATTTACTCTAGTAATTTGAATGAAATTCTTGTTCTCATTATAAATCTCTTCTTATAAACAAACATAACTTGAAGCCTATATTAATCTTAATACATTTCACTACTTGGATATTTATTTTGGATGAGTTTAAAAATATCAAATTTTATTTTAAACATTATAGTTTATATTTTCTATCCATAAGTTGAGTACTTTCCTAGTTTAAACACATAAAAAAAAGTTAGTTTATTATGATGAAATTTAAATTTTTTAGCTTATTTATTTATAAATGAGATTGAGATGAATGTAACAATTAAAGGTCTTATTTATATCTAAATATTCGATTAAGAAGAACTTAAAGTTATCTGTTTCTCCCGATATTGAGCAAATGTAAGAAAATCTGAAAGTTTGGAAATAAAATATGATCTTTTATTATTTTAAGAATTTCAGAGCTCATGAACTAACAAATTTATAACCTAATTCATATATGTATTCTTAGTAATTGAGTGTTCAGCGTATTTATTAAAAAAGTTAATATAGTAACTTTACTAGTTTTTAGCCTTGTTCTTTAATCTAGGCTATTTATTAAAACATTAACTAAACATTTTGATTTAATTCTTCAAAAATAAGTTAGTAATATTTTTGAAAATATTGTTCCCTCATTTTGCCAAATGAACAAGGGCGATCTTATAAACTATTGGTAAGGAATTAATAATATTTAAATTCTAATGAATTCTAATATTACAATATGAATCCATATTCTAGTGAAGTCAAAGGCTTTTATGTGAAAATAGTAAACATTTCTCTGGGAATAGTTGAATATATTATTTATTGATTTTTGATTGTAAATTAATTTATGAATTAGAGTTTAACAGATAACTCTCATATATCACAATGTCAATTAATGATTTAAGAGGAGTCTTAATCTGTTTGTAATAATACCATACTCTATCATTCAATACATGATTAAAATTAAGCAGTTTAATCTATGAAATTGGAAGAATTTTAAAGAATAGAAGATATTCATATTAAAAATGAAAACACTAAATAACCTGAAGTGAAAAAGAAACCATTTTCGCAATTGATGGTTCATTTCAATATCCATCATTTCAAAAGGAAAATGTTATCATACATTCATCCTAATAAGGAATTATCAAAAAATTAATTCTTTATAATATTTGACAAATCTTCATCTTTCAAAAGCTATCCAAAAAAATAATAATAATAAACATCGTTGTTATAGCATAATAGAGCAGTTGTCGGGTTTCGTAACATCATAAAAGATTTTAAGAATACCTTAATAGCCTAATTAAAGAAAAAGGTTTAATATTTCATAGAAATTATACCCATAATAGATCCTTATTCAACTAGGAAGTTGATCTGGGACGGAATCATTACTATAATGAGAATTTACTTATTAATTTGGATTCCCATTTTAATAGCATTTAAAAATGGAACTCTAGAGGACTTGAATGCTTATACTCTTAATGTATGCAGCAGTGCTTTTTTGATTGATTTGGCAATGCAAACTTTTACAATAAGATTTGATAAAGGATTTCCTGTAAAAGATCGATATTAATTGATACAATACTAAATAAATTGGTGGACTGCAATAGAATTATTTAGCTTCATTATCTCTTTGTATTTCAGCATTTAATTTCATTAAAACAATTTTTCAATGTCAGTAGTTGAAGATGATGGATGGACTAAAATACTATTGTTATTATTGATTGTCTAGACAAAAAATATTCTTTAGTTTATTGAAAATTTGCAATGTGTAATTAAACCAAGTAAATCATCAAATTCATTGATTGAATTGGTGAAATTGATATGCTTAATTTTATTAATCTAACATATTTTTTCATGCGTGTGGTATTGAAGAGTTATATTTAGGGTAATAATTGGAACATATGAACATTTAACAAGCTAATCATCTTGGCTTGATATGGCGAAGTTGGATATCGATTAACCTTGGCACAATATTTACTTAGAAGCCCTGTATTTTATAAGTGTAACTACATTTACAGTTGGATATGGTGATATAACGCCACAGAGTATGTTTAAATTTAATAATATATAGATGCATCTGAGAAGTGGTTTACAGTCATATATATGTTTTTCTGTACTTTGTAACTCTCTTATTCTGTAAATACTATAGGGTCGATCCTGATTTAATTAAAAGAAAACAATGAAGAAATAAAATAGAAAATGACAGCTGTTACAGAGTATATGACGAATAGATAAATGAGTCGAGGATTGTAGTTTAAGTAAGACAATCATTATACCTATTTTAAGAGTTAGAGAATATTTAAATTATTATTGGTAACAAGAAAATGTTTAAAAGAAAAATGAGACTGCTGAAATTATACGATTACTACCAGAGGAACTCCAAAAAAGTATACAAAGAGAAGGATGTTCTAATTTAATTAATAAGAGTTAATTTTTCAAAGAGAAATTTACACCAGGGTTTCTAAATCAATTAGTAGAAATCGCTTATGTGCAGAATTTCTAACCAGGAATAGTAATCAATGACTTGTAAAACATTTACATAATTGAATAAGGATGTGTAGAAATAATATAAAATTAAGTAAAAACATGGCATTTAAATTATAGACAGTAGTAGGCTAATTAATTTAATTTTAATAGTTTGGACTAAAAAGAGTATCTCTAGATTTGATAAATGAAACCAAATATCGGACCAAATCATTTACAAATCTTCTTATTATTCCATATACATCTCTAGTTTAATTAATTGCATAAAATTAGAATGAATTAGAAATAGTGTCATAAGCAAGTCTCAATATTATTAATGAGTGTGTTATATGCAAAGGATCACATGTAACAGAATTGTGTTCTCAGGTACATTATATTCCTGACAATGAAAAAGTAATTAAAAAATATTTGTACAACTCTACCCAATAAAGAGGAAGGCATAAGAGAAAACCAAGAGATTAATTTTAAGAATGGAAAAATGAGTTGAGGTATTTTCAAGACACTGCTGAATAATTATAATAAGATTGTAATAATGAAATTGAACTTCTTTTTCCCAATAATGAAAAGTAATAGCACATCAATATTTGTACACCTCGTTCCATACTTGAAATAAATGATGAAAAGCCTATAGGACAAAGAGGAGACCTTGAATATCGGCTCGAAAACAAAGATACTACAAAAACCGTTAGAAAATTCGAAAATAAACATGAAATAAATGAACTAAATCTCACTTAGCAGTTCGAAGCAATAACTTAAAAATTTAAACAGCTTCATGTATACAATGAAAAAACTTAAAAAGATATTTTTCTGCTTTATAAAAGATTAGAATTTTTTATGGGCTTAGGTGAATTTGAAATTGATAGGTACAAGAGTTATAAACACTATCATAAAAGTTGGAATATTGATAGAATAATAGCAGAATATAATTTTGCTTCAAATTGCACACAAAATCGAAAAAGTGAAAAAGTCAGCCTTGAATAAATATCGAAATACCTATTATTCCCCAAGTTGTACTTTCAACAGTATCATTCCGAGAAACCATCTGTGCCTCTTGAAAAACCGAAAGTTATCAAAAGTATAATCATTATTCATCATAGATTTTAGAACTTCTAAGAAAAGGAAACGAATTGCCATTCATCCAGATTTTTGAATAATAAATTATTTGTATTTTATAATGGATTAACACCAAAATCTCACTCGTTGTACTTTAATGGTAAATGATAGTTAAAGTGAGACTAATAACAATATTGATCATTCTATTATGGGAGCAGAGGAGGCAGTTTCAAAAGATGTTATAATGCAGAATATTAAATAAAAAGAAAAATTTGAACAAACAGAAATTAATGCTATATTTCAAAATTTGTAAAGTAATTAAACAAGCACTATGTCTCCAAAGTAGAAATCCTTTTCAAAATTATTGATTTATTTTCATTCAACAAAATATGCCAACAAGATGTTACAATTAATTAGACCAAATGAGAAATTTTCAAAGAAACATTTTAAAATTATAGATGATTCTGCATCATCCTATAAACATATGAAGAAAAGAACTCATATAACAACAAATATGCTTAGTTAAAATTTAAATTTAATTGATTTCAGAATAAAACTCAGAATGAGAGTTAGAGAGTTTTAATCTTTATTAAAATAAAAGTTTTTGCTTTGCTTTTCCTAAATTCCATTAATTGAACCCTAAAGTAAATTTAAATTATTGTGGGATTTTCTATTGAGCATCATGAGAATGTATATGATAATATGCATGCCTATAGTAATATCATTCCATTCTAAAGACAGCGAATAATATCATTTTCTTTACATTATTCTAACATGCCTATTTTTTATTCTAGACATTATCCTTAGAGCCTTTACAATTTGTTATGACAAGGGACTTCCTTTAAAGGACAAATTCGAATTGATTAAAAGACAGTTTACACTATCAACTTTCATGGAATTATTTAGCATCTTTTGTGGGATTATTATTGCTTTATCATTCTTATCGGAATAAGAAAGCCCATATATATTAGAAGAGGATGGGTGGCCTAGAATAGTACTTTTACTCTTCTACTAATAAATAATGAATATTCTACAATATTTTGATACAATTTAACATCAATTAAAATTAAGTAAATTAAGTAATTCGTTTATTGAATTGCTTAAATTAGTATTCTTAATATTATTAATACAACATTTTTGTTGCTGTCTTTGGTAAAGATAATAGTTATTAATTAAGGGTAGTGATAGGAGAGTATAAGTAAAGGTAGGATACAATTAATTGGCTTAAAAGAGTTGAAGGAGAGCCTTGGTAAAATGTATATTTGGAATCATTTTATTTTATGAGTGTCACAATGTTCACAGTTGGTTATGGAGAGATAGTGCCAACAAGTAAGAATAACTTAGATAATTTAGACCCTATTGAGAAGATATTTTGTATTTGTTATATGTTTCTATCCACTATGCAGCTTTCATTTTCCGTTAATACAATTGGAACCATTTTAACCTAAATCAAAGAGAACAATGAGAAGATTAGATAGAAAATGACATGTATAAACGAGTATATGAGGGAAAAATAGATTAGTTAAAGTTTACAATATAAGTATTTGTTGATTAAATTTAGATTAGAGTGAGAGAATATTTCAATTTTTATTGGGAATAGGAGGTCATATAAAAACGAAATGAACAATCTGATTTGATCTAATTGTTACCTGAAGAATTGTAAAACAACCTAAAAAATGAATCTGCTTAGGTTCTAATGAGCAAATGTCAATTTTTTAAGTAATTCTTCTCCTAAAAATGTTTACATCAGCTACTAGATAAAGTAGAATTTAAGACATATTAACCTGGAATAGTCATTGAAAACAATGATCTGAATATATTCATTATAGAATAAGGCTTAGTTGAAGTTAAATAATAAAAGGTATTGATGTATACAATATAAGAGGTAATTATGTTATTTGAAAGATAATGATTATTTCGGTCATTTGGAAATGAAAAGTAATTAATCATCTACATTATAATATAAAACAGCCTCTTTTTGCAGTATATTAATAATTCCTAATTAAGGAATAAGGGAGGTTTTGTAATAAAATGAAAATGATTAGGAATAATATTAAAAAATAAAAGATATATCCTATTGTTACGTTTGTCAAGACAAAAGTCATTTGAGTAATGAATGTAACCAAGTTCATTTTGTGCCAGACAAGGAGAAAGTCATAAAATAATATAATTTTATTCAGGAATAACTTCGCGATTGCTTCAAGAGGTCAAAAAAGAGACATCATTTTTCTGCCTCATAAGATTTAGAATTGATTTAAAATTCTGCGAAAATCTATCAAATAGAAAACGATTTAATAATTGAATAAATAGTTCCTACTATATTTTATGAGTAAAAATAATCAATTTAAGAATTGGAAGATTGCTAAAATTATTAAAGTGATAATCATTTAAGAAAAATCAAATATAAACATAAGGCTTCAGGGTCTTCCAATCTGATTAGGGTATAAACTATTGATATTTTGATTAATGATAATGGCATGAAAGAGATGTATGAGTAAATCAAATAGAAATATGAGAATATTCATAAATACACTCAGTAATAATAAAAGGATCTCTAAATGCTTTATAAGTAGTTGAATAACAAGGGAGAAGAGAATTCAGAAACTTGTGATAAAATCCAAAACTTACGATATAATAAAGAGTGGAATCTAGAGAATATTGTTAAGAAGATTAATAGATGCTAAAGATAAGAGTGTTAGAAATCTGCAGTCGAACAATTTTAGAAATATTTGATGTTTCCGAATTTATTTGTATCTTTATATAAGAATAAGAAAATACCAACTTAAGAGGACGAGGAAAAGCGGAATGCATCGGTATTCATTCAATAATACAAATAAAGTAAATTTTACATATTATGTGTAAGATCTGAAAAACCTAAAGAGAAGAAGTGGAAGAATTGTACCTTAATTAATATTTAATATAAATTAATGAACGACAATAAGTAGAAAGATCTTGAAAGTCCAATTTTCTCAGTTGTGTGTTTTCCTGATTCTGTTTTAGTGAGTTTGGGAGGAGGAGGAAAAAGATACGGTTTAGTTAATAGTCTAGTATGTATTCTTCAATATTCTTAAGCAATTATTTCCGAAACCAATTTATGGAATTTTGAAGGATCCCATTCATACTTTACAATTAGGAGACGAGATATTCTAAAGATTAAGACTTAACACGAAAACAGGATTAATTGTTGGAAATAGCGATGATTAATGTGTGATATTGAAAGTTTAAGATAACAAGATCTCAATAGTAACAAAGTTTTAGACTGACAGGGCAGCAAAAGAACCTTGTTAGAATGACGGAGTCTTTAATTATTAGGGGGATACTTTGGCCACAGGAGGAGAAGATGGAATTTTGAAGGTTTGGAATAAGGATTATCAATTGAAATTCACTGTGGATATGAAAGGCAAAATATAATCATTGGATTATCATGTAGCAAATGGAATGGTAAATCTGATTTTGACAATAGTTAATAGTGGCCACTGACAATGAGGAATGCAAAATATTAAAGGATAGCCACGTGTTGCATAAATTAGATATATCATCAAACAATATCCACAAATTGCAATTTCAATCAGCTCTCTTCTCATTAGATGGCAATACAATATTTACATTCAAGAATCCAATGAGAGGAGCTTCATATATGACAAGTTGGAGAATTGAAAATGACAACATTAAACCATTAAAAACAATAAAAATTCATGGACATCCAGTAGTCACTACTTGTTAATCAAAGGAAGGCATGTTCATTGGTATTGGATGTTCAGATGGAACTGTAAAAATAATAAATGCAAGGTATCATTCCCTGTGTATATTCATTTAGAAAATTGGATGTTGAATCTAGTAAGTAAGCTCATGAGCTTCCCTGTACTGCATTATGCTTCACTCCAGATTCCAGATTCATTATTTCAGGATCGGTCGATGCCAAATACCATTTTCTCTAAAATACTAGACCTTAAGGAATATTTTCTTTACTATCAAAATTCTGGCTATTAGGCATGTTGTTAGCATACTTAATTATTGTAATAAAGGATTTATTTGAATGAGAGTTATCAAGTATAATTTAATAGTTGTTTTATTATAATTACATTAAATTATTTAAAATGCATAACAGAAACAAAACTAGCAAATCATAAATGCAACCCTTAATCTAATTGTCTATTGATCTAGGAAATAATAAATGCGATAGGATTGTCCTTTATAAAGACACTGATCCATATTTAGAAGCTAGATAATTTGTCCAAAGAAATCATCTGCCCTAATAAATGGTTTAAGTAATATCGAATTGCATTATTAAACAAATGAAAGCCTATGAAGATATGATGATGATAACGTATGTAATTTAATCAACAAATAAAGGACACTCAAACAGAAACTAATTATTTGAGGAACTTAAAATCTAATCACAAAGAATTATAAGCCAAACAAAAAACTCCAAGTCCACAAAGATTTCATCAAAGTCCCAAAATAATACATAAACAAAATCTATCCAGAAGTCCATCCAATATATCTTTGTAAGATGAACTACCTACCGATAAAGTAGTAGTGAAGAAACTATTCTAAATTTTAGATTCTGATTAAGATGGATTGATCTCTGCCAATAAAGTGAATTATCAGAAATTACCAATTTAGTTAAAAAATAGAGTAATTTTCTTAGTAAAATCTAGATTGCCATTCATCTGGAACAATCATCTATACCATTTGAATTTGAGGAAGTATATGATAAATTGAAGAATGAGCCATAAGAGGAATATTTTATTACTTTAAAACTGATAAGCTAAATTTTAGATATTCCAAAGGTCAAAGTATTAATGTGAATAATTTTGAATCATATAAAGAATAAATCAATAATTATGGTTGTAATTTCATTAAATACTTATTTTTTTATATCTATTTCGTTTTATTATTTTTAAATATACCTTATTTAGTTTAAATAAGCAAATTTTGAAGTTTGTACAATCTTTATTTATATAAATATCAATATTATAAAATTAAAACTTCATAGTCAATTTCTAATAATAAATTATGATTTTGATGATTTAAAGAGAGTCAGGGTTAGTTAATCTTTTCATAAAAGGTACAACATGTGTATGAATTGTTAAATATCATTTTATCTAATATTATGCAAATATATTAATTTCTGTATTCTTCAAATATTGAAATTCTTCATTATTTATAATCAGCTGCACTTTCAGCTTAGAAACAATATTGTTTTGTTTATATCTTAAATCTTTACTTTCAACTTATATTTAAAAATTATGAATTTCTTTTATCAGCAATTTGGTAATCATAATTGATCATTTATAAAGAATTTTATAATATTCTATCATATGAATACTTTGGGGAAACTAAATGCGTAATATTAATTTTTGAATTTTTTGTACATCCAAATTTATATTACATCTTTAAAGTAGATATTACTATTTTTGGAACAAAAGAATTTAATTTTAAGTTTTGATTAATTTTGCAATTCCTTATGATGCTTCTATGTTTATTGATCGTTTTTCTGAGGTATAAAATCTTAAATTTCGTTTAATCTCAAAATAAATGGGATATAGTATATAATACTTTGCGTAATTTCTATAAATAATATGCAAAACATTAATTACTAAGAGAGCAAATTTTAGTTTGAATGCTTTAGAAAACATCTGCTTATGGATGCCAAGTATTATGGATATTTACTACCGAACCAATTGATTCTGACAAGAGTATTATGTTTGGTTATCTCTAATAGGCTAAATAGTCATAGACACCTAAATATAATTTGCCTTTACTACTAAACACCTTAATTCATTTTGTCACCAAATAGCCTTCAAACGAGATTGAATAGTTTGGTTTTTTATATAAAGAACAATTCAAATACTTTTATGCCAACCCAAATATCATATTGTAACTTAAAGAACTTTTGGCTTGCAAAGTTATGTTTAAAGACATTAGTGAGTTCTATTAACCAATAAGTATGTTGGGGAGAGGTGGTTCTTCAAAAGTATAACATTGATTAACCCTTTAGGTGTATTAGGTGATGAAAAAAGGCTCTAAAGATTAATATGCTTCGAAGTGTGTCGATAAACGATACTTGATAGAAGATGGAGGATTTGTAATAATTGAATGTAAACCTAGAATGGATTGTTTAATGAGATCCAGCTGATGCAAAAGATGAACCATACAAAAATAATCCACCTAGAAGAAGTCTATGAAGGGGAGAACACATTTTATTTGATTTTGGAGTATTTATAAGGTTAGAGTTTACATGAGTCTTTCAATAGGAGACAAGTTATATTTGAATAGGAATAGATATAAACAATAATGTTTGTAAAAAAGAATTTCATAACCTTAGCAACTCTTGACAGCGGTTTAGTATATGCATTCTTTAGGAATCATGCATAGAGATTTAAAACCTGAAAATATTATGTTTAAGAGTCAAAACGCCTATGATGAATTGAAAATTGTAGATTTTGGATTGGCCACATCAATCTGGGCCGAAACCTATCCCTTTCCTAAATGTGGGACTCCTGGCTATGTTGCTCCTGAAATTGCTAACCTCAAAGATTTGAATTATAAATACGATTTGATTTGCGATATGTTTAGTGTCGGCTGTATATTCCATAAATTGTAAATAGATTTAATATTTTAGATTAACAGGAAAAGAGCTATTTCCAGGAACCGATTACTAGGAAATTTTAAAATTAAATAAAAAGTGTTCAATCAATTATGAACTTCTTACTCTCTATAGAGCACCAAAAGAGGCTATTGACTTAATTGCCCAACTCTTAACTATTAATCCAAAAGATAGAATATCAGCTTAAGCTGCATTATAACACAATTATTTTTAACTTAAATTTTAAACCAAAAGAGGCAAATTTTAACAAAATAACAATAAATACACTCCCGTGTTTCAAACTTAAAATTTTAATCCTAAAGATAATATCTAATAATAAAACTTTCACATTGAAGACGACGTAGTTGAAGATGAAAATGCCCATTCTCTAAAAGTACCTATAATGTAAAAAATGAAAACCTTTGACCAATTTGTTTGTAAAATAAAACCATAAGTTACACCCACTTTGGCTAGAAGAAACTTCAAAAAATTCTAAACTTCAGATTTTAACTCAGCATTATCTCCAAACTCGCCTAATCCATTATAAATGGAGAATAAACCATCTTTAATTATCAATTCATCAAATTAAGATTTGCTTAATGAAATTCACACTAAAAATGAGCATTAAATTAATTAAATGGGTTAAATAGATGAAGAACAAGAAGAATAATTCTAATAAAACGTATGATGATTTTATTTATTCATATTTTTTATTATTTTCCTTATGGAATTATTTTAGGTTAATATCCTAAAACCAAAGAAACTTAATTTTATTATGAAAATAACAAATTCTAATAGGTAAAATTAAATGTGTAAAATTTTTATTAGGAATTTTAAAACTTTCATTTAATAATATTATTTTCTTTCTATTTTAGTTCTACAACATAAGAGACCATGAAATATATAGATATCTTCAACTTTCTAATATCATAATAAAATCATATAGATATTAAATTAATAATAGTTTAATATAAATATAAATAAATCTTCATAACTCCTTACAATTCTAAACAGATTCTCTTATTTATTGAAGATCGTTAGTTTTTAGGATCCCTCCTGCATTTTCTTTTTATTTTTTGATATGTTAAATAATCTGCTTTTACATGGATTGAAATTTCTTTCTTGCATTATTCTTTGGTGAACCTAATGGTGTTGTTTGTTTTGATAAGATTCTCTCAGAATCCAATTTAAATTTCAAAGCAAAGACCTGATTCATCTCCTCAGGGGTTTATGAATCGATCAGTAACTCTTCAATATACCCTGTCTCTACTCTAAACAGCCAACCATGAACCATTATAGCTATTATAATTAACATAAAATACGATTTCCTTTTTGCCAAGACTTTTGAATGATTGGATTCTTCCAAATATTCATCACTTAAGCTCTAACATTAAGTTAACTGAGACAATCTAATTTATCATTCTCATTTTCCAATGATTCTATAAGATCTTGATGTTTCTCGTAGACTATTTTTATTTAATTCAACCATAAATCAAGCAATCCCCCAACCGAGTCTTAAGCCATTGCAGCCTTGATTCCTCCACAACATGTGTGACCCATTACTATGATACTATGAATATTTAAATGTTCAACTGCATACTAAATTACACAATTCAACTTAAAAATATAATTTATTTTTACATTTAAATCTGTAGGTATCACTAAATTGGCTATGTTCCTATGGATGAATATTTCTCCTGGGTCTGTTTCTGTTAATTCATTTGGTGGGGCTCTGGAATCAGAGCATCCAATTAATAAATATTTTGGGGATTATCCTGTTGACAATTTTTTGAAGTATTAATCATCTATAGCCATTTTTTTTTCCACATATCTCTTGTTACCCTCTAAAACTCTGTTATATTGGCTAAATTCTCTAATACTGTTGCTTACAATTTGTTAATTCATTAAAATAATATCATTTTAGGAATATCACATCAATATATAAATTAATGGCTATTTACTTTATTTTATGGAATGTTTATAGTTATTAAAATCATTCAATAACTTAGATATTATTTTAATTGAATTAAAAATATTTGATCATTATTGTCAAATTAAATAATAAATGGAATAACAGAATATTTATTTAATATTTCAATAAAATGTTTCTCGCATTACTATTAGAGTATCGAGATTTGTATTATAACAACTTAATTTATTCAATTAGCCTTTTATTACTCTGATATTTAATGTTTCTTATCAAATAATAAACAAATATACTAATATCCATTAAGGACCAAGAAAAACAAATGCAATATGTTTAAAATTTATTGCTTGGAAAATTACATTAATTTTCAAATTCAATTTTTAATTAAACACTCTGAAATTTCTCTGATAGTAAATTGGATCATTAAAACTAAATATAATTTGATCGAATAAAGAAGAAAATACAAACAAACGTATTATGTAATTAATGATTTCGTAAAGGAATGGAGTACATTAATAAAATTATTTGAATATTAATAGTTTAAGTATAAAAATAAAGTAGAATTCATAACTTTTCAAGAAGAAATTTTAACAATTATTCAAAAATCTTTTGGATAGCCTTGAATTCTTAAGTCAAAAATAATTATGATTATGTAGAGTTTATTTAGATGAGGAAACCATTTAGGATAGCATTCAATATCGAATTTTCAATGCTTTTTGTTTCTGATTTGTTCAAAATTGTGATACATTCAATTTATAATATTTATTTGTGAATTATTTATAAAAATAAATGACATCTACTTCTAAATAATTAGTATTTCCTCCAATTGGAAAGCATATTGAAGATCTATAGAATCAGCTAAAAGAGTCAGTTCAATAATATAAATCAGATAGATACAACGAATACAAAGAAACTAAGAATAAGAGATTGAAAGAAATAAATGAGCAAAATAAATACAAGATCTTTAATAGGAAAAGTAGAATTATATCATTAATTTAATCAGTTTTCAATTCTTAGAGTAAACAATATGGTGGAATATTTGAGAAGGAGAGGGACATTTATTTATGCAAAGAACCCTTATTGAATGATTATCTGAAATATCACATTATAGAGCCATAAAGAAATTTAGAGAAAGGCCTTATTGAGAGTAGATTATCATAATTAAATTAGTTAAAACGGGCACAAAAGAATTTTGTGATGGCAGTTGTTTTGGGGAAGTTCCATTATAAAAATTAGGGGAAAAGGAAAGAAAATTAAGGGAACATTGGTTAAAGGAGAGGGAAAGATAAGCAAAGCTCAAGTTTAAGGCATTAATCGATTCGCAAACAGGAGTTTAAAAAAAAATAAATCAATCAAAAAGATTAAAAGAATTAAAAGTCTTTATTCCAAATAAATTCTCTCTCGATCTATTTGATGAACACCCATCACAAATATTAGCATTAACGTAATTGATAGAATAAAAGTATTAGTCAATTACATTAACATTCAAAAACTATGAAATGGAAACCAAATAAGTTTTATGGAGAAGTATTTGATAATAGCTTCTGCAAATTATCTGATGAAGACAAACCTATACTAAAAGATATTGAAAAAGGAGATTAGTAAGAATGAAATAAAATTATTTCTTTTAATACAATCGATAAAATTTCAGTCTTTTTTTGCATATTTTAACAAAGGGTTATTTTGAGCTTATTTTGCAAATCTAGATGGTTTGATCTATGGTGATGGTTAATATTAATTGTTCTTCTTTTTAGGAGTTCCAATGGATTATGTACTGTCTATAGAATCAACTTTTCCTTTTAATAATGGTGAATCATTTCCAACTGCCTAAGTCGAATCAATTTATTTTTATTGTTGAACCTATTTTTACATGATGAGACCTGGAGATTGCGTTGGTGATTAAAGGGGGGAATTAATATTTCTGTTGGCATCAAATTTAGAATACCTAAATAATAATAATAATTAAAGTTTACTCATCATTAATTTTATTTAGTTCATTGCCCTCATCAACCTCGTCTAAATGCTATTGGTCTTCTTTTTCTGCTTCAATGATTGCTTTAGTCATTTCAGATAAGAAGGGATGTTACATACATTTTTCTGCATTAATTCTCTTCTTTGGATCCTTCTCTAACATCTACTTTAATAAATCAACTGCAGGGGCAGGAACGATTTACAACGATTTAATTTCAAAGTCAATATTAGCCTCTCTATTTTGTTTGACTACGGTAGCATAACTTTTCCCATTGAAAGCAGGCTTACCTGTCAATAATAAATAAAAGACTAATCCCAAACTATAAATATCGCAAATGGAGGAGTATTTAGCTTTCATATCCTTTAAATTAATGACTTCAGGTGCCACATAACCAGGCGTACCACATCTACAGTAGAGATAAACCGGCTCGTTTACATGAGTAGCCAAACCAAAATCAGCTATTACTACTGATTCCATTTTCCTAATATTATCTAATTTAAATTTACTTTGGGGTTTTGAATAGTATATTTTCAAGCTTTAAGTCTCTATGCATTATTTCCTTCTTATGCATTTCTTACAAGCCAATTAATATCCCTACCATTATTTATTGTATTTGTTTTGTATTGATAGGCACTTTATCCTTGATTAAATCATACAATGACCCTCCTTCTAGCAATTCTAAGGCTACATATAAGGAATTCGAAGTTTCATAAACTTCAAACATTCTCATCAGATGTTTGTTGCGTAATTATCTCATAATTGCTAATTCATTTAGAATTGCTTCTTTTCCATTTTCTTCTGCATAGGCTGCCTATTTAGCAAAGGCTTTGATTGCCATTTCTTCACCGTCCTCTATTCTTTCCGCCATATAGACCTCGTATAAAATGAATATTAATACTGACGCAAAATTTCCTTTCCCTATTTTTTTATATACTCGAAACATGTGATGAAATTGCCACTAATTGATTCTTGGACTCAAATATGATCTCCATTCAAGTATTAATTTAGCAGTGGCATTTAATTTATAGACTTAATTGATGTCTCCATTCTCTTTTATGAATTGAATTCCTATTATTGGTCCAAGTGAGTCATCATCCTCATCTTTTTTCTAAACTGGCTATCTTAGAATTTCAAATTTAGTTTCGAACTCTAACTTTAAGCACTTTTTTGGCTATTCATCCTTCTAGTTATAATAACAGTATGAATAACCTTAACACAAACTACATATTGATCATATCCATAGAGCAATCTAGTTTTGCCATTAGGTTTTGTAAATTCGCCTTAAACGATTGGATGTTCTTATTTTGGCTTAAATTCATTCGGAATTGGAATCCACAGTTTTTAATGCATGAAATTCAATAAATATTATTAAAAGTGAAAATGATTATTTATTCAACTAAATAGTTTGAAATTAACTTATCGACTTTAACAAAAACAAAAAATATCATTAAGTAATATTCAATTTTATAATGGGATTTTTATTATTATATTATTTTTAATATGTAATTTTGAATAAAAATATTCTTAATATAACTTTTTCTCTTTAATTAAAGATCCCAATCTATATTTCACTTTGAACCTATGTTGAATGAGAGTAATGACCTTCTCAATATAAAAGTTTTTGAGATTTTAACTTAATTAAATTGATTAAAATATAACTATTTAAATACAATTTATATTCTTTATGCATTAAGAATTTTTAATAATAATTAAAACTAATTAATACTTTAGGGTCTTATCCATATTAAACATTGTTTAATGCAAAATCCCCTTAAGAGGGCTGTTTCACTAATATATATTTATATATGAAGTGATTAATTGCTTAATAATGTAGAGCTCTAATTTTCAATACATTTCAACCAATATTTATCGACTTTAATATATAAAATAGAAGAACACTAGACTTATTACTTTAGTTTATAATTGGTAGATACTTATGTTTAAAATAAGATCAATAAATCTAAGTTTCCTTAATAACCCATGGAATAAGAGAATAAGAACATTAATTAATATCTTCTTTCGATGCAGTTAAGGGATTTCTCATTCAGAAAAATATGTAAGAAGAACTATGATTTATTCAATATATAATCTTAATGTAATTCATTTAATTTTCATACTAACATTTCTAAAAAAATCAGATAATTTCTTATTTGATTTCTCATAAATGTCTGAAAAGTTTTGCATTTATTTAACTTCTAATTTTACAGTAGGTTCAGTCTTCACAACTTGACTTTTTCTATTTTGTCTTATAATAATCCTATTTGTTGGTTATCTGAGGAGATTTTAAGAAAAACTCTGTGCTGGAATTGAAGGAAGTAATTTAAGCTGGATAGTTTGTTGACTTTGTTACTTAGTTGAATCAATACTTTGAAGAGTAAAAGTTCTCAAATGAGTTTAGGTGGAAATCTTTTCATTTTTTATTTTTCTACTCATCTAGTGTAAATGAGCAAAGATAGGTTCTTTAGGAAGTTGAGCTTTTTTATGCGGTATTTGAGATTCAACTGTGTTCAGATATCTTCTTAGATTATTTGAAGTTGGAGTTAATAAAGTAGATTCTTTTGTCATTTGACTATTGAATTGTAATTTTGATGGTTGAGATGTGATATGAGTACTAACAGTTGTAATACTTGATTTAAGTTTCATTTCTGGAGTTGTTGGAGCTTCTGATATTTCATCAAATTGGTGTTCAATTTGTTTTATTTTGTTTTCTAAGACTTCCTTCTTCCATTCCTTGAATTTATACTCGTATGATGACATATGCTTATCAATGATCTCTTAAATGTGATACTTTTTAGCTAGACTCTTAGCTTGAACACTGGATTCCTTTACAGTTCTGCATTCAGTAATAATATCTTGAATAACTCTAAGTAAATGTTGTGTAGAAGATCTCAATTCGCAATGGGCGATATCATAGCCTTCGATTTATATGAGTTTGATCACTTCAGCTTCATTTAAGTTGGTGGCCTAATTTTTTACCAATAAAGCAAGGTCTTAGAAGCTCAGAAATTATTATAAGAAAATGTCTTAACTTATTAATTAGGAAACCTTCTATATGGATAAAGGACTAAGTTAAGGCAATATTTAATCGATTGTCTATTTTTATTGAGGTTATATAGTGGTTTTTTCACGTAAAGCCTTTTCCTCTATGTGATCATAGATGGCATTTAAAAACTGATTGGAATTTCTGATACTTGGATCCTTAGCTATTAATTTGATTTTATATTATTTTTCTAATTATTACATCACTTAAGACAGTTAGATAAACATTTTATTATATGTCCATTTTAAGTAGAACCTAATAAGAATATATAATAATTTACTCATGTCCAAACATATCAGAATTGCATGACTTCAGAATTTCTTTTATATTATACAATGCGTTTAGTATTCTAGAAAGAACAGTTGTAAGCATTGTAAATATTCTAACAAAGAAATATTTGTTATTTGATAAGTGCCTTATCTAAATGTTTTTTAGATATTGAGCCATTTCATGTTATGATTCATCTATTTATGGTGCTGCAGATTCAGGTTCATCTAATTCATAGAATTGCAGCTAATTCAAAAATAGTAGGTGATTAATCAGTTGTCCTTTTTATAACAGTAAATCTTCATATCTATTTCTCAACGTTCCATCTTGAAATTGTAACTTCCTATACACTTATATCAATTAGTTTATTGAATAATTCAAATCATTATCATGAAATTTGAAGAAAATCTTTATTCTAGAGGAAACTCCACTAAATCTTGCCCTATCTATATATTCTTATAAAGATGAGGCCAATTGTAATCTTGAAAATGGCTATCTTAGTTGCCAACGAACATGTTGCAAAATCTCATCCAATTCAAAATCATTTGGGTTTTCTAATACAAATATTAATCTTAATTTATCGATGTCATCAAACTCTTCTAATAACTCAGCACATTCTTCAATTTTATGAAATTTTGTTTTAATTTCTTCATCTATTTAATTGATGAGATCACTTGTCTATTCATATTTAAGTAATAATGACATTTCTTTATCCTCTTGTTCTAATAGTTCTTTTAACTTTTACTCTGTAATTACTGATTGCTTTTCTGCCTTGTATTTCAGTTTTTCTATTTTTTAAGTCTACCATTCCTTTTCTAATTTCATTGCCTTTTTTATGGTTCCAATGTAATGGACAAAAAAAGCCAATTGCTGTTTATTTTCAATCTCTTTTAAATGAATTTTTGGTTCATTCTATGTGTATAGTTCAATTTACTCATTCATTAAATTATTCTGTTTTTCAATAATCCTCACTGAATGCTCAATCTAATCAATTCTCTTTTCTAACATCTACTAGCAATCCATTTCCTTATCAATATCATTTTGTAACTCCACTTCCGGAATCACAATAAACTATTCATCCTTCAACTTAAATTCCTCTTATATTTATGATCTTTTTTTATTATTAATGTAGGCCAATTCAGCAAAGATTTTTTAATATCCTGCCACATCAACATTATCATTTTTCTATAAATTCTCCTGACTCATTTCATACAACAGTTCTTATTTCCGTTGTTCTAGTTTTTGATCAACGATCTTCATTACTAATTTTTAGTACTTGAGTTTTTGGTTAAAGCTATCTTAATGCAGCCAATTGCTCCCTTAAAACATTGTCAATGCTCTCTTTATGCAAGAAAATGCTAGTTTTTGTTTTGGTTACTACTCTTCGGAATGAATTCATTTAATATTGAAGTTTCGTAAATTCAATAAATAAAATAAATAAAGTATCTTAAATTATATCAAAATAGAAATAGATGTCAAACAAAGAACATCCTTTTTTATAAGTTACATCATTTCTAATTAGTACAATTAATCAATTTAAGAAATCCTTTATTATATACTCTAATATTTAATCAGTAAATACTCAAATACATCATTTAATCATTTATTGTGATTCAAAAAGCTTAAACTGATCTTCTATGCAGAAAAATTTTGATGATTGGACGAGTCACATACCATATTGATCAAAATATTATTGATATCATTTAAGTTCCTCCATTTCGAAATGAATTATGTTATCATTAGAAAATTTATAACAATATAAATGTGTACTTTTTATTGTTATATGATATTGTATTTCAAATCCTAAGTGTGTCTTGATGTGATCTAACTACAAGATTAAAATAAGTAACATGGATTTTAAGATAGAATATTTCTCACTTCTCATTATCGAAACTAATAGAAAGATCTATATGAGAGATTTAAGTCATCTTATTGAGCATAGGAGAGAGATCCTCAAATAATATTGTGCTTAACTATATGAGGAATGATATATTGACTTGCTCTATTGATTTCAAGGTGGTTTTAGTGGATATTTTGGGAATTTGAATTTTCTCGGTTTTCATTGTTAATGATAAATAAATTTACCATCCCAAATTTTTGGGCTAAATTTTTTGTTCAAAAATGTTATTAATAAAAATAATTAAAGTATTAATGACCGACAGCACTATCATATGTCCGTATTGTAAAAATAATGCTTACTTCGATCCAAGATCATCCTCAAGCTATTGTAGATCAAAAATATGCAATGGCATTGTAATTGAATAAGGAAAGATTACCTATGAAAATGAGGTTAATTTGCATGAGGCTGATGAACCAGGAAAAAAGTAAACTAGGTTTGGAGGGTATGAAAATAAAAGGGATGCTTTTAAAAATTAAATTTGTGAAATGTTAGGAAAAAGTGATTCTAAGCAGAGAAAATAATTTTATGAAAAATTTGAAGCTGGAGAACATCAAATACAAAAGTTGTCCAGCATTTTTATGATGAATGAAGCATTCACTAACGATGCCATATCTAAATACAGGTCTTTAATGTTTGATAATGCGAGTGATGTAGAACTATTTTTTAATATTTTAGATTGCCAACAAAAGCTTTTTGGCCTTAGCCGCTTTGGCTTACAACCTAACTATCAAAGAAAGGAAGTCATAACGTAATTATGATGAAAGATTAAATAAAATTACAATTGAACTTATAGTTAAATTCTGCTAAGTGACACCTCAATAAATGGATTTAGTTACTAAGGCTTTAAATATGAAAGTAAATAATTGTTTTTAGTTTGCTTAGAACTCAGGGGAACCAGGAAAACAGGACATCTGCTAAAAAATTGTACAGAAAGTCAAAGAACACAAATTACCATTTAATGAACTAGAAAATATGGCTATTTATGATATCCCTCATAGACTTATGGATAACAGTATTATCAGAGGTGAAAAAACTTCAACAATTGCATGGTAATTATTGTAAATATATACCTAGTGTTGTTGAATACATGGTCTCATAACTATCTGGCAATCCAGAATTAAATAGATTAACTCTAGATTAACTTGCTTAAATGAATGACGTAACAAAAGACACTGCTAAGAAACTATGGAATACAATCCTAGAAAATTAATGTTTATAGAATCATATTACTAGATGGTAAGGACAGAGATCAATATCAGAGCTCAAACATATAACCTGAAATATTTAAATATTATTTAATAAAAAAATTATAATCAATATCATACAATATCTCTCTAATAAATTTACATAATTTATTATGGAAGAATTTGGGCATTTCTTAACGGTATACGCTGAAATTGCTTAAAATATTAAATAAAAACAATATTTTATTACAAAGATTTGGATATATTCATTACATAGTTTATTGAGTTCAGCCATCAATTTTAAAACTACTCTATTATAGAAGTTATTTTTCTCACAACTTAAGAATAATCTACTTTATAGAAAGAGTATAAAAAATATGTATTTATAATGACTCTTATAATGAAAACTAATATCATCAATGAAAAAATTTTAGCTAGTATACTTATCTTCTAACTTTTATACTCCTTCTTTAAGAACTGATTAGGATATTAGATTACTTAGTTAAGTTATTAAAATGATATAAAATTTAGAATTCTCTTTTTTTCCATAAGAAGTACTTAATAGATTTTCTAAACACACTTTTGTCATTTTATAAAATCTAATCTCCTTCTGTTTAGGGGATTTGAACATATAATCATAATTTCTTCAATACTTATTCATGAAATAATTGGTTTATTTATTTATTAATGTATAATATAATTACTGTTCAATCAAATCATTCTCTTAACAAGATCATTGATGAGATCTTCTCTATTTCCCCAATCTCCTTGATTAATGAAGGATCTTCTCTTAGCAATGAATCCACCTCTTGGTCCTCTCAATTTGAATGCCCTAAGGATTGTAATTGATAATTACCATAAGAATCTATTTGCTTCTTTGAAGTGAGGTCCCACGGTTGTAATTTCATGGATGAGATCTTCAACGCTGTGAATGCCAACTTTTCCTAATGATTGCTCAATCACATTATTATTTGTGATTGGGATTCTTTGACCATTGATTTTGGCGTATCCTCTTTTGTACACAAGATTTTTGATGACAGTCCTTGATGGATATCCATAGGTGACATATGGCTCAACTTTTCTGATCATTTCGATTGTGGCCTTGTTGACTCTAACAAAGGCTGCATTGTGAAGTTATCTCAATTTCAAAAGTCTCAAGGTTTATCTGACCTGTGGATTCAAGGTGTTGATACTGTCATTACTTAAATAAATAATACCCTCTGATTCTGACCACCAAAATCAATTTAGCTTCAGCTGGCACATAGAATCCACCTTCAGTCTTAGCTTTACGTAAGTTATCAACTAAGCTCTTGTCTGCAGCCTTGTACTCAGCTTCATAAGCTTGAGCACTCTTTTCCCATTGAGCTCTTCTGGTTTTGTTGGCAGCCAATCTCTCTGTTCTTCTCTTAGCAACAGCATCCCTCAATTTAGTATCTCTTTAAGTCTTTTTGGCGACGTTCTCAGGAACCTTTTATCTACACCATCAATACAATAACTTACTCCACTTGCATTTGTTGCTTCTTTTAGGACATTTTAAACAAAATAAAATCTTAAATTTTAAAATCAAATCAACTAAAACACATTCTTCTTAATCTATTCTCAATTTATACAACAAATCTCGATGCATTCTAAATTTAACAGAACTCAGATTGCCAATATAAACAATGGAGTGTCATCCCAGCTCCCTATATTCAACATTAAATGAAAAATAATAATCTAAAGTAAATAATAAATATTCACAAGGCTTTTGCTTGGGTCACAGTAATAAGGTATTCACTTGAGGGATTTCCTCTTGAGACTTGGACTGGGATTCGGAGTTTTATTTGGCTTCTATGAACCTATAGGACTTAGACGATAATTTGAATTTCTCGTTGACGAGGCAGTTCTAATTGGCTTTAAGAATTGACTATGTGAGGAAGCCAAAGTTTCTCTTGTTGAAGGGAGAAACAATTACGCTTACTTAATCTAAGGTTCTTTGATGCGAATTCTGTATTTCTCAGTGACTATTTTCTCCTGCTTGAACCATTGGTGATTCATGGCTTCTTTGACTGTGGGTCTGAGTTCCTTAACTTCAAACAGTGATTTCAAAAAGAGTAATCCTTACTCACTGATTTTCAAATTCGTTACGTCCACCTAACCCTAATAATTCTTGGTTATGGTTTCATTGTAGTCACCTGCAAATGGTTCCTCCCCAGAAATTATAATATACATTATTACACCTACACTAAAGACATCCACTTTAAAATCATAGAATTCATCCCTCAAGATTTCAGGGGCTACGAACCCGGGTGTTCCACATCTTTAAAATAAGTATTTCCCATCCTTATTAAAATAGTCTGCCAAACCGAAATCGGCTACGCAAAATTAAGACAGACTTTATTTCCTTAGGATGATATTTTTTGGTTTGAGATCTCTGTGCAAAATGCCAAATTTATGGAATGACAAAATAGCCTTAAATAGTCTATATATGAAACTGGCTAACTATTTTTCATTGAGAAAGGAGTTGGGCTATTTTAAGTAGTCGTACAAATCTCCTCCTTCCAGCAATTCCATCACAACATATATGGTGTCTTCATTCTCAAAAACTTCATAGAGGTGAACTACATTTTCATGTTGGACTTGGCGCAAGATAGAAATTTCTTTTAAAAGGGCTATTTTATCTAATCGATTTGTTAATTTGTGTTTGGAATATTATTTAACAGCAAATTTTTCATCTCCCAATTGGTATCTACAGCTATAAACCTGAATAAAATTTAGTTGTACTTCTGCTTGATTTCCCTTGCCTATCTTTTCCAATATTTTGTACGTATTTGAGAACCCTTGTTGGATGCACCATCTTTTCATATAATTGAACCAGATTTCTGTTTCTCCATATAGAACGAGAGTCTCTCCTTTAGTCAGAGATATCCCTTCTCCAAGCATTTTGTCCCGCACTACCTCTATCAATGAGTTTTCATAATTTATCCATTTGATGGTACTCTAAATATATTTAAGAATACTTTTTTTGTGTAACAACCTAAAATATTTTGTATCAAAATGTATTTTTTTATTTTACAAGTGTTAGTCCCCGATTTAATAAATTCTCCGTCCAGAGCTCCATTTTTCGAGAGGACTGGCATTGGCAGATAACTCCACACAAGTTTTGTTTTCGTGCTTTGAAATATTGATTCTTTAAACATATAATATATTTTTATTTACTGAATATTTATTGCTTAAAAATATGTTGATTCAAATAATTTATAGTTCCCATTTAAATATTATAATTTAGGTTATGAATTAAGTGGCGAAGTTTTTTTATAATTGGTTACCTTAGGTGGTTTACTTACTTTGAGAATTAAAGCGATGGAAAAAGAGACGTTGCAATTGCAGACTTTAAGTCAACACGATTAGAATTAAATAGAAACGAGGGATTAAGTATTTGAATAATAAATTGTTAATTTAATATTGGTTTATTGCTCTCGATTTTATAATTGAGAAATCGTACGATTTTACTTATGTATAATAATATTAAAATGAAAAAGTTTACAATAATTCTTATTATTGTTTGTCTGCAACTTTGTAGTTGCGATTAGTGTTCTGATTACTTTTAAGATGAAACCGGATGTATACAGAGCACTGGAATTTCTTGCAGATGGATTGAGCAGAACAACCAATGTCAAGAATCCACAGGAACTTTGATTGGATGCCAGAATTATTTAAATTAGGCAGCTTGTATTTCATAGAAGGTGTACCCTGACAAATCAATAGCCGAATGTATTAGATTAGTAGTATTCCCCTAGGTATTTTCAGTGGATATTGCAGAAGTGTTATCGATGATGCATCAGAGTGTTAAAAAAATTTATCAAGAGCCGGGTGTTTGGGAGTGGAAGAAGCTTATTGCATTTGGAAGGACTAATGCATTGCGATCTCACAAAGTCAGGCAGTGGTATTAGGTTAGGCAACATCAGCAACAGATGAATTGAAACTGTCATCAATTACAGTATGTCAATAAATTATAAATTTCCCAGGTATTAATTGAAATTGAAATTAGCTATTCATTAGCATGGGGCACATGATGCTTTGACTCAGTTATATTTTGAGAACCTAACATCATCAGGAGGGGAGAATGAGTACGAGTAACAAATGTTGATTCCAGGGTGTTTTTAGCCAGTCACTGATATCTATAAACAAATAAAGTGTGATGCAGCAGGATTGAATTCATTAAGCTGCATGCTGGTTGAAACCGAACCTTGTATTTTTTCAGAGGGCAGCTGTAAAAAAGTGTTTAATTTCAATACTTTGAGTTGCAGCGATAAGTTAAATAAAATAGCATGCTTATCAATTACAAACTTTGACCAAACTTGTTATTGGACTGGTACTTAATGCACAACATATCTAGTAACCAAAACTACATCTTGTAGTATATCAATATAAGTAACAGAATTATCAATTTAAATAGGTCTCTCCTAGTGTTTGCGCTAATGTAATAAAAAAAGATGAATCATGTTTTTATGATTCAGCAACTATGAAGTGTGATTAGATGTGCAAGTCTCCGAGTCTAAGCAGCTCTATAAAATGCGAATTATCAAAACATGAATGTTCGTGGTTTGATTACGGGGTTGGATATTGTATCTTCAAAAAGAATTAATGTGATAGACAAGGATAGAATTACACCTCATGTATGGCAGCAGACGAATATTGTCTCTTTGAAGGTGGACTATGCAAATCTATATCGAATTTGAACCTCCTAGGGTGTAATAGTGGGTTAAATAAGAAGGCTTGCATAAACTTGAAGAATCCAAGTTAAGTCTGTTAATTTTGGGAAGATGAATGCTCAGAAATCTATACAACCCCAGAAGATCTACCATATTAATTATGGGATGTGAATCAGAATGCATGTAAAAAAATAACAACAACTGCCAGTTACTGGAGTAATGGTTCCTGTTTCTACGCATCTGGGAATGAGGAGTGTACAACCCAAGGCTACAACAAGTTGGGATGTCTTAATACTGTTAACACAGTGTCGCCTTGTCAATGGAATGGAGATTCAGGAAGTTGTCAGGCAATAACAATAACTAGAGAGACGAAATGTGAATCACTAAAATTGGTAAATGCGGTTGCTTGTCGAGCAGTTTAAGAAGAAGATTCAAGTGGCAATCCAGTGTTGTGCAAGTACAACTTAAATTCTACTGCTTGTGAAAAGGTCACCGTACTCTCTTCGATTAATTGTGAAACTGAAGGTTTAAATGAGGCAGCTTGCAGTTCAGTTCCTGATCCATTGTAAAGTTGCAGGTGGTCTTCAAATTAATGTGTAAAAGTGACAGCTTTGGGAAGTGCAGTTACCTGTTAGGCTTTACAATCAGTGACTTAGAGAACTTGTGCAATGGTCTAATCCAATAATTAGAGATGTCTATATGACTCATCAAGGAAGAGTTGTACAACCCAAGTACCACCATCAACTGCATGCACTGCTGCTGGTTTGAATCCCTATGGCTGTGCATTTGTAAGTTCGAAGTGCCACTTTGATACTACCACCAATCAATGCAAATCTACCTTAGATTCTGATTATGCAACAATCACTTGTGACACGAATTTCCCATCAAAAAGCACTTGTGTGTTAATAACAAAGGCTAATTAATATTGCAGATGGTTAGGAAAGGACAATGTTTGTGAATTATTTAGTTTTCCTGCCTCTGATTCATGTACTAAGTATTCAAATGTCAACAAACTATTTTGTTTGGCTTTAGAAGTATCATTACAAAGGTATATCAGTTCCAGTTACTATTGTTCCTATGATACGGGAACAAGTTCTTGTACTGAATATACAAATCTTGCTTCATGGGCAGATTGTGGATCAACATTAGATATCAATTTACATGCTTGCGTAGCTCTCTCTAATACTAATAAATATTGTTACTTTGATCAAACAACATTGAAATGTACAGAAATCACAGATCCTAATGATTCCAAGTTTTCATCTTTGCTCTGCAAATAAGCAAATAAAAAGTTGTGTCTCAGTTTATCAACGACTGGATAGTATTGCCAATGGGTAGATTCAGAGAAAAAGTGTCAACCAATAAAATCAGGGTAATAATGTTCCGATTATGTGTCCATGACAGTCAATCCAACTCTGTGTGCCAGTACCTACCCTGATGAGGCATGTGTTTCCAATTTTGCTGATAGTCACTGTAAAGTTGTAACAGCTGGTGATACATCTTACGGTTGTCTTGAAAAGGGATTGAACAAGAAAGCGTGTTTGGAGAATACAAACGGGGCATGCTATTACGATAGTGATAAATTGCTTTGTTTAGAAGTGTCTGGAACAGCAGCATATTAAGTGTCATGTTTTGGCGATGTGAACAAATTAGGTTGTTTGGCTTCTTTACTATATCCTTGCAAATGGGCTGACAACGCTTGCTCCTACGTTTATGATATAGATCCCTTTAATTCAATCTGCACTGACTTATCAACATAGCTTTACAACCCTAAGGTTTGCTAGATAATCCAAACTGATGGTCAATATTGCCAATATGATTCAGTAACCTTCCATTGTGCAGATTTCTCGGACTTTGTCTAAGATTGCAAACCTGGGTACAATTATTTAACTTGCAGTATGAATAATTTGTGTCAATGGGATTCAAGTTCAGAAAGTTGTTAACCCAGTGGTTCTGGAGTGGATTTATGCAAAAGTCAATCGACTGAAACTGATTGTCTAAGCATCACAAATGACACATGTTCTTGGACTACTGCAGGTAAGTGTAAAAAGATTGTCATCACTGAGTACACCCAATGCAGTTAGGTGGGTTCAGCGTAAGGTAAGTTCGTGAAAAGAATATGCCAATCTATCGCTTTCATATAAGGCAGTTGCCAATATGATAGCACTAGCAAGGCTTGTGTGACAGTGACAACTACTAACAATCAATGCAATGCTGTAGGTCTGAACAAAAAGGCCTGTTTTAATAATACAATCGGGTATAAATGCAGATTTGAATCAGACACGACCAAAGATGATTATGGATGTTAAGAGGTCAGCGACTTTTCAAATCAAGGTTGTTCTGATAGCTTAGATAGCGAGGCTTGTGCATCAGTTACTACTTCTTAATGTGCATACAACATGACTTATGATTTATGCGAAGATTACTCACAATATTACCTGGCCTACTATTACACTTGTGCTTAATTTAGCACTGGCTATAAAGTTACAATAAACTTATGCAAGTATCTTAAAGATGTTGCTTGCATTTATGATTCCACAACCTAAACGTGTAAGGTCACAAATGTACTATTGGATCAATGCAATACTAATGCTACGATCAATTCCGTGTATTGTTTAACATAAATTAAAAATTAAACATGCGACTTCGATCCGTATTATGGGAGCTTTTGTTATGAAACAGATACGTCTTATTGGCCATGCAGTTATTGCCAATCCTTTAAGTAATGTGTTAATAGCAGATATTAAATATGCAAATGGTAGGACGACATGTGTTAGGAAATCACGATTGATGTACAATGTTCAGATTTGACAAGTATCAATTCTAACGCCTGCATGAGTTTCAGTGGGAATACGAAATGTTAGTTCAAGTATGATCCAGTAGCATCAACGTCGTCTTGCATCGTTCCTTTGGATGACACTTAGCCATGCTCAGGATTGAATGAAGTTGCTTGTGTTGCCAACACAACCTAATCCTGTTTCTTTTATTAGAAATAATGCTATTTCATCTTTGATAATCCTTACTTGGCTAGTTGCACTGATGACTTTTCTTTTAATTATAAAGGGTGCGTGAGAATTATGAATTCAGAGCAAAAATGCAAATGGGACACCAGTCTTAATAAATGTGTTTCAACAACGACTTCATCAACAGATGCATGCACTACTTATGCAGATTCTAATTATTCAGCAACAATATGTGCATCAATTGAGAGTGGAAATTGCATTTGGAATAACGGATGCAAAGTGGACGTGGCTCTTGGTTGTGATACACTGGGAGCAAATAAAGGAGCATGCATAAATGCATTATCAGGAAGTTGCGTATATTCAGAAGGAGTTTGCATAGATGTGACCACTCCCTCAGCCTTAGTGAAAAACAAATGCACAGATCCTTCAAACTAATCAGGATGTCTGAACATGAATCAAGGACAAACCTGTAAATGGACTGGGAGCACATGTCAAGAGATCAGCGTAACTGGCGGTTGCACCTCGTATACTAATGTGAACCCAGGAGTATGCTAAAGTGTTACCGATGTGGCATGCAAATGGACATCTTCCAATTGTGCTGTAGTCATAATGAAAGGATTATGCAATTAGCCAGGATTGAACAAATCGGCATGCTTGAAACTCACCTCAGAAGTATGCTATTTTAGAAGCAAAAACAATAGTTGCACTCAGATTACTCAGTAGGTTCTGAATGAATTGGAATGCACGGACAATCTCAATGAACTCGCATGTCTATCTCATTAGAAGAAATGTTGCAGTTGGCATATAGATACAGGAACATGCCAGAATTCAACAGCAGGCACAAGTTGTGACTCACTGATGCTTAACTCACCTTATTGTTGTTTGATTTTGACTGAATAACCTTGTAAGATGGGACCATACTGTTAATTATTAACATCGCAATTCTCATAGTGTTCGGATGCATACAACAAATATGCTTGTGAGTGGATTAATTCACCATGTAGGTGGGATGATACCCTAATGAATTGCATATAGGTCAACAAAAATTATGGATGCAAACCGGATCTGAATTTAGCAGGATGTGTGAATCAATCAACCCATTGTAAATATTTAAATAAAACTTGCATGACAGCAAGTACTTCAGACACTTGCAAAGATTTATATGATTCCTCCTTATCTTCCACGAAATGCGTATTAATAACAAATAGCAGATGTTTGGTCAGTAATAATGGGTGCACAGTTCCTCCCTACAATGTCAAGTGCACTGAAAATCTCAATAGACTTGCCTGCTTGGATAATGTCAATTATTGTGTTTGGAATGACACTGCTAAAACTTGTAATGGTAAGAGAGTACTCACAGCCTCAACAACATGTGCAACTGGTATTGTCAGCAGGGGGCTATGTGCATTCTCGAAAGTACAATGTAAATCTGGAGAGGATTATTCGTGTTCCGCCTTCACTAACATTGATGATGCGAATGTATCCTGCGATCAAAGAAATGCCGTTCTTTCTACCAACTCCTCCTAGTGTTTAGCTCTGGATAATGTCATCTGCCAATATGACCCCACTACACAGAGGTGCACCTCCTAGATCTTCGGTTCTGTTTGCACTTCCATTGTTACCAAAAAAGGATGCATCTTTATAGAGAATAACTGTTATTGGTCCAATAACTTGTGTCTGCAATACAGTACTGACAAGTACTTTAACACATGCGAATAGATTTACACAAAGTATTAGTGTTTAGTGAATATCAATACATCCTGTTATTGGGACAGTGAATAATAGCTCTGCAGAACTTACAAGGGTAGTGTAGTCACTTGTGATGAACACACCGAAGAAGTGATATCCCCAGGAATATGCTTTTATTTCTCGTCAGATTATTGTGGCCATGACGGAACCAAATGCATATAGGATACTACTTAGTCGGTTTGTGCCAACTCAAAGAGTCCGCTAGGGTGTCAAGCGAATACAGCAGGAAATTGTTTATGGAAAATCGACATAGGCAAATGCATAGCCTTAGCAGATTCTAGTCTTGCTTAGACCATGACTTGTGTCGAATTGAAGTATTCCACAAAAGCACTTTGCTTAGCTCCAATCATAGAAGGTTAGACTTGTCATTGGAAGGACAATCTGTGTTAAAGTGCGAATATCGAAGTAGTCAGTTGTAACGACGATCTCTCTTTGGATGGATGCAGAGCAGTTGCAATGTGGGGTTGGTTTTGTGTTTTCAAAGACAAATGCTAAGTGGCAGACATCGATAACATTAAATGTACCGACAGTATCAATATACATGCCTGCTTATAAGTCACATTAGATGGTCAATACTGCAAATGGTTGGGATAAAGGTGCTATTCCTTAGAAAGTGAAGATGGCTTTGAATTATCTAGTCACATTCTGATCAACGCCAATGTTTGTCGAAAAGCATACACAACATCAGGTGCTCCTGATGATACCCTAAAGAAAATTGGGGTTAGTTATGATACAGAAAACTATGTATGTTAATTGTCAAATCCAGAAGTAGATTTATGCAGCACTCCAGGAATGAATTATTATGCATGTTTGTCAACCCAAGCTGATGCATGTGATTGGACAGGTACTAAATGCAACATCTTCGATTTCGGAGTGACATACACACAATGCAATCAATATATATCTGTATCTCCAAAGGTCTGCGCTTCAATCGATACATCAAACTTAAAATGCTAACACAATTCAACCACTTAAAACTGCGAAAACTTCACTGAAACTACTGAAATCTTTGTTAAAAATTAAGATGGTCTATACATAAACACTAAAAAGGGTATGAATCGATTGGCTTGTATCAGTGTGGCTAAATAGCCTACCATTTGGGCCAATGGAAGATGCGAATACAATAATGTCAAAGTAGCATTAATAACCTGTAACGAATTGGTAGATGTCAATCCCATGTCTTGTGCTCAAATTGACAAGGACAATGTCACTTGCAAGTACTTCAAAGAAGGAACATGTACTGCATAATTTGATCCATAAGTTGATAAATGCAGTACACCTGGCTTAAATAAAGTAGGTTGTGTTTCTATAGAAACGGAGTAGTGTCGCTTCTCAGAAGGAACTTGTTCAAAATATGAAATTTCAAATATTATCAAATGTCATGAAATGACAAATGTGAATGCCCTTGTCTGCAAAAATATCATAAATTAAAATTGCAAATTCAGTTTTGTGAAAAGAGGATGTGTCTAATCATATTCAAATGATAAATGTTCATACAGTGGACTCAATCAATCTGGATGTAATAAAACCACCTAATGTCAATGGATCGATGATCGATGCTTCTGTAAAGGAGAAGTTTCGTCACTCCAATTAATAGATTGCACCAAGTTCACTTCTGAGAGTTGTCAAAACTACAAATCCTGCATTTTTGACAAAACAACTGGTCTCTGTCGAAACAGAAAATGCAGTGATCTTGCACTTGCCTCTTGTTCAGGTACTATAGCCAAATCTACTTGCTATGTTAATCTCTATAAATGCAGTTCTGCCTCTAAGTGTTCGGAACTCTTTAATGTAGATTGTAGTCTTTATACTATTGCTGGTAAGAAATGTGCTGAAGATCTATGGAATGACAATCATTGCATCGATTAAGGATGTCAACATTTCAATGAAGACTAATGTAATGGTAATTGCCAATGGTCATACGCTTAATGTGTGCTCAAGGACTGCAACTACATGAAAAAAGAGAGTTGCACTGGCATCATGAATAATAAGCAATGTTATTGGGATGGCACTTATTGTTAGGCCCTTAATTCCTGTAAGGAATATATTACATATTCCAAATTAACTGATACAACCCAGTAGCAACAGTTGTGTACTTCTTCAACGTTTCTTAATAAGAAATGCAGATGGGAACTCATTGAACCTTTTGGAACTGAATATTAATGCACATCCAAATTATGTTCTGATTAAGGTACCAGTTCATCAACTTGTCATGGATTCGAAGCTCAAGGAGAGGTATGCGTATTATTACCAGACTTCACTTGTGTGGCTTGCTCAGAAATTACAGACTCTTGTACCTGTTTAAATATGAATGGTTACTGTTACTACAGTGAAACCAAGGGATGCATATCAAATTTGTGTAGCGATCTGGATGAAGCTTCTTGTGGTAACATATTTCTTCAACTTATTTATAGCATCAAATTCATAAAGATGCACGTTTATTAACAAGTAATGTAAACCATCCTGCGGTAAATTGAGAAGTGTTGAATGTACTGCAAGATAACAGTCCAGTGAGTGTCATTGGAATAGTAACGTTATGAGATGTCTTGATGGTGCCCCTCCTAGTGTCAATCTAAACACCATGGAGGAAGTTATAGTCATAGAGAGCTCGATTTCTAAGATTAACTAAGTGATCATCATGCTAATAATGATATATATTAATTGATATTATTTATATCGTTATTATTATTGAGACGGATGAGAATTACTTTTAGTTTTAATAAACCAATTTAATTATAAATATCACTTTTTCTTCTTAATTGTTTCAAAGATCTTTTTCTTGACTCGCTTAAATCTCATTGCTATCACACACAGAATAATGAACAAAAAGACAATTATGATTAGTAGAATTATCATTATCATATATTGGACATAATATGGATAATTATTTGGAATTACCTATTGATAAATCTTAATTCTACTTATATATTGAAATCAATATTAAAATATATTTCAGGCTGGGTTATATTTTGAAATTGCTAAACGCAACTTATATTTCTCATTACTTTACAAAAATTTATAAAGTTTTGATCGTCATTATTGTTAATGATGATTTCTGAACTAGCATCTTAGCAATTTTGTATTGTTACATTACAATCGTTAAGATTTGGAAATGCCGTATTGTCTAGTATCATATAAGAGGCAGCATTCTAATAATACTAGTATGATGTGTTTGCTATGATAAATGAACCTAATTAATCACTCTAACAACCCAAAAAGCATATAGAATTCATATTTGTTGCATTAACGATTTGATTCTAATAATTCAACTGAACCCCCATTACTGCTTGCATAAAGATTGACACTAACTATTGAAATTATATCTAGTTTCTAGGACAAGGCTGACATATATTTGATACCATCTCTTAGCATAAATTCCCTGATCTCTCAGAAAAATGAATATAACAGACATAAAATTAATTGTAAGGAGAGTCGAAGACAAAAAAATCGAACTCATTCTTTGTTGGAGAACTTATCGTCAAATTTATAGTGGCCTTCCCATCTATAATTGGATATTGAGTGTTCGCTCCCATTCCAAAAGTATTAGGAATTATTTATATAAATTATCCATATCTTATACTCGTATCAATCGTTGAATTGAAGCGAACGTAGTCTTCATTTTGATTCGCAAAAGCAATTGAAAAATATAATAAAAACAACATTAATTAAACTCATTAATTGTTCTACTTTATAATGTATGCTACATCATATATGAAGATAAAAATGGAACATAAATTAGAACACCCTCAGAATCATATTCCTGCACTTGCTTTAAATAATAGTTACACAATAGAATTGAAATTATGAAAATTATTCACATAAATGAATCAAAATAAGGATTTTCTTATTGATTAATTGGATTACTCAGCATATGATATTAATAATTTAGAATTTAATGAAAGTATAACAAATAAGTATTATTCATTCAAATTATATGAGTTCTATTTTAGTGTCAATTTTAGGAGAGATAATTTATTGCTCTAAATTACTATCTTTAAAGTCAATAACTTAACAAACACCTTCAACTGACATCATTTAACAGAACTCATCAAAGGATATCTTTTGATCATGATTTGGGTCTATTTCATAGATCATTTAATTCAATTTCTGATCAGTGAGTGATCTACCATGTCTAGCAAACACCTCCTAGATGTTTTCCTTTGTGATATAATTCAAATTCTAATGATCAAAATATTTGAATAATGAGAGCAACTAAAAATTGACAAGTTAAATGTACTTTTTCTTTTGTAAGCACTCTTCTCTCATCTATGCAGGCAGTCAAAAAGTCACTGTATTTTATAACTAAGGGTTTAAATGATTTTCCTGAAGAGCACTCGAGTGTTTCATCCTCATTGTCCATTCCTATAGTTATCATCAACTTCTTAACTTCGTCATGGGATACTTAAGAACCCTACATAGAATTAACTAGTATAGTACTTCACTCTATAATGCCTTCTCCAACTCATGATAGGTGATAGTACCAGAATTATCTTCGTCTATCTTTTAGAAGAGTCGTTTTAGATGCTCCAACTCTTTCTCATTCATTTGATTTATCAAAATTTTCATTACCTCCTTTTTCAATCTGGCCCCAGTTCTATAATTTTTTAACATTTCGTAAATTGATCTTCCATCTTCGAAATAATCTGTTGGAGCTACCTACTTTAGAGTGAGCACTTTGGTTTTGGATCTGCGAAGGTCCTTTGTCTTATTGACTTCCTCGAAGTTCAGACTAAACCAAGGATCCTTCAAACAATCTTTAGCCGTTGGCCTAATCATGGGGTTTTTGCAGAGTAGTTTCCTAAGGAAGGTCTTGATTTCCCTTGACATATGATTCCAATGCCTTCTATCGAAAATCAACTAACTTTTGTATACAAATTATTACATCCTAATTTTGAATATGTTGAAATAATTCTTTTTTATTCGAAGCATAAAAGGGTGGATATCCGCACAAGATATAGAAGAGCATCACTCCGAAACTCCAGATGTCACATTTGTCACTGTAATATCCATCTATCACTTCCGGAGCAACATAAAGGGGAGTTCCCACACAATTCAAAGTTTTCCTACTAGGATAGATCAGAATGTAATACGTCTGCAGGGACTCATCTAATTTTATTGCCATTCCAAAATCTATTATTTTTGGTTCAGAATTTAAATCTTTTTTAGTAAATAAAATGTTCTCTGGTTTGATGTCTCTATGAACTATCCCTTGCTCATGAATGTAAGCAATCGCCGACAATACCTTTCTATAGATTTGTTATAACGAACCTTGTATGCAATTTGTTGCGCCTATTTCTCAGTGAAGGCACTCTAATGCTTTGGGATGCGCTCAAGAAGTTCTCCTCCCTCACAATACTCCATACAGATGTAGAAATACAAGTTGTTCTGGTATACTTCGTAAAATTTAATGATGTTTGGATGATCTAATCTTTGCAGAACATAAATCTCATTCGCTAATTACGTTTCCTTACCGGATACCCTTGCTTTCTCTATCATTTTTATGGCGAAGAGTTTTTCATTATTGGTCTTCATTTTAGCAACTAGAACCTTTCCGAAGACTCCCAGACCCATCATTTTACCGAAGTTATAGATTTTATGGATATCCGCGGTTGATGTGAAAATTATCACACCATTATTGGTTTTGATGGTCTGGATCTTGTTGAGTTTATTTGAATTGATACAGCAACCCATTTTATTTTATTAATAAGTGTATATACATTGAAATTAAGAGCTTTAGAAAACAAAATGATTCGATGTATTTTGATATTATATATTAATTAAATAATTTTTAAAACGAAACTTCTCATCTAAAACAAACTAAAATTGCTAATCAACCCTTGTTATTAAACATCCAATCAGATGAAAAGTCTAGGACTTACATCAGACCTGAAATCGCAATTGGTTAGATAAAATAGTAAAATTTTTTATTAATTTTTATTAATGTTTATTATTTAATAAATAAAAATAATATTGTTTGCAACTCAATCATCAGTTGATTCCGATAGGATCCTCTTTGATTCACTATTAAACGATGCCAAGGAGTCATTAATTGATTAAATTTTGAGATTCAACCCAAAAGTGAAATTACATACAACAATCCTAAGAGTTGGTCTCAATATTCCATTCAATCATGGATGCTTAAGCTATTATATACATTAAATGACAAATTTGGGGCGATAATTCTGTCTCTCAGCAATGCAATCATAATTTATTTAGTTTCTCTCAAATAACTTAGCATTACTGGATCTATCGTATAGCGGTTAGTACCTGAGGCTCTAACCCTCAAGACCTTGGTTCGAATCCAAGTAGGTCCTATTTTTTATATTATATTTTTGTATAATAATAAAATTAACAAAAATAATCATGCAAGAAGCCTATGTCCTACACGACCAATATAGGAATCAATCCATGTACAACTACATCAGTGGGACATCTCGTCCCCTCTATTTCAAGAGGCCTTTGGTCCCAACGATGACTGACACTCCCATTAAATTGAGCCAACCCCCAGTCTAATAAATCAAAGAATAACCTCTTCCAGCAAAAATTACTATAGAGAGAGTAACCCTGCTTTTTATTTGGCTAGGTCAAGGATGTTGAAATCTAAACTGATTATAGAGAAGCCGAAGCCTAAACTGACCCATATACACCAGCACATGATTAAAATGAAGACTAAAATATAGAAATATTAGCATTATAGCATCTGAAATGGGACAAGGGTTTGCCTGCTTCAATTGAGGAATTAGAGTCCATAGAATGGAATCGAGAAAAGGTTTGGTTTGAGAATGCATTGCCTCCTATATCGGATGAAGCTTCATTTAAATTGAGAAGAGTGTTGATGAAGTCATAAGAGGAAAGAGAGTGGAAGAAGAAGGAAACAGATATCAAGATGTAATTGTGATTTAAAATGACTTAGAAATCAGAACGAGAGGTTGTATTTATTGTAAGAAGCATTGAAAGAAAGAGAAAAAGATGTAGAAGAAAAGAACGCTTAAAGAATTGAAAGCATTAAAATAAAGAAAACAGAGTTGAAGAACAGGATGGTGGCTAAGATCTAGAAGAGAAAGATTAAAATACTCAGAAAGATGCAAAAAAGCAGAAAAGAAATTGATAATGAGGACAAAGGCAGAGAAATCATAGAAGATTATGCTAATTTTGCATCTAAAGTGTATGCTGGTATCACAAGGGAAGGGTTGAGTCTTGATAAAATAGCTAGCAAATATGAAGTGTAACCAGTTGCATTAAATACTTATAAAGGTTTGACTGAATTATCAACTACAATTAAACCTTCTATCTTAGAAACAACAGTAAATGTGGCTCAATTCATTAAAATTATTGAAAAGGATTACACAAGATTGGAAATTCAACATAAGATAGAAGTCAACAAAGCAAGAAATCAAATATTCGGATCAAATAAACAAGATCAATCTAATGACATTCAAGCAGATCATATTGGGAATAAAAATATCATTATTAGACCTGCAACTCCAACATATAATTAAGAATTTGAAAATGCTGATATCAAGAGATAAGAAATGAAATTTGAAAATTATGAGTAATTCAAAGAAGAAGCAGTTAAGAGACAATCAGAAGATAAGAAGAATTCAGCTGTTGTCCTACTTCAAAGATTATTCAGAGGTAGGGCTATGTAGAATATAATGTATGAAGGAAAAGAAAAGGTACTTTCTTAATTGTCTATTCAACTAGAGAACTGCCTTGATTGAGGAATTGTTAACTGTTGCTAAAATACCAGATCTGCCAGAAGCTGAATAAGAGGAAATCTTGATGCAATAACATGAAGAGAAGGTGAAGAATGCGGCTTTGGAAGCTATTCAAGGAGAAGTGATTGCAGAGACTTTGGATATGTTAAGCAAAGAGTTGCTCAGAATCAAATAGGAGAAGAGAATTGCTCAAATGGTGAAATCAGCTGAAGAAGATAGAAGATTAAGAGAAATTCAAGAGGCTGGTACAAGATAGGCAGAATAAATCTTGAGAGATAGAGAAGATGTCTAATACAATCAGATTATGAGAGTTCATTAAGGAACTGTAGATACATATTTGCATTGGATATTTAAGAATACTATCGAATAAGGTAGACATATTTAAATACATCTGTAGCTGCCACTAGACAAGCCACCATTATGACTAACCTAAGAAAATAAAAGATGAATACTCCAGTTGAATACTTTGAAAGGAAATACAATAGTGATGAAACTATTATCAAAGACCTAGTTTAGCAATTTTTAATTCCAAATGTACAAAGATCAAAATTATAAAAACAAAGTAATTATCTTAATTGAATTATTAGTATAAATTGAAGAACGAAGATTTAATGAAGCAGCTAAAAAATCAATTCAGGCGACTTTATCATAGGCAGCCTAATAGATTAATCAAAAATGATGATAAAATTATTAATTATATATTTGTTTTAACTTATACATCAAACTAGTTAGAAGCATAACTTATACATCAAAATAGTTAGAAGCAAATAAACATCAAAAGAGTTAGCTATTGGATAAGGCCTATTCCAAACGAGTTTTATGTAGTTTCATTAGGAGTGTCATTGGCTTTGGTAGAATTTTAAGGTTTTTCAATTTTGGTACATGAAACGCATTAGGATGTGCTTGGATTCCAATAATAATTATATTGTGTTAAAGTAAAACAAGTATTTTGATTGTAAGAACTTAAGTCTGTACTTTCAACACATTTATTTGTTTTTGTGCTCCATGCACATAATGTAATCTGTTTACTGATAGTATTGATCAGAGGTTTACACCCAATGTCACTATTGCTATTTGGATTCAATAATGAGCAATCCATTTGATTACATTGAGAGTTTTAAACCGTTCCATTAATTATGGCTTCTGGTACAAAGGCACAACCAAAGTTCTTACAATTTTTTTCAATCGAATTTGCCTAACTACAAGAATCCATTTATAAACAATTTGAAGTGCTGTTTATCTACTCTTACCATATGCAGGTAGAATTGTCTTTAGAAACATTGTCATTGCATTAAAATTAGCTTTTATAATTATTGCAGCTGTCAAAACTAATACAAGCTTAATTAGCAGAATCATAAGCACAACCTATATTTTAACACATTTGCTATTCTGTTATACCAGTATAATCAGAGCAAACCTTTAGTCTGCATTTACTTAGTTAGGCATCATAAAAACAAGCAGTGTTATCAAAAGCTATTACACAACCTGGAGATTCATATTTATCACATTCCATTAAATCTATACAATTAGTTCCATTGGTTGTGCATTTAGGCGATTACTTTTAGCAGTCTTGATGAGTTGTCAATAGGGCATTTTAACATTTCCAAGGAGAACATGCAGAATTCTCCCAGAAACATCTACCATCAGTACCTCCAGCTTCACAAGAATCCTAATCTTTATTTAAAGTGCATTGCACCTTTTCTACACAAGTCTCTTTGTTAGTAGTACATTAACTGCTGTATGCTTAACATTCTACATGTGTTTTGAGTTGTAAATCTCCACATGCACCAAAGGTTTGACATACTTATTAAATGGCATTATAACCACATATCTTTTCATTTATTCCAACTGATTAATTACAATTTTCTTGAGTAAATTTTTGACAAGGCAATTTATGTTTACAGGTTTCGCTCCCGTCTGAAAAGCATTTATCGCTAATACTGGAACAGATAAAATTATCCTAGAAAATATCAAAAGCATCTTTAGGGATAGTATTCCCAGTACCATCTCTTTTGACTCTTAATACGAAATCCTCACATTTATTAAATTTGATACACTTTTTCTAATAGTTGTCCCAGATACAAGCATTTCCAGATTAATCGGTAGTACATGTGGTTCTAGACCTAAGGGATGAACATTCGTAAAATGTTGAATCTTTACACCCACCAAGATTATCATATTGACAACTATCTCCAAAAATATTACAAACATCTTAGCTTCCTTGAGTTTCTATCATATTGCAAGTGGCTGTAACACAAATTTCATTAACCCACAAGCAGAATCTTCCTGGTGCAGTAGTCAAAGTTTATTCACAAGCCATTTAATTATCAATTGATTTACATGACTAAATAGAAGGTTAACATTTCTTCATTATACCATTGAATAAACAATTTTTTGTGTAAGCTTTACATGCTTATTCATTGGCTGTACTAGATTCTTAACAAGTTTTAGCTATGCACTTATCAGTAGTTTGAGTCTTACTTGTTCCGGTACATTTACCATCCAAACCAATTAATTTCTCACATTATTAAAAAGTACCAGTATAAGTATCACAATTTTCTAATTTATCTGTGCAACCTTATCCATTTGTTAAACATGTAGGGAAGTAAGCTTAGCAATCTTCATCTGTTTTTGTCGTAAGTGGAGCAGTATTACAGGTTTGTTCTATGCATTTTTCAGGGTCAGTTGGATCTTAAATACAAGGTTTGTTATTAATTGAAATAATAGTCTCACATTTCGATGTGTATTAATTACATTGTTTTAATGAAGTAACACAATTCTACCCATCAAATTAGCAACTTGGATTTGTTGAAATGCAAGTGGTCAGGCTAGGCTATTGAATAATTTCACAAGGAGTTGGTTGACATTAATCTGATACTTCGTTTTCAAAGCATTTCCCATCTGATCCTTTATATTTAAAGCATCCATCAGACTTCTTATAACTGCTGCAGGGCTATAATGAAGTTGTACATTTCACTCCATTTGATATACATAATTTTGGAGAGTTCGTGTCTCTTGATGAATACTTATTGCATAATTCATCTGTGTCTAAATCATGATTTGAACAAATGTCTAATACACAAACTTTAGATCCTTCAGTTTCTGGTTTACACTAGCCTTCTAAGCTTATATATTGATCACAAGTTGAGTTCTCCAGAATTTTCACTTATTTGCAAGTACCAGCCAAGATTGAAACACATTAAATCCCATTGGATATGCATTTTAAGTTTGGACTTGCTTTCTTGCATTCATCAATGGTTGTTCCCTTAAAATCTTCACAACTTGGGTCCTTACATTATTGAATATCTGAATTGATTTAACAGTCTCCATTAATTCCTTTATAACTTAAACATTCATCAATTGTATAAGCTGAACAGGAGCCCAAGGAGTCAACACATTTTTGTTTATTCGATAAGCATGTAGATTTATACTTTTTGCATGCTTCGTCTGATGACGCATCTGGAGCCAATTTACAAGTTCTGAGTTGACACTTATTCGTATTATTATTGACTTCACATTCTCCATCCTTAGATAAGATATACAGACAGTCCTCAACGTTGTAGGAATCACAATTAGCAAGTTCCTTCACGCATGTCTTTTTATCTGAAATGCACAATTGATTTAACAGCACTTTGTTACAGTCTTCATTTGTTTTCTTAGGATAATCTTTGCATTCCTTCTCCTTGCATTATTTAGTGGATGTGTTGTATAGACATAAGCCTTCTCCATTTAGTTATTTTACAGACTCACAACCTGACTATTTGTCCTCGCCTACATACTCATTACAGACACTTTCATCTGTACAATATTAATTAACAAGTGACCAATTGCATAACATTGAGTACTTTTGACATTCTACATTTGATGTTGCAATGTATGATTAGCAATTACTAAACACTACACATTTCTTGTCTACAAAGGCACATCCTCTTTGCTTAGCACATTTTCCTCCATCTATGATAGAAGAACAGAGAGTGGAGGAATAAGCAACTAATCTAACCTAATTACAACTCTTGGATGATAGATCCCATTCGCATGTACTAAGTTAGTTACAGTCGTAGGCTGTTAAAATAGCAGAGCATGAGCAAACATTAATGCTTACAGTTAATGATTAACTCACTCTCAAATACAAAACAATCAGTATCGTTGATATTTGCATCATTTAGTTTCAGGTTATTAAATTCTAAACTTACACTAATTATAGTGAATACATCATAACTTATATAATTATATTGAGACAAAAGATATTTCACAAGTCAATATCTTAATTGTCATGTTCTTCTGATTCAATCATTTTCATCAAATCATATTTTAATTTTCAAAATTTGTAGATCTAAATTCCTGTTCTTTAGACTTGCTTTCACATCAGAGTGTATCAAATATCATGAATTTAAACTGTGCAATCATCTAATTATTAAATCTAAGAAAATAAATTCAGAATACTATCTGAGAATTTCAGAAGGACAATAGACACTGATTTCCAATCTGAATAGATGTTAAGACAATTTAAGTATAATAAATGTACTATGCCTTATGAAATAACTATTTAATAAATAAAAGATATAGAATTAAATTCAGCTACTAATTTCGTTAAGATTATTAAAATTCAAGGTTCTTTTTTGTCTACTGCCTCGTCTGAACATTAGATGAGATTAAGGAGGTTCAAAGTAATCATTATTAAGATTAGGAGGTTTTTCTGATGGACTTTTGGAAAATACATTGAAGTCTTTCTTGAGGGAAATCACTTTTACCGCCTTTGGAGATCTTTGAGATTATTTAGAATTTATCCTAAATCTACTTGAATTCTGATTTAAAATTCCTATTAATTGAATGCCTAAATTTCTTTAGGTTTTTTGATTTTCTTGATCAAATATTGGATGTGCCAATAATTGCCTACAAGTTTTAGGTTTTAACCCTTGATAAAAAATTGAATTTAAGAAATCGAAACACAAATCGGACAAAGGAGGATCTATAAATTATAAATCTTCAGCTCCTCTGAATTTATTCATCATAGCATCGTCAATTACTTGATTTACCTAAAACGATTTCCCTGTCAACAAATTGTGCATCACTATTCCCAAGGATAGAACATCAAATTTAATATAATATAGGATTTATTTCTCTGGATTCAGTGGTATTGTTTATTCATCTTTCTGATCTCCTTCATTAATTTAAACAGCTTAGTTAAAGTCAATTAAGCAAGGATTTGAGAAGTCATTCTTATTTTTAAAAATAATGCTTTAAGTACTGATCTATTTATGAAATATTTTGAGATCATGCAGGTACTAAACAACTTGGAAGAGAGGCTTCATAATTATCACAATTTCTTATTCTGAAAGAGCCTATTATTTTTCAGTAATGGAAGCAAGTTTGTCACCTTTGAATAATTCCAAAATTAAGTATATGTGATTATTGCTCTCATAGACTTCATAGATCTTCAAGAGATTCTGGTTATCCAAGCAGCGGATTATCTTCAATTCATTTAAGAACTTTTTTGCTTCGAATTTATTTATCAGAAGCCTCTTCTTATCAAACACTTTGACTGCATACTCTTACTTTGTCAATTTGTTTCTAGCTCTATATACCTAATATTTTATAAAAAGATATACAATTGTTGAATATCCCTCTCCCAGTTTATTTAAGAGCTAATACTTCAAAATGAAATCGAACTGTATGGTGTATCTCTTCATTATTTCAATCCACTAATCTGATAATCCAAAGATATCTAAATCCACTCCATTTTTTGATAGTTTGATCCCAAAAAGTCCTGTTTTGGGATGAACAATTTTTTACATACAAACATTCTTTAAATTGATAAATTTCTATTTTACAAATCAATTTATTATACATCTTCACCAAATCTAATGAAATTTGATCCTAATGCCAAATTTTTTATTACTAATCTGTTTTAATAACTAATCTAAAATTCACCTTTGTATAAGGGAACAAATGGATGAATGGAATGGAACGAATATAAAGAAGTATGATCATTGAAAAAGGAATCTGCTGAACTAATTTACAATAGTTATTGTTTTATCATATAAATTTTATTGTTTTTAAAAAAAAATCATTATTTCCTATATTTCATAATCATACTCTTCAAACCAAATTTATTTATGTTATTATTTTGTTTTCGAATATAACCTTATGGAAAATAGAATTTACTTAAATATCTTAAGAAGAATATCCAGGTCGTGATTGTAATATTTAAAATCACAGAGAATGCATAAAAAAATCTTTAGAATTATGTGTGAATTTACCTAAATCATATAAAATTCTATAAAAAAGTCAAAACCCTTCTAAAGAAAATACGATCGGATTTTTAGAGAATTAACTTGGATTTAAGAATTGAGAGAAATCATGATATTATTATAATTCACCATACTTTTTACTTAATCTTAGGCATTAGATTCATCCTGGGCAACTAATAAAGATTGCTTGGTCTCCTTTATGAGTTTTATGAGGGTGGATTGGCTCCATGATCAATCTTATTGAATTTGGAAATTTTTAGTGGTTACAATATGTTTTTTTTAATTCTGTTTGATAAACTTCTTGAGTCGCTTTTTCTTTCTTAAATGTTAGGCAATGTATTAACCCTTGAGCGAATCTCCATTGATTCATCATCGTTGTCACTTTACACGCTTGATCTTCTTATCTCATTTAAAGTTTGATATTTAAGAATAAAATTAGATGGCTCTATTTATTTCTTGAAGATATCATTTTTTAACACTTCTAGAGGTGTATTTGTATCGCTTAGTTACAATTCAAAATCAATTAATAGTAATTATTAAAGTAAAATTTCTAATTCCTTACTAATTTATTAGAAATTTAGCATGCTTTTAATATCATCCATTTGACTAGGCAGATTAAATTGATTGTATTGATAACCAGTAAGCAATCTAATTAAGATAATGCCCAATTATTGCAGGTCAGAAGTGTGAGTTTTATCTGTTTTTAAAGAAGTTCTTTGGCTCATCATTTTTTTGGTTGAGTTTCTGGCTGCATTTATTGACATCACTTTGGAATAATGCAGTAAACACAGAGAATCTAAGTCTTATTCGCTTTTGAAGCCTATGGCTTTGAGATTAACATCGCCATGTATTAATCCTTTCTTATGCATCTCTTGCAATCCATTTAAAGTTTATTTCACTATGAATATGATTTGTTATTGATTAAAGGTGGTTGATTGAAGCTTATTTTCTAGGGTTCCTCCTTCAACCAATTCTTCAACTACATAGAGATGGTTAGCACTCTCAAAGGTTTCTAATAGACGAATTAAATTTTTATGATCAAATTGCCTTTTGATATTAATTTGCCTTTTGACTAGTTCGAGCAAGGCTGGAGAATTTTGCAATTTTAATTTATCATAAATCCTAACAGCATTTAACTATCCAGTTAGTTTATTTCTAATTTTGAAAACCTTTGTAGAAATATAAAGTGATATATACTTGCAATTGGCTTCCCTCGCCGATTTTTTTGATTATTTTGTATTTTTATTACAAATTTGTTTAGATTGTATACTTTCTTAAGACCTCAACCCAATTTTGGATGTCTCCATATACATCCAGTTTTTCATTGTTTTTGCTTAATCGAAATCCTGGTTGAGAAGTTCTTGGATGGTAAACCAACTCTAGAAATAGATTCCTAACGTCGAGAAATTTCTGTTTGATAATCGAAATCATTCATACATCATCTCCATATTTCAGATAGTAACCTCCCAAGTATATAGTTTTTTAGATTAGCCTATTCCTATTAACAACAGAGAGTTCATCTGATAGTTGGAATTGGATCAGCATTTGAGGTCTTTGAATCCAAAATTCCGGGCTGTCTTCTAAGATAGACTGTGTGAAATTGATGGGTTTGTTATTTTGGGATTTAATCATTTAAATAATATAACATTCTTTTGGATGAATAATTATCAATAGCAAGAGTGGTAGGCATAGAGAAACGCACAAATAAACGTAGTCTTGGTTCGGAACAGCGCAATTATATCATTATTTATATACTCATGAAATTTTAATATAAATTATATTAACTTCAATTTGAATTCACCAAATAGCTTAATGCTGAACAACTAGCAGTCTCTAAGTTTAAACTTAAGAACCCTTCAATAAAAATAAATATTTAAATATGCTATTCTTACAGCATGCTCAATTTCAGATATCAATTTGAACTAACACCATTTGCCATTTATCTTTCCTCAACAATTGTAAGAATAAAGTAAAAACTACGGTTAAGTAAATTCACGATTTAATCAACATCTATCAAACTGGTTTTACAGCTTTAATGTTTCACAATCTCTTTAATATTTTCAATTCAGAAGTATTTTAAGCAATTATGTCACACCATAATTTATTTTAAAAACTACTTGAATGGTCGCTTCCAAAATATCTTAGTTATTCAAATTAACATTCATCAATATATTGTTAAATATATGTGTATCTAATCTAATTAAGAATGAATTTAACTACACAGAAGGTCCCGAAGATTGGGCCTGTCTTGTTTCAAGAGTAAGATTAAATATAATTATTAAATATTTAAAATAGTATGTGCAAAGCATGATTTTGATAAATGTAGAAGAGAGGGAGGGCTGAACAAATAGAGTTGGAGGGTTTGTGAATATAACAATATTATAAATGAACATATAGAGGAAATATATTTTAAATCTTTTATTAAAAATATATTTTAAAAAACACAAAATATTATGGCTGACTTGAAAGAGAAGAAAGTAGAAGATGAACAATAAACAAAAAAAATTAGAATGATTGTTACATCCAGAAATGCTTAAGATTTGGAAAATTTCACTAATCAAGTTACTGAAAAGGCTAGAGTGATCTAAGTAATGATTGCATTTCAACATTAAGAGAGATCAAGGCTAACAAGTTGTATTCAAAGGTCCAGTCAGAATGCCAACAAAGCATCTTAAAATGACAGTCAGAAAGAGTCCTTGCGGTGAAGGTTCAAAGACTTGGGATAGATTTGAAATGAGAGTAATACAATTAATTAAGAATTAGATTCACAAAAGAGTAATTGATTTCTAATGCACTCTACCAACCTTCAAGGATATTACAAACTTCAAAATCGGCCCAGGAATTAATGTTGAGTTGAACGTAGAATAATGATTAGTGATAATATTAAATTATACATTAAACATAAATACATTAATAAATTTTAGTATTATGTTATAGAGAATTTAACCTCAAATTGAAAATAACTAGCCAATCCAACAGAATCCTGAAGAAATGTTGATAGGACAAGAATATACAAGCTTTGTCCTCCTTGAAAATTCAACTTTTAAGACAGTATTTAAAATAGAATAAACTAAGATTTATGAATGCATCCGAATATAATCAGCATAAAAATACATAGTTTATCAATTGACGTATCAATGATAATAACGTAGCCACTCTGCTTAATCAATTTCCCCTCAGAATATTCAAAAACTCAACTAGTGCAAACTTGTAAACCTCATTCATCCCGAGAATATCTATTATGAAGAAAACTGCATTTATATGACTTAATAGCAATATTTAAACAACTTTTAGTTATAGAACTGTAGACAACAATTAAATAAATAATTACAATTGTTCCTTATAACACAACTTTGCATAAGTTTAATAATATTTTATACCATATTTTTATAGCATTATAAGAACTCGAGAAACGGAGCTTCCCCCATTATATATTGAGTCCTAATAACATTTACATCATTGAAGGTGTATTGCACCTTAGTTTGATGCATTTCAAATTTGAAGAAACAGGATAGAATACCTTTGATTCATTTTAGTAATTCGGTAAATCTTAATTGTGTATTCAAAGTCAATTAGTATTTTCACTCAGGTGATTACTGTAAGGACAATTTTGAAAACACAACTGATTATCTCTTATCAAAAATGTAGATTGATGATTCAGAAAGCAATTCTACCAGCTTTGTCAAAAAGTTACTTTAGATTAATTATTTAAAATCAGAATAAGCTGGATATAATTCCTTTATATATTCATCATCAAGACCTTCCTTATTTTAAATTTACCCTCACATTAAAGATCAAATCTTTATTAAAGTTCTCAGGATTTATGATGACAATGATGTGGAAGTTAATAAATATCGATATACTTAAAATAAAAGGGAATTAATTTTCAATGAAATACTTAAAGACAACGTCAAATTTGCAACTTTTTGTGCTTATATTCGCATCCAAAAGATTCCCTACTTTTTTTTTTAGAAGTATCCTTTAACTTTGCAACAATTATTTGAAGAATCCTCAAGAACAACTAATCATCCTCTTTAAAAATTGCAATATAAGTTTGCTATGTAGCTGGCCTAGGCTTTAAAAGAATTACACAAATTGCAAATTTTACACAGAGATATTAAACCTGAAAATGTATTCATTACAAATCTAGATTACCACAAAGCCAATCTTAAAGTAGCTGATTTTGATAGGTCTCGGAAAATTGATTAATAGGATTGTTAACAAGAAGTAACTTTAGATGATTATACCGTCTTTTCTAGTACATATAACTATAATCCTCCTGAAGCTTTCAAAACCTAATATGGTTTTTCAAGTGATATTTGGCAATTCGGATTGACTTGTAATGTTTTATTCAAATATTTAGTATTCCAAATGGCAAACAATGGAGTCTATCCGCCAGTCAAGGAATAACTCGTCTTTTTGGATGAAGACTATCGCAAAATAAACCTAGATTTTATCAAAAATGTATTACAAGATAAACAAAATATTAATTAAGCTTACATTAACTTAATTTCAAGATGTCTAGAATATGAGAGTAATTAAAGGATTACCTTGAATAAATTTATCTAAGATTTAAGTCAAATCAGAATTGATATGGTTGATGAAGATGATATTTTGGAACCTGAAATTGATGATAACTCAGAAATAAGTACATGTAATTTTGACTCTTCAATTTGTTGGACGAATTTTTCCTTGAAAAGTCCAAATTGGATTTTAAATGAATTAGCCCAATCGGCTGGAGATACATCGATATTTTTCAAGGATTAATGATTTAATATATGAATTTTAAATGTATCACTCTTTTAATTTTAATGTCTATAAATCTAATCTTCTTAAATATATTATAGACAGAAAAGCAAACAAAAAGCTTCCGAAAATCATTAAAGGTTCCCTCAAAATCGATGCTCCAGATAGTCGATAAGTGATCTAGCTTAGAAATTAAACATTACAATAATTTGCTTATTGTCAAATTGACTTGTGGTTGCCTTATTCAAAATTATGGTTGGTCTACCTACTGTATCAAAGTAAGAAAACAATAGTGTGTCATTCCTTTCCACTTGCAAAGGTAGATCAACTTGGATATCATAAGCTCCTTCAGGTAAGGAAATTTAGAAGGTATATTTATCAGATACTATCTCCTTTACAGAGAAGGAGAAATTTAGTGTTAGTCTAAAATTGTTTCCATCTTGTTCTAAATATCTAATTTATATTGCTTTCAAATACTTTTTGGTTGGTAAATTGTATCCTAAGGTAAAGTTACTTCTCCATCCTCCAAATATTGCAAATCTAGGTCTTAATTAGACTAAGGCTTAGTTTTCTCCATTTAGTTTCTAAGATGCTCATAAAATTACAAGGTACCCCTTTAGCAGCATTTGATGTGGAAATGTTTCCAATTTCATCTCTGTAATAAACACCCCAAGAATCATATGGGAGTGAGGCTGACAATTATTTCAAAGAGTGCTTGCCTACATTTGGATTGTATTTATTGAAACTGACTCTTCCGAACTCTCCTTTTAATTTGGCTCCTTGATTTTCAATTGAATAATTTTCTTCAATTAAAATATTACCCCAATGAGAGACCTCTACAATTTTAGAAGCTTTTGTAAAAATAGTCATTGGAGTGTTATTCTCTAAATGAATTGTGTGAATTTATGTAGTATAAGGCTTAACATCCTAGAAAGGCCCAAATTCTAGAAGTTAGTTTCTTTGAATTGCTGATTTTAGTGAGTAAGAACTTTAATTACATTACATCTTTACATAATTTTAGGAGTGTCGTAGTAAGTAATTTGATTCTTTACTGGATAAGGAGTGAAGAAATAGACTGAATCCTTGAATTAGACTAATTGTTCATCCTTAATTATTAATCTTTATTATTATACCTCTAATCCAATTTCTTTTGGTAATGGGTTAAATCTCTTATAAAATTGTTCACTTAATTCTACTTCTAAAGTGGAGGATGGCTCAATTGGTTTAATCAAGGTGAATTCATAGACTGTGGCATTCTATTTGTATTTTACGTCCACGTCTTCTATGAGTTTTTTTGCATTGCACTCCTCTATATTGACATGATAAAGTCTATCTGACAATACATTATGGATTGTATAATAAATCTTTTCAATTGGAATCACTCCATCATTTTAAAAAGTAATCTTAAAATTATTTTGATAGTTACTTTGGATTGGATGTTGACGTATCTATCAGTTAATGACACTGTCCTCTCAATATTTGATATGGCAAAGTTTTTTTGAATTCTTAATGAGGATGCTAATGCTAAAAATATCAAAAGCAGCATAATTAATATTATTTATTTTAGAAATTTTATTGATGAACATTTTCTATTAATTATTGTCTACACATATATATTTGTTTCACTGCGGCAACGACCTTGAAATTTTTCTTTGAAATCCACAAATTTAATCCAATTCAGCAAAGAAGTCATCATCATCAACATGAGTTATTGTAATAAAGCCTTATCAAAATTTAGACATTTATATAGATTATTCTAACTTATTGGAATTTAATCTTGTAAGGTAGTTTTCAAAGGTATTAATGAAATATCAAGAAGAAACATTAAGATACATTTCGTTATTTAATAAAATTTTTCCTCTGTAAATAATAATTATTATAAATTATATATATTTATTATAATTTATCATTCCAAATCGATGTCATGCATTATATGACAAATCATACCATTTATTTATAATTAAATTATTTCAATGTATATTAGACCTTATTGTAATTCATTGCTCTGGACTTGTCCTCAACCTCTCCAAACAAATACTTTTGGAGTACTTTTATAATGATTTTTTATAAAAATATAAGTTTAATATTTATTGGTTGAATGAATAGGTGAAAGACACAAGAAATGACATTAATATATTAAACAATATGGAGTAAATAATATTATCAAATCTTCTCTTCTTAATTCTTTACTACTTCATCATTCTAGTGATCATTTGTGATTTTATATCTAGGTAAAGTGAAATTTTTACTTTTTATATTGGACATCCTTGATGTCTTTCATTGATAAGAAAATTCTTTTTTTAGTTTATTTTAGAGATGTATTTGCTTTGTTAGATTTAGTTTCCTTTGACTTTTTTATGTTTTTGGACAATCTAAGAGATTTCGATAGTTCAAACGAACTTAACTCGTCATTTATTTCATCATTTTTTATGGTCTTCTGCTCATTGGTCTGTATTTCAAGAGGAGATTGAGGTTGAATTTATTGGCATTATTATACTTGGAATGAGCAAGCATTCCTAAAAGTTTATAGAATATAAAAGCTTACCTTAGGGCTATCATTGAATTGTATTAAACAAGTTATTGTAGCAAAAGTTACTGCTGAATAAGAACGCGTTGATCATACAGAAACAATGGATTCATAAATGACAAAAGAATATTTAAATCTCAAGATTTGAAGTATATTCACTTATAATGCTTAAAATACGTATTATTAAATAATACTGTTACAATCAAGTGTACACAATTTATATTATTGTCTACTCCAGTTTTAAATTTACAAGAGAAGAGCAATGGCTAAGCCAATTCCTCTAATTACAATATTCATCTATTACATGATAACTATTAAATAAAAGTGTATTTATTTTTTTAAATTCATTTAACTTTCTTAATAATTTAGTTATTTTATCTAAAATTTAAATCACATTTATTTTCTTCAATCGAATTCAATTACGATATCCATAAACAAACCTTTACACTATCATTCATTGATAGAAATTGCAATAACAGTGTAATAAACAAAGATTTATTATAGCCAAACTAGAGTTAGCATAATAGCTTTATTTCAATTGTTTTTCTAAATAAATTCAATCAATAAAGAAACAGAATTTTTAAAAGCATTATTTAATTAATATGAATTAATTTAATCTGAATAATTTATTTGCTTTTTGGCAATCTACTCCAATAGTAAATAAGTTATTTATAATAATTGCTGCGATATTTTTGATCGTAGACCTTTTCATAGGAGATCAGCTCAAGTTTTAGCCAATATCTTTGTAATATGTTTGGATCTGGTAATTGATAACATCAGTATTTGTTTAAGGTAATTGATTAATATTTTCATAGGCCCCTTTTTCTCATTTCTTTTTAATTTATGCTGTCTACCTGTTCTTAATAACGCCGAAAGAAGAGTTGGAAGTATATTATACTTGTTAGAATTTATAATCAAAAACAGCATTGGAATGGTATTGATTTATTTAAATTTAGGCATTTATCTTTTTACTTGCTAAGCTTTATTGTTTATTAGTTAATTATGATAAGGAGATGATGTACTCCAATCATTTTGGGTTTTGGAATATCGCAGTCTACTTTATCACAGCCAAGTACTCAATCATTAATATAGTAGTGCTCTCAAAAAGCCAAATGAGATAACTGAAGTGTTGTTCTTCCCATTTGTAATGAAAGTCAGATATTACCTAATCTGCTTACTTTTATTTTTATAATTATTTAACCAAACTCGGTTTACAGTGCTATTTTTTGCAGAAATTGCTTTGCTCGAGTTTATCATATACAAAGGTCCTTTGTTTAGATTACCTAAGCGATTTATTGAATCATTGGAGAAGAAAGCCATTCTTTAAAAATACATTTCAAGACAGGATTTCATCCCTATTGACCAAGCATAAGATTTAGTATTTTCAGGAACACAAAAAATAGAATTTTAAATAGAAAACTTTCATAAAGATATGGAATTGTCACCTGCTGGGTATTATTATTTATAATTATAAAAAGATAAATGAGCAGTTCTTAGGAGAAGGTTCCAACAGAGGAAGAGAGTATGCAAATTAAATGATTTAATTAAATACGTTATTTATAAAAATAATAAGCTTGATTTTAAGACTTGAATCTGTTAATATTTATCAATAACTTTGATATATTAAGTTTTGAACTTATATAATAGGTTTGAATTTATTGTGCAATATGTGATAAAATATTTAGGATTGTAATATAAGCCCAAAAATTAATTGAGTTATTTATTTGCCAATTAAAATTAGGTATAATTTGTTGATCTAATAGAATGCCTTTAAAAAGAGTTAGTTTTCAATTATAAAAAAATCTTATTTAAGATATTAAAATGAATAATAAAATTGATAAAAGTTTGAGGATACCATAAGCCTTAATATTTAATGAATTTACATTATATTCTTTCAATAGAATGTTAAGACAAAATCAAATAAAAGGAATCTTTAAATCTTATTGTATAAGAATTATCTATTAATTCTATTAGGACTTTATTATAATATATATTAATCAGATAAATAATATTATGAAACTAATTAAATATCAGAAATCAAATTAAAATACCCAAACTTGTAGTTCTACTTTTAATTGAGAAAATTATTTGTTTTTAGAGTTGCAACTTTGAAAAGGTATCATAATCAGTTCTTTTAATTTATAGATCAAAAACTAACTTAATTAAATTGCTTATAACAATATTATTATGTTTTAATTATCAAAACTTGATATTTTAGTTATTGATTATCCTAATTTAAAGACATTTTCCTTAATAAAAATAATATACAAAAACTTTTTTATTTTCTTTTCATAAATCGAGAACTTTAACATTCAATGAATTATAGAATATATTTGTACATGTGAATAATTTAAACAGAGCACTTAAAACCCAATTAGAGTTTAAGATTGTTATTTTTTTCCAAAATTACTTCATCAATTCATTTAAAAAACTTATGTAAGCTTACACACTTTAAGAATAATTTTAGAACCCTTTTTAGATATTAATGTGAAGATATTATTAAAATAATAATTATATGTGGTATAGCGAAACAGTAGAGCTATTGATCGTAATTGGAATAGGAGTATTTGAAATAATTCTGCTAATGTGTCTCATCTATTATGTAAGGAAAATTCATAAGAAGAAAAATTATTACCCTATCTATTAATTGTCTCCTATTACAACCATTTTATAAGGAATATCATTTTATATTTTCTAACTAACGATAGTGATCAACTTTTACTATATTAAAACTTATGGTGAAATTACCTGGGAGGTTTGTATTGATCAAAATATAAATGAGGATTCTAATGATGATGAAGGATATTCAATCTATAAAGAAGTCCCTTATTATGTATTAACTATTGTTTATCTATATTCAAGAGGCTGTTGTTTCACATTCACACTTATGAAGTCATTAAGAATTTTGATAGCGTTCTCGAAATAAAGGTTATAAAAAAATAATAAAATAGTAAAAATCTATATGGGGGAAGCTCATATAATAAAAATTGCATTATTTTATGGGATGATGTTTCCCGTATTCACAATTATTACAAACTTATTCTTTTATAATTTTGAATTTTATTGTTGCTTGTCGGTCTATGAAAATAATACTCGATTAGTATTTGCAAATAGTTTTCTAGAAGAGCTATCAACTCTATATTTGATGACAAAAATAAAGTTTAATAATTATTTAGATAATTTAATAAACTTGACAATAAAGTTATAATTTTACTACATCTGTTGGTTTGCGTTTAACTCTCTCATATTTAAACTAATCCCTTTTGGTCCAACTATTGTCGGAATTTCATGCTGGTTCAGATGCTTTTATATGTTTTACAATTTTACATGCGTCCCTTTGAATGGAAGGTAAAAAAATCCAAACCTGTATATTACCTATAATTAAGTGATGGACTTTCGCCTTATAACGTCGAAGGTTTTCAATAATTATTACTAAAACAATTATAGTATAATTGCCTTTGAAAATTTCCTAAAAAAATTGAATAGGATTCCCATAACATAAACAGAAATAGAATTTATAGCCTAAAGTAATAATTTTTCAGAAGCAGAATTGTTTGATAAATATAAAAAGGTTGTCGAACTCTCATCAGCTTGGCAGGATTATCAGAAATTAACTGATGAAATATTTAAAATATTAAATTTATTGCCTACATAACAAAATCCATATCCTACTATTGATATTCTCTAAAACGATTTATATAATCATTTTGAATAAATATACAAAGTGTATTTCCAACAAACAGTTGCATTTTAAGCAATCAAGGAATTAACTTATCATAATTAAATTATCTAAGAAAATTTCAAGGTATTAAGAATGCCTCTAAATGAATGGAATTACTTTTGAAAAATTGGTGTTGATTGAATAAAATCTAAGAATTAGTTTTTAGTTCCCTTTTTGTAATACTATAAAATTTTCCGTTTCATTAATATAACATTTTTTATATATAATGAAAAGTCTTTCTAAAATGGAAGAAATGTCTCTTGCCTAATAAACAACTAAATCTCCAACGAGGTCATTCACAAAGCCAAGGAAATATGATAAACTCATTCATAAGACCACTCAAATTCCACGAATCTCAATTTAACGACTTGTTGAGTGTATGGATTAAGACAATGATGGATGGATCAAGAAAGAAGACATAATGAAATTCAGTCAGAAGCATTATCTATTCTTTGAAGACGAAGTAATTTTGATATTCACTTTTAAGTTAGCTTAAGCGATGATTGACGAAGCATTGAGTAAAAGGATTGTTGCGTTTAAGGATTAGCTGAAAGAGCCAATAAATGTGGATGAAATATTAGGAGCAGGTAATAAATAATAATTAATATCAGTTTAAATTCATTATGTATTGAATGAGAATCACGTTTGGGTTGAGAAGCCTCGCCCTTTTAGAGATAAATGGGTGTAGTTATTATTGGCAGCAGGAGAAAGATTACCCACTGGACATGATTTGCCTCCTGTGAAAATCACAAAAGTGCTGGACATGCATGAAATGAACCCTTTTCCATACAAACCAAAGCTGAATTGTTCCCAATCTTAAATCATCCACACATCTTAATTAAGGGAGATTCACAAATTCAATAAGGATAAACCTGAGGCTGGAATAGTTTTATAGGAAACAGACCTAATCAAACCGATAAACAATGGAGTAACAAAAGAGGAGGAGAAGGATAATCCTTTTGAAAAAGTAGTAAATTCTAAATTGTAAATCAAATAAAATTATTATAAATAGTCACATAAATGATTAAAATGAATTTCCAACAATCAAATTTGATACCTAAGCTTACTTTACTGAAGCAGAGAGACTAAGTAAAGAATAAAAATTGTGCAGAACCGGTAGAAATCCAATTCTTAAATTTATGCCTGAAAACCTAAATTACAAAGTAGAGAACACTGATTCATTAAGAAAAAGCAGCGAATTTGAGTTAACTCAAAGTACTGCTGCAAAATACCTATCTCAACCAGTATTATTAAGGAAACCGTATTATGGGTTGTCAGATACAGCTTTAATTAGTACTGAGTAGAAGTACTTCTAGCCTAAAAAGTCAATCGATAAAAATTAAGAATCTGATAAATAGATTTTTTATTCTACTTTTAAACCAGAAGATGTTATGACATTAAAGAATAAATTGGCCAATTAAAAACAAAGAGAAAAAGAAAAATTATAGGACTTTTATAATCCTCCTTCAACTCACAAGTTTAGAGACGAATATCTAGATAAAAATAAACCTCTATTTAAAGTAAATTTATAAGTAAATTAAGACAAGAATTAAACCCGATCCCTTACCAAATCCTCACCTAATGTCAGAACATGATCAAAGACCTTAATTTGCAATTGAAGAGGATCTAAAGAGACAATTAAAGGAAGACTAAAAGCAATAATAATTAATCGATGATTATATGGGCACTTTCAAGTAGAGTAAATAATGGACCAAATATTTCCCGTCTACAGATTTAAATCATAATTTTGTTGATCACAAACGACCTAATTTCTTAGACAAAGGTAATTATTAAGAACCAGGATTAATATTGCTTCAGTTTTTAAGAGAAGGAGCAAGTGCTAAAGTAAAAGTTCATTTATAAATCAGGATAACTTTTAATTGTTTCATAGATTGTTGCGTACTAACGATAAGCATCTATATCTAGGATTGTAAGTGGATCCCAATTGATTATTTATCATAATATAAATAAATTCCTTAATATTTTTATTAATCTTTTATAACTTATAATCAGTAATATATGTTATATTTTTTTTTGATAATGAAAAAGTATCAGTTCAATATTACTGATATGTGTTTAAATAGATTTGTTTATCTTAGGTCATAAGATTTAGGGGAATGTTAGCAAACTATAAAACATTTGTGTAGTATTTGGGTTGACTTCCTTTAATTCGATTAATCGAAGGCAATTCGCACTAAATAGATTCAAATATTTGTGGTATGGAATTTATTATGGGAGTCGCATCGTAATTGCCGAAATTATAATGATCATGAACACTAAATAGTCACTTTCATAAGAAAATATATAACTTTGTAAATGTGAAGATCAATGATAAATTCATTTTAGGAATTTTGAGTGCTTAACAACTGCAAGCTGCTTAGTAACTGGTGAGTGATATGTAAGACTTCCATCAATAGAAGTCAGAGAACCATCATTTTTTTATTGTTAACTTAATTATTGTAAAATATGAGTTTTTTGAGGACTCTTCAAGTCATTTTTCTTTGATTAAATCGTAATTGTATCTAGAGAAGCTCGGCACAAAGGACAGACCTAATTTTTAAATGAAAATGATACTCTACTCTTTCTCATCCAGTTTTACAAGCAATTTACATGAAAAATGTGTTCACAATAAGTGATTCTAACATTACTGTCAGGCTTAAACTGCTCTAAACAAATTGAACAAAACTTTTCATCTTTACAAGATGATTTCCTGTCTGTTACTGATAGAAATTGTTAAACAGGCATGAAATATTCAATTTGATTGACTTTAGTCTACTCTTTGACGCTACTTTTCTTTTTGAGAATGTAACATACAAGACTTGAAATAATCATAAGGCTTAAGATGGTTGTCAATACTATTATAACTATTAAGCTCGATGGTTATTCAGTGTTGTATTCAGAATATTAGACAATATCTGAGGTGTTAGTTACAACAATAAATTAGGAGTAAAAATTAATTTTTGTGAATTGCTCCAATATTAATGTTTGTTCCTTGCATAAATTGATTTGGTTTTCTTCAATCTTCAGAGTTTTCCCTATCTAATGAGGCATAAACAAACGCGATGAGTTCGAATAACATTATATTGAATAAGATATATCAGAATTTAACTCAATTGTATAATCTACTGACTATAAGGCGATTAAATCCAAATACTGGACTTAAAAGCCAAAAAAATAACTATTTTATTCTATATTGGTAGCTGCAATAGAGCAGTCATATCCAACAAATCCTATTGAACATTGACAAAAGCCTTTGACACAAACACCTTTATTTTTGCAATCCCTAATATAATAATTGCATTTACTCTGCGCATTCATTGATCTCGAAAGATTCAATGGTCAAAATGTATTCTGAGTAAGTAGTGGAATATATAATTGCATTGCATTGGTTTCTTTCAATATGAAAAATTTTGTAATATTTGGATACTAAAGTTGGGTATTCGTTGTGAGACAGAAAGATGATTTAAGTCTTGTTTTTTAATACGTAAGCATTGTAGTCTAATAAACAACCATTTGATCTATCATTAGATGAATCAAGTAGGTGTTCAAAATTCTCAATATTCTCAAGCTTATCTTAACAAATCGCCAATATTGGCATTTCTGAAGACTATTAAGTGACTGATATTTTGAGGTTATTTTATGGAAGCAGATTTTCACAAAAATAATTTAAAGGGGTTCTTTATATTCCTTTAGTTGTATTTACCAAATTTTAAATCAGAATTTCAGCTAAGCATTATTATAAGAATATGGAAAATAATGTAATCATAATAATTATTAATGAATTTCATAACAAATCGGTCTTCATTAAAAATAAAGTAATATTCATAGTGGAACTGCTGGGGAGTTGGCTGATTTGTGTTCTCCAAACAATCTTATTTTTTTTTATGAAGAATAATTGCTGATCTGTTTAGTTGAGGATGCATTTTAATATAAGCAATCATCATTATTGTCTGTGTTTGTTAATTTATTAAGGGTTTCATAATTTAAGGAAGATCTACAAGTGGGACAAATCTAATTAATTAATGAATAAGGAATACTTCATTTTTTTCTATCCAAAGATCTAAACATTCCGAGTGAAAAAAATGGGTGCAATATGAAACACGAATTTTATGATCTTATTGATAGTTTTCTAAGCATATTGGGCAACATTGATCATCACTTAGACCAGGAAATTTCCTGATTAATTCTTAGAATGTCTGTATTGGCATAAATTTATTCATTTATCTTATGAGTGTTATCTTTTGAGACATTGACGATGAATTTCCAAACAGGTTATTCACCTAAGAGGCCCTTTTCTTGCATTTAAAACAAGCGAAAATAATAATCAAAAGTAATGACAATCCGATCGAAGTAACTATGTAAATAATAGTATTTCTATTTGAACCATCCGATTAGTCAGATAGAATTCCTACTTGAGAATTAGAATTGAAGACATAGAGTGGTAACAAGTTCAATGAAAACTACTCGTTATTTGAATTAATTTGATCAACACATGCTTAAGAGTCTTCTTTCGAGATTTCGATAAAAGATTGGTATTCCAATTCCCCTCTTAAATAAAATGGATTTTTTCCTAGACATTAAAATATAAAGCCACATCTTTCATTAAAATCAAATCGGAAGGACTAATAATATAAAAAATACTAATACATTTAATTCTGTGATGTTTAAATAATAAATCGAAACAGGATCCAATTAATCTTAACTAGCTAAATCCATAGTTTCTATACTGCAGTCATTCCCTATGTATCCTGTTAAACATTAGCATGATCCATTGAGGCACATCCCTAGATTTTGGCATGGTCTACAATTCTTAGCTGATAAATTACACATAGCATTCATATTTGTCTTGAATGTCAAAGTTAATCACAAAATCACTTCTTTACTCTAAAACAACAATGATATTGGCTCTTGTGTTTTTTTTCAATTAGATTATATTCATGTAACTATTATCTCTTTCCTTAAATTCGATTACTATTGTTTGAGTGGGTTTTCCAAAATCATAAGAATTTAGATCTGCAACACATTAATTGCTAATTTGATTAGAAATCGATCACTTACTTTTGAATTGCAAAATAATCAGGGATCCGTGGAAATGAGGGCGACCTTCTACAAATCAAAAAAAGAGGCAACTTATGAGAATAATAATTATTAAGAGTAATTATCAATCTCTGATCTACTGTCAAATTGATCCTGTCAAAGATGTCTGTTTCAATGTTGATCTGCCCATTCATTTATTTATATCCTTTGCTAAAAATTGAATCAGCAACTCCTAAAGTCAATAAAAAATTTAGAAACATATAATAAAATCATAATTCGTCAGTTTTCGCTAAACTAACAAAGACCTGGAGTGTTAATTTGTATGACATTGGCAGACCCAGGAGATTGAGTTTCTAAAATGCTACAATTATCATTTACATTGCAATTATCGTATTCTTTATTCTCTTTGCTAAAACTCTTATAACTTTAAAGGATCAATTGAGATTGCATCGTCAACCACCACTCCTAACCTGATAATCTATTCTTCCTATATCTACTGCATATATTTTTCCTAAGTCAAATTACTTCTACAAAAAGGACAAGTCTATCATAATACTCTTAAGTACTTAAGTTCTTTTTCGCCATTCATCCAAGCAATACTGATGAAATAAATGCAAACAATATGTCAATTTAACCAAGTCTTGTTTCTTGAATTGCAATAGGCAAATTTAACATTCTGATGACTCCTAAAGTCCTGGAAATTCCTAAATGACTTAATCGTAAATTTCAGTTGCGATATAATCTTATCTCAGAGAATGTCTAAACTTTTTTACTTTCATTTAATTCGCCCTTTCATTACTCGGCTATAAAATCAATATCCTTTTCCCTTTTCGCTATTTATGGATCATACAGATGATCAACAACACCAAGATTATCAAACTCCCCAAAACTGATAGAATAATATAAACTATCTCTAAAGTACCACCACTTTCTTCTGAATCCCCCGAAGTCAGTGTTAGTGTTATTTGAGTATTCATAATTTGTTCATTAACAAGCAAAATTATCAAGTATTTTGATAATGGAGTTTATAGAGCTTCTTCTATTTTATTGGCATTTTCAAAGCAATCCTAGAGCTCCTTCTGACTAATTATCACATTTCCATTCGAGATATTGGTTTGATTAAATGAGTTACTCCGATAAAAGGGGATATACTATTTTTAGTATGAACATCCAAAGTAGAGCTTTAACTCTACATGTGAATCAATAGTTATGATAATATTGGATGAGGAATCTGGAAATGGGACAATGACAAGATTTTCAGTCTGTCTCTCCATTTAGAACTAGATATTTATTTAAATTTACTGAAGATTTACTTCTGAAATTTATAACATTACTAGTTATCTAACATGTACTGTCTAGCACTCCTAATTGACATTGGCATAATTTTACTGCATTCTCACTGCAATGTCCTTGGCTATTACATGAACTAGTTTATAATGAAATCAAACTTATAGCATTCTCCTTTTTCAGAGGAACTGATTGTCAATCTGTAAGTCGTTTCTAATGTGGACTAGACATACAATCTCATTTTACGGTGATTTAATTAATAAATACTATATTGATTGTAGACCCATTCATTTTGATCATCAATGTTGTTAGTAAAGACCAGCTGTTAGGCATTTTGATAATACAATAAAGCATTATTATCAAACACACATTATTTTCTAATTACAAATTAATCTTACTTGTTTGATTCTATATGCTATTGAATCGAACTTAAGGATTATAGAATAGATTTGACAACTTGCTCATCATTATTAAAGCAATAAGCCAAAAAGGGATATGAAACTTTTATTGTATTTTCTAAAATTATTGTTAAAGTTGTTTTTCCAGTGGATGTTTGACCAAATTAATCCAAATCCAAATCAATGTATTAGAGACCCTGAGTTCTATATTGCTTTGTAACAGAAAATCCAGTTATTTAAATAATTAGCAATAGTAGTCCGAATATCATATTTTGATCAATTAATTAGATTTATAAATATGTTTTATTTCACATTAAATCTCAATCATTAATACTAAAAATAAAAACTAGTGAAATTTCAAGGCTATCGAAACTGAAGACACTATCGCGATTCTTAAAAATTAAATACTTAATCAAAAATTACTGCTTATCTAATTCAGTTTTTCTTCTTTTCAACCATTCCTAGTATTTTGATTTTAACTTCGTTTCTCATGATCTTTGATATAATTCAATAAATTAGACAGCCAAAACTTCCCTTGATATGATGCTCAGTCTATTTACTCTAATCATTTGTAGATATCAAATATTTAGAAATTATGAAAGCATTCACTAATATTAGGTGCTATTGATCTGCTAAATAATTGAGCCAATTTGCTACAAAATTGGTTAGCTTAACTTCTTTATTACTATTTTCTCTCGGATGATCTTCTTGAATGTAGCTTGCATAAAGTTACAGAATCTTGTATTTGTTTTATTAAAAATCGTGTATATATATATATAATAAATTAATTCACTTTCCCAAACCATTTCCCAAATCAAATTTAATAGCATACTTCTAAAATAAATCCTTATCGTAATCCTATATTTTCTTTTTCAAATCTTGTTTCATATGCATGTATTTACTGTCTCCCATATGTGTTCTTCTCATTGCGTCTTAATTTTAGAATTCCATAAAGAACTCATTACTCGTTACCAAAAACTAAATCACAAAAGGGTTGTACTTTTTTTTTTTTCTCCACTTATGTATTAGTATTGTCTTATCCTTTTTTTCTGAAATATTCTTCTAATGTCATTCCATTGTAACTATTCGGATTAAAATTCTAAGCTGTTCTGCTTTGAATAGCTGTACGATTTCTCTATTAATTCGAATTTGTTATTCTTCTTTTTTCTAATCGAGAACATTTCGATGTCTCTGGTCTTTATTCTATACGCTCTTAACTCATTTTTATTGAAAAAATTAATATAATTTACTCATCTGTTAATAAATTTAATTCATACCCTATAACAATACAAACTCCTAATTAAAGCGTTCTCCAAAAGAACAATCAACTTGTCTACTAATTAGAGTAATAGTAAATTAAAACTATTTCAAACGTTTTTATATTTCTGATCATTTTTATATTAATTAACACGAACCATCAATTCTGTAGGTTTCTTGGAGATTATATTATTAGGTAGTATAAAGAAAGGCCACTGCCTAAGAGTCAAAACTAATGTAAATGCCAAAAATTAATAGTTATTTTATTGCTTTGTGCATTACAAGTTTTTATATCTAAACACTCCAAACTAATAGAACTTAGGAAAGAGAGGATCATATAATAATACAATTAATAATAGAAAGAGATATGCTTAGAAGGATTTCATTATTAAATATTTAATAGAAGAATTACATTAAACATCGAAGCCAACCTCAATATAGATGACTACTAAGGCTTTTAAGATATATTGATACTAATAAAATTCTTTTATAACTTGTATAATAATTAATGTTTCATTAATTTTGAGAAATTTATAATTTTTTTTATGAAAATATTCTGGCTCAGACCATCTGCTGGAGATTCATAATAATCAACTATTGTTTATCAGAAATAATAATAGGAAGCTATTAAGTAAATCATTACTCCGAAAAGAGAGTCAACCAAATTTCCTTTTCACTTGAGTTTAGAAAAGGCGAAATGGATTATTGATAAGTAAAGATTCAATTTATTTTAAAGTGTTGACAATAAAATCCTGGGTAATTAAGTTAGGGCTCTTTTGAGTGCCCCTGTAAAAAACTGGATGTAACTGAATACAAATCTACAAAATTTAGAACAATGTGATGATTTTTTTAACATTCACGTTAATTCACTATTTATATAATTAGTTGAATAAATATTCAAGAAAAAAAATGAAAATAATTATTAGATGAAAACATTCGTATTGACTCTAGATTACTACATGAACATTTAAACCTTTTTATTGTTTTTATATTGGAAACTACTTAGAAACAGTGAGGAATTAATAATCATAGAAAGGATATTAGATTGGATAATTAAAATTAGGTACATTTGCCTAAATATAGATTATCTAATGGAACATTTCATCCACTTCTTATTTGATAATAGAATTCAACTGAGATAAGTGAAGCTTTATGAGATCATTCCCAAACCGTTGATAGGCTATGAAGAAATGGATCTCTTTTCATTGGATCCTGCAGTGCTGAGCAATGTTATTACTGAGATAAACGAGGAATTCTACTCCTAGTTATAATTCAATAACTTACTCACCAATCTAGACAATGGGAAATAGAGTTATTTCTTATCGGAGTATTTTGATCGAATCAACTCCTTTTCCTTATACGTTTAGGCAACGATATTAAAGAAGAAGGATAGAAAGAAGGCTATCGATTTTTTCTATGAGGTTTGTTTAGAACTTTGTAAAAATGAGGATGGGGAAGGAGTATTTTTATTATTTACTTTAAGTATTGAACGATTGGATTAAGATTTATTGCATTCTATTCAATATATTAGTCCTATCTAATAATAGATACTGATCGACATGACCAAAACTTTTGTGTGCAATAAACACATTTACACACCTTCAACCACTAAAAAGCTCTATCCAATCCCATCTTTTTATCATTTTTGGACTAAACTCAAAAAGTTAGAATAGGCAGCTTAACAAAGTAAAGACTTGAAGTATATTGATCAAATTCGAAATATCCTTCTAGATTTAATGTTTATTCGTTAATCCAATAGTGCAAGATTGCTCACAAGATAAAAACAAAGTGATCCTCTTTTAAAATATTTCTTATTAAAAGGACATCAAACAGAACTATCTTAGATATTAGAAATTCCAATAGGTAATTGGAATTAAATGTAATTAAAATTAATGAAAATGGCATCAAATTGAATGTATTTATTTATATTTAATTAATATTATATTTTTCACTGGAATTAATATTTTATGCTATAAAAGTACTGAAAAATTAAGAAAACTAGATAATAATAAAAATATGTAGGGCAATGTTTAATAAGTGTTCTTGCAGTTTACTGCAAATAAACCAGAGATGGACGGAAAAACCTTTGCTAAAGTTTCCAAAGATTGTCATCTCCTAGATAAGAAATTGACATCCACAGATGTAGATTTAATCTTCGCAAAAATCAAACCCACACCAGCAGCTAGATCAATAACCTATGCCTAATTTGAAAAGGGATTATAAATGATGGCTGAAAAGAAGGGAGTAGGAATTCAAGATGTTCATAATCAAATTCTGAATGCTGGTGGACCTCATTTTTAAGGAACAAAAGCTGATGCTGTGAAATTCCATGACGATAAAAACCTATACACAGGAGTTCATGCAAATGGTGGACCATCAACAATAGATAAGAATCACGGGGGATTGAATACCATTTGTGATAGATCCTAAGCAGATGTAAGAGGAGTCAAAAAATGATTAAAAATACATGATTATATTACACATTTAATATTAAATCACAAAAAAAGATTTGCATAATTATAAAAACACCCACTTAATAGAGAGGCTTCTGGAAATTTAATGTTCAATTATAAATTAGGTCTAAATTAGGGTAACCTTTGGGTTGAAATATGTTTTTATCCTAACACTTATGTACGATACTCTTCTAATTAGTTTCGGACCATTAAGAATAATAACAAATCAATTAATTAATTAATACCTAGTACTAAGGAATTTAAAAGTACTGTACATTAATAATTGAATTGGTAATGTCAATTTATTTATAGTATTATTTTAATTAAAAATTGGTAATTCTTAGTTGGCATTTCTGCAACAGACTCAGTGCGCCTGTAGTTATAAAGTTTAATTAATAAATATTATTCTTTATATATTTTTGTAAGGTTTTATATACTCAGTAATTATTTTGATTCACTTATTTAAATATTATACATAAAATGGATGTGAAAATAAAGGATTCTTTTTTTGATGATCCTGAAACTACGACCTTTTGGGTTAACAATGGTCTACCCAATTAAGACCAAATATTATAATTGCAAGATTCAATGTACATCTAAAAGGAAAATGAGTTCTGCAAACGCACTCTAGGCATTTAGAATCACTACTTGCTTTACTTTAAAAAATAAGTATATTGTAACCAATAACCAATAGACGGCCCAAAAATGGGTTAACTTGGACAATGCTACTATTGAATATGTCAAACATTAAAGTGTAGGATTGGGGATTAGAATTTCAAAACATAAATAATATTTTGAGTTCTTCGGAGATGTCGAACCTTGGTATAATTATTTGAGATAATATTGTGTATAAAGAAATTTTTCCTAAAGTTACACTTTATTAAAGAAAATAGGATAGGGAAATTTTGCTGATGTATTTAATAACCCTATTTTTAGGTATATAAGGCAACCAATAAGATGGATGGGGCTGAATACGCTATCAAGTGCTTCAGGAAGAACAAATTAAAGGAGAACGTCGATAGATTATCTATGATCAAAGAAATATCAATCATGAAGAAAATCCAGCATGAATCAGTCATCAAATTGTATGAGGTATATGAAGGAGATGATTGCTTGTACTTGGTTTTGGAATACTTGAGAGGAGGGGAGCTTCACTAATTTATGAAGAAATCCCCTCCCTTTTCAGAAGAAAAATGTTCAAAATTGATTTTTCGGATTCTAAAGGCTCTGTATTCTATACATCAAAAAGGGATATTGCATCGGGATCTTAAACCAGAAAATATTATGTTGAGAAACAAAGATGATCTCGATAATGTCTGCATTGGAGATTTTGGATTGGCTGATTATTATTCTCCAAGTGGCCAATATCTCTTTACTAGATGTGGAACTCCAGGTTATGTTGCTCCAGAATTGCTACAAGACAAGCTCTACGATTTCAAAATTGATATTTATAGTGTTGGAATACTTATGTACATTTTAATCGCAGGTAAGTCGCCATTCGATGGCAAAGACTATGACGACGTTGTTATGAGAAATTACTATGCTAAGGTGAAATTCGAAGATTGTAAATTGAGTGAGGTCGGTATGAACTTCCTGAAAGGTTTAATGAATAAAAACCCAATTCAAAGATTTAGTGCTGAAGAAGCATTAAATCACCCATGGTTTGCAACAGAAAATTCCAATAAAGCTTGTTAATTTAAAATTCGAAAACAAAATTATGTATTGAAAAAACTGGGTCATTGTGAATTATAAATCAAATAGTTTTCAGCTATTTCTACTCAGTTCAGTCCTAAAAGTTCGTTATCAAGCCTTAGTCCTTACTGTATCACTAAATATAACTTGGATGAAAGTCCACAAACTCCTAATTCACCAAGCGCATAATTCGCCATATCAACTCCCAGAACTCCTGGCATGTGTAAATTAAGGCCAGTTCGACGCTCTTAATTTAACTTAAAATAAATATGATTTTAATATGTATATAAGTCAATGATTTAACTTAGAGATAATTTAATTCTATTAATACTTGAATTCTTAATTATAAGGTTCAAAAGAAACAGTAGAGAAATTGCAAAGTAGATCAATAATTTTACCTTTAAAAATTTTACATAAAAATAATATCGATATGCGTTCTTTTGATTTACTTCATTTTTGCAAAGTTGTAATTAAAAAAACTAAATCATATATACGAAAGGTATCATCTAAAATTATTTCTATTTTTCAACTATTTCTAATGAGAATTAATTTCTTATTCTATCATTAAGAGATGCAAAAATTATGAGAATTATTATAATAATTAGACGAATGTAATTTGTTACAACACTTGCTCTTTATCAGAGTTTAGAAATGTAAAATTAATCATATTCATTAAATAACTTAGTCAAGCTCCTCTTCTGAAATAGATTCAGATCTTGCACTTCTAAGTTTTTGGAATAATTATCTTATGTATTATTTACTTCTCATCTTAAGATACGAAAGCTTGTTAGATTATTTGAATTTCTTAGCAGGCTTGTAAGATTTTCCTTAGACTACAAAAGGATTGAATTTCTGATGATGAGATCTAGGGAATATTAATTCAAAAATAAATACCGACATTGACTTGGGCTTCTTGTAGCAATATTTTAACTCATTTTCTTAAAAAATCTTTATCCTTTGCTTCTTTATTATGTTTCTACCAAATCTTAAGAATTATATAGAAAATCCAGATAAAGTTTATGTTCTTAATCAGTCCAGTGCCCCGTGTTTAATTGTTTTTGTTTGGACAATTCTTTAGTTTTTGTTTAAGTCTGTTAGGAGAAGATTTCAAAGTGTGAAGTCTCAAATTTCATTTTATGTTATCTATTTGGAGAACTATTTATATTTAGAAATAAATATTTAAATAAATTTTCTATTATCAATATCAAAAAAGAAATAAAAAAATCAGTTTATTTAGAATATAATTTCTGATTGATACATATGAATGGCAATAATTAATATTAAATTTGATAAAATTCAATAATATTTGATTGAAAATGATTATCTAGAAAAAATGAAATGCTTAATCAAAAAAAACTATATTTGAAATGATGATATAATTTCATTTTTCTTGAAACATATTGTAATAAACAATTTAAAATTAAATTGATAATTTAAAGAAAATATAACGATAAAAATTAATAATAAAAATAATTCATAAATAAAATTTATTATGCTTTCCTAATCAAATTTGACTCTAACTACTTAAATCAGATTGGCCACTGTTATTCAAGCAATCGCATAAAACGAATAATTGAGTGAGAAAAGAAGATAAATACTAGCCTAACTTGACATGTTCACTGTAGAAGTTGGTAATTATTTTAACAAAAACCATAGCGTTTTTACGGTTGGATCAAAGCAGAGTGAATCAATTAGCACATACAGATATTATTGAATTTTTATAAGACAATAAAATATCCCATTCCCAATTTGAGGCTGCCTACCTTTTTAAGAGATTAGATTGGGACAGAGATGGAAGAATAAAATTGGGAGAGTAAATGATCTATTTATTCTTATAGTTTTCTCTAATACATTCTACCAAAAAGAAATAACACCTTAAGAGACATCGCTAAAGCCAGAACTCCATATTAAATTGAACCTGGAATGTTATTGCCCAATGAAGTTGAATTGGCTCTCGCCGACCTATTTACTTAGGAAATCAATAACTACAGGACAATAAGCCATGCAAGATAGGCTTTAGTCAATTCTTTAGACTACTCAACTTTGGAAGCCTTCAAAACTCTTGATTTGTTTAACCAAGGTTTTCTGACTAAAGAAACCTTATCTCTCTTCATGTAAAAGTAAGGAGCCCCATTGTTGAATGAAGAAGTAGACTCATTCTTTGATGCCGTTGATTTGGATCAAGATGGAAGAATATCCTATAGTGAATTGGTAGAGGCAGTTCACCTGATGGAACCCTTACCCTATAGATCAAGTGTTGTTAGGGATACAGACTACATAAGAGCTGTAGAAAATAATAGATCACTAGAAAGACTAGCTCTGCCTAGTTATCCTTATTATTTCTACCCATATTATCCCTATTATTATCCTTATTACTATCCATCTTTGAGATTGGAGAATGTTAGACAAAGAGAAAATTCTTTAGAGAGATTAAGAAGATCAAGATTATAATAGATTGAGAATGAAAATAGAATTATTCATTTGGAGAATGAAACAAGAAGAAGTGCTGAAAGGTAAAGAAGCGCTGAAAGATTAAGATAGATTTAAGAAGAAAGTTTGATTAGATAAAAACAAATTGAGGAGTAAAATAGGATCAGAGAGCTAGATAGGATAAGAGATGATGATTTAAGAAGAAGCAGAGAAAGGATAAGATTGATAGAAAACGAAGCAAGACTTAAGTAAATTGAAGCCGAAAGTAGGGCTAGAGATATAGAAAGAGAAAATAGATTATTAGTATTAGAAAGAGAGTAGAGAATAAGATAAGCAGAATTGGAAAGAGAATTAATAGAAAGCAAAGTGAAATATCAAAATTTGGAAAGATAAAGTTCTTTAGAGAGATTGAGATAACTCGAAGATATAAGAAGAGCAGAATTAGATAAATTAAGAACAAGCTCAGCCTTAGCTTACTCTCCTTATTATTCCACTTACACTTCGAACGTACCATATTATGAGAAAGTATTATAAAAATACCCATATTCTTTAATTGATTCAATAAATGCCTTTAAGTATTAGAATTTAATCTATTTATTAGTTCAATAAGAAGATACTCACCAATTAATAACAAATCATTGGTCTAATCAACAATTTATGAAAGTCCAAGTAAAATAAAAAAATAGGAATTCAAATAAAAATGATTAATACAATTTTCATAAATTATCTAAATGCATATATTTGTTCTATTTCTATTATCATCACTCTAATATGTGAGAAGTAATAATCAACTGCTAAAACCAAAAAGAAATTTCAACATTTTAATCACAGCTATAAAACACAATTAAATAAAATATCTAAGTCAGCCTAAAAGAATAAAAATATAAAAATTTAATAATCATGCTTCGCTCTTCTATCTTTTTTCTTTTCCTTCACTCCAACAACTTTCACTTTAAACTCCATTCTTATCTACCAGAACACCCTTCCCATGTTATTTTCCATCTCTAAATTCCCCTTTATACATAGTACCATCTGCCCATTTGAATTCTCCTTCTCCATGTTTGAGATCATAACAGTAATATCCTAAATATTCCCTTCCATCAGGCCATACAAAATGACCTTTTCCATGCATCTTACCATCCTTAAATTAACCTTTGTAGATTCTGCCATCTTCAAATTTCAATTCTCCGAAACCTGTAATACTATCATTTTCAAATTATCCAGTGTAAATATCTCCATTAGGAAACTTTGCTCTTCCTTATCCTTGTTTCTTTCCCGAAAAGAATGATCCTTCATATTCCTAGCCATCAACTAAGATTTCCTTCCCTTAACCATGCTATTAAATTATTATTATCAATTACTTTTTAATCCTACAACCATTCTCCTTCATATAGAGATCCATCAAAATCATAAAATGTGCCTTAACCATTTGCCATATTGTTCTTCCAGTCTCCTTCATATGCATTACCATTAGAATGTATAATTCTCCCTCTTCCATTGGCCTAATCAAATTTCCAATAACCTTCATAGATTGATCCATCAGCGAAATATTGTTTCCCTCTACCATGTCTCAACCTGGAAAGCCACTAACCAATATATATATTGCCTTAGTTTCTTTTGTGTTCCTAAATAATTATAAGAGTGTGTACATGAGCTGTAAAGAATCGGCATTCATTAAATTCTTAAGGAAGTTTTTTATCGAATTTAAACTTTCCAAGCTTAGTTTAAGTCGTTAAAACATTTTATTCAATACTCTTAGGTTCCTTGCTTTAAATCCATGCATCACCAGGCTTCTCTTTTTCAGCTTCTTCCTTCATCTTTGCTGCAACGTTCTTAGCTTTTTTTTTTCTCATTGATGATTATATTTTGACTATTTCTTCTTGATGCTCTTCAAAGTTGATTTGCTCAGGAACCAAAGTTGGCATTACTAAAGGTTCGAATTGTCTATATTCTCCATTTTGCATTTCCCCTCCCTATTAAAATGAACAACAAGCACCCATAAATAATTATATATATTAATAAATATAAGAATGGCTATGATATTTTATTTAATGTCAGCCATCATTTTGCTGATTCCTTTTCTCTTTAATCTTGAGGATTATATCCTATATTATGACTTTGCCTCCCTCCTTTGTGTTTAATAATGGATATTTGATACTAATAGGTAATTCAAGCTTTTTGAATCGTTGCTGTTAACCGTGGCTATTATGTATGCTTAATCTTTCACACTAAATGTAATATTTTTACTAGCATCAGCTTTTATTTTTTGGTGAGAATGTGTTCTCTAATTCTGACAACATATATCAAGCCTGTATATACATATGTCTAACCATTATTTTGGCTAATCCTATTAGTATTACATTCCAAGATAAGCTTGCTGCAAAATACGAACCTTTTCCATACTCTGTTATGATGTTTGATAAAGTTGGATAAGCACTGACAATTAGTAAATTAGTAGAAGCCCTAATTTTGGATAAGATTTCATTTACAAACTCTTCATTTGTTCTGTCTGCTCTTCTTATGAGTTAAGTACCCATAGCTGTTTTGTTCATTGGATTAAGAGAGTATCATTCAACATCGGATTCTTATTCCAAAATTAAAGAATTGGCACTAGAAAACTCAATAATTTACCTAATAACTTCATCAGTATTTCTATACTTAAAGTATGCCAATATAGTAAAATTAGATTCATAGACATAATAATATTTATCGATTATCCAATTTGTTTTATATTCAAGTAATATATAGATATAAATTATAGCAATTTATTATTAGGTCAAAAAGGTTATTAAATCAAGAAATCAATCAAAAATAAAATAATATTGAAAAATAATAAATATAAAATTTAATCAAAATCACATCACAGCATCTTATGTAGAAGCTATTTTCTTAAAATTGACTTGCTTTGTTTTGTCTTTTTATTGAGATGACTTGAGAGAAGACACACAGATTTTGGACTTTAGGAGAAGCTTTTTTCAACAGAAGTTGAATCATCTCGATTTAGAGGTGGAAGCTTTATTGAATTTGCAGACGAATCATTTTTTTCTTTATTCTCTTGGGTTGGGATGAATTTACTCATTCTCCTAGGAATAATGGGTAGTAATTATTAAGCTATAAACATTTTTGAATTTCTTGGTTTCTAGGGAATTCTAAAGATATCAAATTCCAGAATCTATTCACAGGTTAAAATCTCCATTTTGTTACTTAACCTATCTGTAAATATCATCTCAAAAAATCTTTAAAGTTGTGGACATAATCCCATAAACTCTATTCGAGTCAAATATTAAAAATTCTTCATCAAAAGTTCATCCACCACTTAATCTAAATTATACACTTTTTCTGTGAAAATAGTCAAAAGTAAAGTACTTAAGGAATATATGTCTCTTTTGATGCACAAATTAATGATCTTTTCTTAATCTTGATGATTATTCGAAGTGGCGATAGTCCTTTTGGAAGGAATTTACATTGCCTTTCCAAAATTAATCAAGCAAGGTGTTTACAAATCTTGTGGATCTCTTAACAAGATGTTTTCATATCTAATGTCGTTATGATATATGTTGTTGTTATGAAGACTATGTAAACTACTCATTAGAGTATGCATAACTTTAATCTTTTCTTATTCCGTATAATGGTTATTTAAAATCTGATGTTCAATGGGTCCGCCTTCCAGTAATTCAGTAATTATATATATATTCTTTTCCCCTTCATAAATCTCTTCTAATTTTAACAAATTATTGTGTCTGATTTATCTTAAGATATTTATCTCATTTAAAAAGGAATCCTTTTCAAGTGTGCTACTCCTTGTTAGTGTAGATTTTTCAACAATTTTAGCAGCAAACTTCTATCCACTAAGGAGATGCTAAACTTTATAGACCTAATGATAAAATTATTAATATTACAGATGATATATATCCGCTACCAATTTTTTCAATTATGTGATATTTCTTCTAGAACTCCGATTGAATTACATATTTTTTTAACTTTTCAATTAATTCTAAGTTGGTACCGTAAAATTCTGCCAGTTGACCATTTTTACTCAGTCTTATACCGAGTTATTAAGTATCTGAATTAATGACAATTCGTAAACAAGCATTTTCAATTAGAATATATCTAAAAGACTTCTAATAAATATTCTCAAATTTCAATACTTCTTCGATGATTTTTAGATAGTTTTCTGCTAATTGAATATTTATTTAGGTAACCCTGTTGGAATATTTCATTTGAAAACTCCCTTAATCTTAGAATTGCAAATTTTGTTAAGTGAGTATCGTAAATAATTGGTTTCCATCATTAAAAAAAGAATTCTTCGAATGATCAGCTTGCAATCCTCCACTTTTTTTCATTAAAATATAAAATAATTCGGATTCTTTAGTTATTTATTAGCTTAATACTATTGATAAATATTTTCTTACTAATATATTAATATTTGATGATTGAAACAACATCTTAACCAAATCTTGTGGATACTTCTCAACTTTTATTTCCAGAATATTCTTACTGATATTCGAATTATAAAAATAAAATTGGTGAAATAAAAATATAGGATATTTTGTTTAAAAACCTAAATTGCAATTAAATTTTAAGTTGTTACGAAGAAAACAGGTATTTTTTTAATAATAAGGTATATTAAACAGTTTCAATTGTTTGATATAACTAAGAATTAAGTAGTTTTAATATAGTGAAGAAAGTGAATAAGAAATGAGTAAATAATTTAATTATTTTATATAATACTCTAGCAATGTGTAATTGATGCAAGTATCATAATTCTCAAATGTTTTCAAGTGTTAAAATATTAAAATCTTCATTTCCATAAATCTTATCTCTATCCGATGCTTAGATGGAATCATCAAAAGGAACTATAGTATTAGAGCGATTGTTGAAATCTAAATGCAGAGGTATCCCAAATTTGTGTGATTGCGATATCTTATTTTTATCTATTGACAATTGTACTAAGAATTATAATCTAGATATTTCATATATTTAATTGATAACAGTTTATTTTTTCAAAGCTACTTATTTGGCCTTTGTGTAAAACTTGTTGAACTCAATTAAATCGATTTAGCTATTAAAATGCTGGACTGATTTAATTTACCCAAATAAGTTTCTATTGATACTTAATTCCTTAAATTATGGATAATAACAACTAATTATTTATTGATTTAAAAGTTCTTCTAATAAATATGTGTTCATAGCGATTGCTAATCCTTTCAACATCATTAAAGTTGATATAATAGAACCAACATCAGCTAGAATTTCAGATATTTTAGTATATTAAATTGATTAGATTTAAGTCAATTGATTTAAATTGAATTCATAGACAGCAATTAATCCATTTAAGTAATTTTTGAAGTATGCTTACTTTACAGATTGAGTAATAATTTAAACATCATTAACAACTTAGGTTTCAACCATATTGTCAAATAAAAATCCATTATTTATGATATTCTTCTACGTTTGAAGTTAGAATACGTTTAAAAGTGTTACATCAGTCTCGATAGCGTATGATAATGATTTAGTAATTCTTTCAAACTGATTAGTTTAGGCATTAAAATAGAGGAAATTCATATCAATTTTCATGCTTATTCCTGAAAGTCTAAATTAAGAGAATATTCCCTTACTCTAAGAATTATTTAATTTTTTCATCCGAAGCACAATTAGCTTATGTTTTCTTATCACATAGCTGAAGTGCAATTAAAGTTTAGGTTGGATACAGAGAGGTTTGGCTATTTGTCAAAGAAAAATTGAAATTATCCAAAACAATTTTATTATTATTTTAGGCTTCAACATTAACAACTAAAAATATTTAAACAAAAATTACTATTGATACTTTAATTTTATTGTGTAATTAAATACGTTTGAATTATCATTTCATTTGAATTTAAAGGATCTAACTATTAAGTATTCTAGTCAAAAGAAATGGAGATCAAGGGATAGTTTAATTATAAGTCAACATTATTTAATACTTAATAGGTCTGAGTACTTTTTGGATTTATGTTACCACTTAACCAAGAGTGGAGCTTATAAACAAAGTAAAGTAAACTTAGCGAATATAGAGCTATAGTAAAAAATCCACCAAAGCTGCTTTTGTATGTTTTCTTATTTGGCAGATAGGGCTACTCATAAGAAATTCCGAATAAATCCAGATAGTGTAAAAATTTCATTATTTATTTGTAAAATTATATTTTATATTAATTATGCTATTGAGATAATAATTATTAGATAATTAATTATGTTATTAATTATACTAGTTATCCAGATTGCATATGCATAAAATGACATTCAAATTCCTACCCTAATTATGTAGACGATGCATGAATCCTATCATTATGATTTATTAACAAAATACTCGGACTATTTAAATCCTGAGGTTGAGGTTGTAAATATTGAGCCTATGAATAATTTCACCCAAGAAAAAGCTAAACCTAATTATACAATAACAGAATTGAGTTAATATATCAACACTGTTTAATTTGATAAGTCTTATCAAACCACTTCGCAATATAACTTAAAAAAATACCCTATTACTATTTTCCTATGCAACAAAGATGTTATCATATTAGAATACACGAAAAATGTGAAAAATTAAATGGACATCTATTCTCATCATGAGTATGATTTAGCAAATACAATAAATGATGTGAAATCATGTACAACTATGTATGGGTTGTTTGACGATTTAAAAGTAAACATTGATTGCATTGATCAATAAAATAACTTTATAAATGTGATTCTTGAAATTATTTTAAATAGAAACATGAAAATTTAAGATGTTTAATTTACTCTATAATTTTATAGTTTTGAAAATTTGTTGGGTTAAAGCGAATAGGTAACAGCATACTGGAATAACTGTAAGAAAAAGGATATTAAATATATTGTGCATTATTCATAAATTAGTAGAATCTTTTATTGTTTATATGGTATATATCATAATTAAATAAGGTAATTTGCTTGAACCATAAGATTAAATAATTTTAATTGAAGAAAGCACATAGTAAATGGATAACATCTATATAATCAATGTTTATGTCCTTGACCAGCATAATTTTGTTAAGTGCAATAGCGAAGAAATTGTGAACTATTTTTATATCAAGTAATTGATTGCCAATTCCATCACCAGAATAACGGAATATACAGAATATGAATAATAAAATAAATGGATTCTTAGTCTATTGTTAGTTGACAGACATGGAATTTGTAAATGTGGCAATCTTATGAAAAATAAAATTTAGTGTGACTTTTTAGAGTTGTAAGAAGGACTTTACACAAACCTATACTCATCATCATATTTGGAGGAAATCACCTACATCTATGTAGCCTCGGAAATCTTGCTCTATAAAATAAATTTCTATTTCACTTTTCTCACAGATCAAGATAAAATCGAAGGATACTTTTACATCAAATAAGATGGATTTAATTTATAAAAAATTCATATCTATTATGATTATCTAATTGTTGTGATGTCAAAAAAGACCAATATCACTAATGATAATTATTTACCTTAAAAGATATTGTTTTTCTAAAAGAAATATACCATACAATAATACGTTCCAAATTATATCATAGATACTACTACTAATTATGGGATATTCAGGGTTAATTTTGATGAGTTTCCTGGTAGTTATTATTTGGAATATAATTATAAAATGTAAAATCTGAGTTTGCATTAACTTTAATGCAAGCATTTAATTTTTTCCTATGATCAACCAATTGCTAATAAGAATTATCTAATGTTTTAGATTACTTTGCAAATTACAAGTCTTAGTATTTCAGTACAGGATATTTTTAATTTGGTGATATCTTAGTTTAATGATGATTCATTTTTTTTAATAAAAGAAAATGTCTATGATGATTTGGTTTTTAAATCTGAACAATTCAATTTCAATTTGAATACCAATCTTCTTGGACCTTTATTAAATTATCATGAAATTGAATGGGAAGATAATCCAGTAACAGCATCATCAGTCATTGAATATATAAGGGAGATTAAGTTTATGCATTTTAAGTCTGAATTTACCAAAATATTTTCAGGCTTATTTGTTTATAATGAAATAAATGCTTATTTCTCACTTGTGGGATTAATAAAAGATGAATCAAATGAAATTGTCCTAGCGTATTAATAGTTTAAATATGATAAAGTTAGATTTGTTGAAGAAGGAAAATTAAAATAAATAAAATTGGAGTAATTTTCTTTCTCAAACATTGATTTTTTTAGTCAAAATATTTTAACCGTTATAATTGGCGATTCTGCTTCGAAAAAATATGTTCTTTGTTATAATAACTAATTTTCTTCTTGTTCCTAATTGACTGGGTATTTATTCCTTGATAATTTATAGTGATTTCTTAATAGAGTAAGATACTTATGATTATATTCAATTAAATGAATTTAGATGTATAAATGATACTTTATTTGCAATATCTAATAATCGCAAGAAGATTATATTGTTCAGTCTGACTTGTAAAATCTTTTTCGCCTCATAAATGGAAGTTTAAAAAATGGGCCAAATTGATTCTGAAACAATTCCAGAATTAGATTAGTTTGAAATATTAGATACCCAATTTGAAATCATTGATAATAAATTAACCTTCTTATTATTAAGCGATGGAAGTATTATGTAGGTTATTACTTATTACTCAATATCTAATTATAAATTGAATTACAAAGTAATCAATAAAATTAAGGAACCAGATTGTATTCCAATGATGAAAAATTCATCCAAAATCTTTTTTCAATTCCATCAAGATAAAAGAGTTTTAGTCTATATTTGTAATGAAAATTCAGTAAACTAAAAAATCTTTGAATATGATCTATAGAATCCGTATAATCCTTTTTTAATCAGAAGATACTCATTATTCAGTTATTAAATTAACAACCTATTGAAACCTTTTAGTGATTCTCAGGTTGTTTATATACCAGTAGAGGCTAAAGGGTATTTAGCATATTCGCCTTTTTTCCCATCTCCAAATATTTTACTTCATGATATTCCTGTGTAAAAAGATTTAATTAGTGCGATACCTGTTATTGTTAATAATTTTGACACAAATGAATGGGACATATTTTCAATGGCATTCTTTTTTGATAAAAACGGGGGAACCTTATTTTATTTGAATTCTAATCCTGTTTATTATAGTGTTTTGAATAATGACGATACAGAATCTAAAAAAATGATTATGGTATATCAATAAAATTAAGACTCTATTATTTTTAAAGAGTTCGATATCTTTTTCGATTATTCAGAGACTTAGATCATCTTTAACCCAAATAATATTTAATTAGTTGAAGCTTCATAAGATGTGATCTTAGATCTAATTGACTCATAAGTTCAAGGAGCCGTTGAAGATTTTGAAATCTAGAATTTATCGGATGAGAAAAACATTATTATAAAGAAAAATGACATATTACAATTGAATTAATATTTGAGTGACCATTACGAAACTTTAGAGTTTGGAAGGATATTTGATATTTTAGATATGAATTAAACAGAATATATGAGCATCATTAATTCTACTGCATATGAAAATAACCTAATATTTACAGTAAGTCAATACTATTTCATCATTTATGAAAAGCAACGACAAACGACTAAACATATAAGTAGAATAACAATCCTAAAAAAGGAAAGATTAACAAACTTGAATTCGCAATTAGAAAATCTTAGGTAATGTAGATTATCTATTAATGATATTAATTAGGTATTGTTATATTGTTACAAATATTATTCAAGCAGTTTATAAAACCATTCTAAACTGGTCTAATATTTTTAAATCAATTTCTAATATGACTATGCAAATTCAAAAATCAGTTACAAGATTAAGCCAATAAAAATATCATTAGGAAGTAGGTTGTAAATTGAGGCTATAAATCCAATCAAATTTTAAGGGTAAATATTTTAATTCATAAAATATAACTATGAAAATTCATAGGATTAATATGAGTTAATCTCGGGGAAAATAGAAAATGGTCAATTTACAAGTAAGCAGATTATTTAATCTTCTACTTTTGATTATAATATTTTAGGACAACTATCATTTGACACGATCTTGTTAAATGATGAAACTACTTTAGTTTTAACATTAGATATACATGAACTTAGAGTCTTTTTCTTCAAATTCGATAATACAACATCTGAATTATTTAAAAAAAAAGAAGAAAAATTCTCATACTATTAATTGAATCAATACTTATTTCATTCTACAAGCCAATATCGTCTGGAGACTATCCATCTACTTAATTGCTATAATTATACTTGTTTAGTGTTACTAGGAACACCAGATAAATTTTTCGAATTTCACTTAATACTTTCTGAAACAGAGACGGCAAAAATAGTTAAAAAATATATCTATTTAAATTATTTTAGATGCATTCATACAAATAAGCAAAAGCCTTAGTGTTAATTGAATGGCATATTATCAATCAATTAGTTGGTGGCTGCTTGTGTGAAATAAGATGTAGAAAAGAATTTCTTTTTTGAGGACAAATTTGATTACATATACGATGATCTATAGGTTTTTGTTTAGATATTTCATAAAATTTAAGATGCCAGTGAATCTTCTCCTATTAGGATATATAGATTCTTTTTTGATATCACTTTAAGAGATAGATTTCATTTTTTATTATACAAAAGTGAACCAGATAATAAAAAACACATACTATTTGAGAATGATACATATTTTCTAATAGACTATTTAAAATAAGACTAGATTTCATTTTAGATAAAATCAAATTACACAAAGACAACAACTGTAACTGGTAATTTAGTTCTATCCAATATATTCAAGAAAAAAACAATAGACATCACAATTACTTTTGATTTCCCTCTAGAGAGACATTACATTTGGATTTATATCACAGCTGCTACATTTTTATTAATAATCTTGGTTGTGCTTGGAATATTGCTATATTTGAAGAAAAGAAAGAGACAAAGATGCAAAAAAAAAAAAAATGACTCATTTTCTAAAAGTCTGATAGGTTTAGATGATGTACTTAAAGAAGTAATTCTAGGGGAAGGAAAAAGAGGATCTTAAACAAAATTGGACGATAGTTATTCTAATGAAAATGATAGCGATTGATAATAAAAATTATATATTATACAAAACAAATTATAAATAGTCAGTTGAATTAAAATTTGTTAGTAAAATAGTTTCGATCTGTTTAAGGCTTTTAACTAGTGAGCATATTTTTGGTTTATAATCTAGGAGTTTAAGAAATCAAATTGTATTTTTTTGATGACATTTGAGATAATTGAGGATTAGTTTCTTCAATATTTGTTCTTTTAGCTGAGGTCAGTTACTGGGTATTCAAATGAGGGACCGTCTATTTTGAATTAATACTGTTCTAGAATGGTTATTGAGTGATAGTTTGATCATATGTATAACCATTAAATTAATCCTAAATTGATTATCTTCTTATTAACTAGCCATTTAATAAAATCGTCTCATGATCTTCATCTTCCTTCATATTTGCAAACTTGGCATCAAAATTATCATTATTTATCTAAATACATTAATTTAAATTACATTTATGGAATATTGAGGTAAGGCTGATTAGTTCATAAAGCTATTCCAATCAATATCTTTCAACCATGGATGTGATTGCACTTCTTCAGGCCCATTAAATCCCAACCTATACATCGGTTTTCTTTATAGAGTTCTATTGATAAAATCTGCAGCATCATCTGACCATCTATCAGGTACTTAATTCTATTTAATTAAGACTTATTTAGCCATTATTTAATCTCTAATTTCTCTTCTAGTTTTGCCTATGTAAGGTCTCTGCATAATAATGAACTAATTACTTTTCCGAACATACATTCGTAAGCTATGACTCCAACAGCAAAATAATCAGAAGCCACTCCATGAGCCTATCTACACATAACTTCTGGAGCCATATAGCCAGGAGTTCCACTAGTGTCATTGTCGTTATCGGGCTTCCAAATTCTGGCAATACCCAAATCTGTTAATCTTAAATAGCCTATTATAATTTAGTATTATATCAAACCATTTCTATCAAATACTAAGTTTTCTGGTTTAATATCTCTGTGTAACACTGTGTTTGTGTGCAAATATTCCAAAGCTAATAATAAGCAGGCAATAAAAAATTCTTTTAAAAATTAATGTTAATCTATACTTGTCTATCTTTCAGTAAATTTTCTTTGTTTGCATAGATGATATCTTAAATCACCACCCTACATCAAATCCATTACCAAATATAAATTTTCTCTATCTTAAAAAGCAGTATGCATATTTACTAAAAACCTATTTAGTTAAATTTTCTTACGGATGTCTTAAATTACTTAATAAATATCTTTCATTCATAACTGAACTAACACTCTTCTTATTAATTATCCTATTCTTATATGATTAATTCTTTACTTGCATTTATTCATTTCTTTAATTGCAAACTATTATTTTGATTTTTTGTTTTCAGCCTTCCAAACTCTTCCAAAACCTCCTCTACCAATGACAAAAAGCAGAGAAAAATCAGCTTTACAAGGCACTAAATCAAATCATATAAATAAATTACATAATGCATCATCAAAATTTACATCTTTGCTGTTATTACAATTTCCCATTTCGTAAATTAAATTTATTATTATATAATAAAATACTATATAAATTTCATGAAAATTTGTTCCCATCCTGATTTCTCAAGAGCAAACCATTTGTTCTATAATTATATTGTGTAATTAATTATATAATTTTTAACAATCGAAAAATGATTCTATTTGTAATAATAAAATGAAAATTCTCAAACTCGTTGTTAGAAATAGAACTATTAAACGGCATATAAAAGATAAAAATATAGGTTACATTATATAACTGCTCTATATGGAATGTTTGCTTGAATAACACTCTAAGATTTCTACTACCATCTAAATTTGAAATAGTATTAGATGCAATTAGCAAGAATAACCAAATGATTAGAAAATGAATTTATCAATACACAAGTTTAAATATATAATTATTTATAAAAATGATATAAGAGGATCAATAAATCTGTTTTAAGAGAGGGTGCGAATAATGCATATTAAGTAAATATCTCATCTCTAAAACAATTAGATGATGATCATTGTGACGATATTTAGGAAAATAATTCTTAGTATCTAGTATAATAAGAAAAAGTTGATGATAGCAATTTGATTTAACCTTGTTTTTGTAATTTAATTATGCATAGAGAATGTATTAAAAGAAAAATAATAAAATAAAGAAGTCCTAAATGTGTTACATGTTCAGCTAACTATCAAGCAAGAGAAACTAATTCAATTTATGCTCAATCATTTAAAAAATACAGGATGAATAAAATTATTATGAAAGCCTTGGTTAATATTTTTGGGACAGTTATAATTGCTTTAGCTTTGCTTTATTTAATCTAAATAAAGACATATTAATTATATGATTACATTTTATAAATGATAACTGTGGTATTCGGTTGCATTAGCTGCTTGTTGATGATTGTTTACATATTTCTAATTGTATTACTATCTTTATTGTTAGATAGCTAATGGCATAATAAGGTCCAAAATTTTAGATATAGAAATATTATGTTATTAAAATGAAACTAAGTTGCATACAGATAAATAAGTTGTAGAAAGATTTCTAGAAAGACTTAAATTAAGTGGAATTAATGTTTGATTAACTATAAATTGAATTATTGAGTAATTCTCGAAGTTTTCATAATCTTGAAGAATAATTGGTTTCTTTATTAAATTTTGCAAATAGAAAATAAATAAACTTCCTAGAAAAAACATCTCAAGCTGTAATTTTCATCTTAAGCTTGTTAAAATGTTAATTTTCTTAATTTGAGCACAGCAATTTTTAGTCTAAATAAAATTTATAGGAATTTTTAAATTTTTAAATAAATGAATTCTTCTTCTAAATGAAACCTTTATATCATTAACTCATTCTAAAATTTAGAAACATATAAACTTTCAAAGAGCATTTATTTCTTTGATGAATTTCAAAAAAGAAAAGTTATTGACCCTCTTTTTTCTATCAAAAAAATAAAGTCCGGCCTGCACTAAGAAAAGATAGGTTTGATAGGATGGGATCAAGAGCATCATCAATGATTCCACTCATTTTCAGCAATTAGAAAATTTATGCAATAAGTAATTTGTATTTCTCAGAAAAAACACTTCAAGATCAAAAAAGTTTATTTATTCTAAAAAATTTTTCTACAGAATGGATCTCATTAAATCCATTACTGCAGCAGAACTTAAAATTATTGAAGAAAAAAATCAAATGGCTTTTTGTGATATTCTAGTCTAGTATTTTAATGATGATAATACCAGTTCAAATCAGTTGTTTGCGCATTCAAACCAGAAAACCTTTAGTATAAGATAAATGGAAAAAGATAAAAGTTACTAATCCTTTAGTGAACTCTTCATAATCAAAGTTATTGAAGATGAAAGTTTTATTTTTGCTCAAGAAAAAACTATTAAATACTCCTTGGATCATTGGGATTGTTATCTTGAATTGAATTGTCTTTTCTATAAGTAATTTTGGATTAGACTTTAAGTTCCAAATTATTCATAAAGATTACTTATTTCGATGATTTCTTTAATTTGCTTTAATTGTCAAATTTTAAGTGTCTATTATAGTTAATGTAAGACAAGCTATGAATATTTAGATATCAAATCCTTATTATTTACAGACTTGCATACATCAGCATCTTTAGTGTCATTAGATAGTGCTTCGTTGTAGCATTAGATTGTTTCTTCATATTGCTTCAAATTGTATAATGCAGTACCTATATATTAATATTAAACAATAACATACCCTTGTTCATCAATGCATCGAATTCTTAGGGCTTAACTTGTTATTTTTACTGCCACATTGTTTCAGATTTAATTATAAATTAATTTAATTATTTTAATAAAGCATTATTTATCATATCAATAATATAGCCTTTGACATTGAATTTAGATTCAAATACGAGAAGGCACTTTTGAATTAAGAGCAATAATCTGCAACCATCTCATTTGCCATTGTCGAGAACAATAATTATTTCAACACGCTCAAATATATGCATCATCATATATCGAGTCAAACTATTTTAAGACTGTTGATTTTAAAGAGGATTCAAAAATTGTAGACACCTTGTAGTCATTAAATATAGAATTGAAAATTATAAATACTACATAAAATTCGAGAAGATGAAATTTTTAGGGTTTTTAATATGCAATAAGCTGTTGGTTTTCAACTAATTAGCAACTTTACAAATAATGGTAATACTCAATAAGAATTTAATGCACTTTTATAACATCAAAGCATTAATTCAAATAAAAGTGATTATCAACAAAAATCTAGCACCAATAAAGTTCAATTATGAATGAACAGTAAAAGGGCAAAGTTGATATCTCTCAAAGATAGATGATTTAACTAACATTATTTTGCTATAATTAGTATTGAATCACATTTCATATTCAAAACGTAGATATACTTAAAAGTGAGAAGAAAAATTAACAATGTTTAAGTTAATTTGTTGGAATCTATTAGTTATTTGAATTGAATCCTAATTTTGAAAAACCATTAAATGCAGAAACAAATTATAACAAATTAGTTACATTAAATTCATACCTTTGCGTGCCACCTTTATCATGAAGATGCAGCATATAATATTAATTAACAATCATTTCATTTGGAACTCATTTGTAATTTGATATCACTTTAGGTTTTAAAAATAACATATAACCAAAAGTGTTAGAATTCATAACAAATCAAAATAATCACTATTTTTACTCAGAATAACTATTTAATTGATACTTCTATTATTCATAAGAAATAATATAGAATCAATTTAAATTAATATTTTATTAGGATAATGATCATGATTTAAGAGTTTACTTCAAGAAAACATTTTGTAATTCAATTAAGTATTTTCTGAGTCAAATTTTGTATCAAATTCTTAAGTTCAATCTTTAAATAAACTAATCAATCCAATTCTTCCTAACTTTCGAACCAAAAATCATAGAAGGAACATCTTACGGCACCTCCTATTGCAATTATTTTGGACAGCTAGGCTTGCAAAATAACATCAAAATGGCTAATCATTTGAAATTACTAGTTTCGTTGCCAATACTAACTCTCCTATTTGATGCAAATCAATCTTTGAAGTTTAAAAGTTAAAGGTAACATTTTTAAATTACATTACTCCATTCAGTCACTTTTAAAAAGTAGAGTATGAAAATGTAAATAAACAAACTTTTATCAAAAACATGATTAATACCTTTGAGTTAGATTAGTTTATGAAAGATGTAATTAATTGGATTATTAAAATTTAGGTCTCCCATAATACTACATTGAATGAACTAAATGAACTTAACATCTTTATAGAAATATTAGTTTTTGATATATTTTTATCTTTTACTATTAAAGTTTACATCACTTGTGTTTGGTTTTTCAACAATTAAAAGGATTTAATAGTGGAATTCATACCTTATCCTTATGTATTCCTTAATATATTTATAGTGCTATAGCCATACGAATATTAATAGAAAGTGGAAGAACCAATAATAAACTAATCAAAAAGAAAGTCGAATTAGATCTAAATTGGAATTAAATGCAAATTAATAATTTTTTATATTAGCAATTATTTAAGGAATAATTACAATAAGAAATTAATAAAATATTTGAGAACTTTGTATTGGCGGACTTTAAACTTTATAAGCATAATTTATTATATTATCATAAATTGACTAAGTTAAAAATATTTGTTTCAGAATCTGAGTTAATAATAATACTAAATATTTCAGAAAGCATAATCAATAATGAAGTGGAATTAGAAATCCAGAAACTATGGATTATAATTAAATTGATTCATTGTCAGGTGCTTATTATACTTTAATAATAATCAGAAACTAGTTAAAATTTTCTTATCACTTACATTGTTTACTGAATATTTTGATAGAGATACATGGTTTCTAATTGCTATAACATCTTAATTCAAGATAAAATCAATATTTAGAATTGATCAAATGAATGATGTCAGTTATAGACTCATAAATAACAATTTTGGGATTGTCAGTAACTGGAACTTCATCATATTAGCATTTCTTTTTCTGAAATCATTAAGACATTTTTATTATCAAGTAAGCTACATCCAATATATGATAATAGATTATATCTTATAACTCTAGTAGTGTTTTGATCCGCTATTTTGTTATGTAAGATAATATTTATTTATGTAAAAAACACTCCTTACGTTGTGATTATTAAATTATCATCATTCTATTCTTTTCTGTTAAATTTAATCAAAAGCTATGTTTATGTAATTTAAAAAAATATCTACATATTTTACTTGAGGAAGATTAGACCACAATCATAAGTGTTATTTAAAAATAATGATATTTATGAATAGGATGATTTCAATGTCTATTTAACTGATTAATACCATTAAATTAGGGACATGTTTTTATTGATATTTACAATTTTTAATGAATTATCATAGTGGAGTAAGAAATCATAGTAGCATATACTGCAAATATGTGACTTATTATGCTTCGGCTGGGCTTAAAGCATGTGAAACAGAAATAGCATATCTATCAGAAATTAGTAAGTTTAAAGAGCCTTAAATTTAGCAGAAATGACGATTACATATTTTAGATAAAAATTTTATTATCAAGTTAACATTTAGAAGGCGTCATCAAAGTCAGGCTTTAATTTGGTAGGATTGGAATTCATTAAGGATGATAAAATTACCCTATCCGAAAGGGCCTTTGAATAATTAAAATGATAAAATAGTATTTGAATTGAGATAAAAGAATAGTATAAAGACTAATCTATGTTTATTTCTAAAAGGAAATAAAAAATTAATAGCAACTGTAAAAGTAGATTTAATACAATAAATACAACAAATAGAGTGACAACTTAATCATCCCAAAAAGGAGGCTTAAAAAGAGGTCTATTGCCATTCAAGACCCTTTAAATCAACGCTCGTAATAATTAGTATAATTCCAATTATTGTGGAATTACCAATAGTAAAATGGGTAGTAGAATTCCTAATCTTTATCTCAAGAAAATAGCATCAAAAGGGATTCTAGAATTCCTTATCTAGCGATAATCTTAATCAGAAATATTACATAACCAGAACTTATTTCATAATTAGCAAATTTTATTTCATCACAAATTTCATTTGGAGGAGGACTAACCTGAAGTGGACTGACTAATTATTAATAATTTTCATATTATTGGAAAAGGCCTCAATAGTATTATAATGCAGTGAGGAGATTAATCTCACCTATCATGAATCATTACAGTCTTTAAAACTACTTACACGCATTATGATAAAATATAAAAGGTCAGAATTATCAAAAATAAAATCGATTTTATTAAACGGATAGTATTTGCTATAAATAGATAAAAAGGTTAAGATAATCATTTTTGCTTTTAAAGCATAGCAGATTTACTAAATCATACCTTAAATTCAGTCAAGCTAGTTAACAGAGGAATTATTGCGCAATTATATATTCTTCTTACAATACGACACTTAAGTCTAGCTAAATTTTAGAAGGAGTAGGAGGTGAATTTCCTCTAAGAAGATTGAGACTATATGGGGGATATTTGCTTACTACACAAATGAGGATAGTTAAGTTATAGATTAGAAGGATAGCCCCAAGTAAACTAATATCTATTTCTACAAAGAAGGTAAACTCATAGATGTGGTTGTATTAGTTGGATGCTTGCTTTCTGACTACTTTAATAATTCTAATCATTTCAAATGCTAGATCAACTAAATTTTTGGCTTCTACAGGATTTCTTCATGCCTATTGCTTCATAACAATCCCCACTTATCCACTTATGCATAACTTATAAATATTTAATACATAGCATTTTCTATCGAAATAGAAAAATAGAGTAAAACTTCTATAGGTGTAACTCTTATTCAGTGGACCCAGAATATCTGCATATAAATAGTAAAGTTCTCTAATTTTTCTCTTAAACATCTTTCTTTATTATTATCATCAAGAAAGATTTGCAAAATCTCTAATTACTAATAGTTGTGATTTTTTGGTTTATATATTTTAAGCCAAAAAGAGTGAAATATTATGCTTGTTCTAAATTAATAAGACAAAGGCTTCAAAAGAAAACGAGCTAATACAAAAAAATAATATGTTAAATGATGAACTAGGCTTACTTCTAGTTAGCAGCTAAACCAACAATTACCATTTATGACGAATTTGTCCATCTCATCGTATTTGCTTGGTATTAATAAAGCTTATATTAATGATAATCATTGCACTTAGATTCGGGATTTGAGCTAATTGATATGATACAATCCAACTATCATTGCTCACTGAAGTTCTTTACTCCTCATAAAACTTCCGATTTAATAAGCATTATGCATAAAATAGTCATAACCAACTTTAATAAACCTGATCTCCTCATCTTACACATTGGATAGGATAGTATTGCTCAATGCATTCACGCAATCACTGCCATGTCACCGTCTTATTGTAGATGTATTAAAATAAATATCTGGTAACGTGGATGAT